TACAAAATTACTACAATCTCCACAAAAGCTCCCTGATTACTTTTTCAGTGTTTTTTTATGATTTCGAGATCATGATTACCTGGAACAGTGATTAGGTATTTGTACGGTAATAAGTCCTGAATAGTTTGGGTGAGGCTAAGTTTTATTTTACTGCTATTGGAATCATCATTGGTGAAATTATTGGGGTTTATATCGAGATAGTTGGGATCGATATGGTTGCATACAGACTTGTTGCAAGTATCTGTCGTGTAGTCAATCTGCGCAGAATTAGTTGAGGAATAGAGTATGTGTCTGGGTGAGTAGTCAAGATCTACATCACTGGGCTGGTTATTACAGGCATTTTTACATGCATTCTGTGGGCCGCTACACGAGATGGCTAATTGTGGATTTGCTGTGTATTTGAGGTCAGCGGCACTTTTTAAAAACAGCTCACAACATGTAACGCTTTTGAGTGGACTGCAAGACTTACCAAATAATGTCCATTCAAACGGTTTATTGACGTTCTTATTCATATCTCTAAGCGAGATGCAAGGTAGTGACATGTCATAACCAAGTACATGGTACACGTCTAGTGTAGCTGCGGAAAGTCAGTACGATGCGGACTGATAGGCATGTATATAAAGCTTTACGTTGTTCACTTTAGTGACAAATTCAGATCTTTTCAGGTGCCTTAGACATCAGGAGAGATTATATTTAAATATTAGTAAGGTTTGCGTAAAGTGAACACCTACTATTATAACTTAATTTATCAGATGTAAAAGGTTCTATGGTAGTATCGAATCCATTATTCGTTAAGAGCTAATGAACGAACGTTGATGAACAAGAGGTGTACAAAGTGGAAATTAACAGACTAAGTGTATGACGTTGAATCCCAAGATAAGATAACAAATTAATATAAGCTATCAGGATTAAAGTGTTTTCGGCCAATAAATATCGTTAAACTAGGAGGAAGAACTATTAGAAAAGCAATATAAAACCAGGTGGAAAAAGTTGCAACCTTAAAAGTTTGTGCGTTGGATATTAATATTTCTATCGTCGTTTGTTTTTGTGAAATAGCAACGTTAAGAAGTGAACATTCATGTCATTGCTCAGACTGTGTGGGTATCTATCGCTTCATTTAGTGAAAACTAGTAACTTTGGATGCAGTCATCCGATTTGATTTGTATGGAAACGAAAAAGAACGTGAATGTCACTTAGATATCTGACTGGCTCGATGAAATTGTGGTGACACTTCTGTGACAGAAAAGTTTGTCATGGACCACAAATAGTTTCAAACCACAGAGGTCCAAACTAACCACCAGCACACGAACATAGTTTCATGCGGCTTTCCATAAAATAGTAATTAGATACTGGTTAGTAAAAATGTACTTAGACGAGTAATGATATTTTAAATATCTATCTCTGGTGAAGTTGAGCACATATCACTTTGACTATCAAGACTTTCCACACTTATATATCGACGTTAGGTTTTGCGTTTAACACACTTGAAGATGTAGACACTTACAGGTATTTTTATCAGGCTATAAATACGCTAGCTGAACAAGTGCTAGGATAACGTAGGCTATAGAAGTTCTATGCTTTTCATTCCACTACAGCTGGTACAGGAACACGTTCCGGGTGATGCAGAGTGCATATGTAAAATGACGAAACGACGAGTGCATCAAATACATGTCATCGACAAGTTTGACGAGACTCTTTCACATGTTGTAGAGCTGAAAGTCTGCTGTATATGTCACATAAAATTAGAATACACTGTATGCAACTTCACAAGCGTATTACCTTGTTCCTATTTACTTTTTATTATTTATTTGTAATGTTTGTCTACACGTCGATACCGCACTCAACATTACATTGATTTAGGACTATGTGAAGCGTCAGCAGGATGTTCACACACTCTACTAACTCGACATATTTCGGACAGCGCCACGAGAGATATATTTAGGCTAATAGATGAATTGAGATTGATATCAGAAATAGATTTATGTTAGACTACTATTGAAAACTTGTGAGCACTAGACGGCCGTCTCGTTCCGGTGTGGGACTCTTCTACACTGCTCATCCACGATCACGCACCGGTGGAGCTCGAACTCAGTACCTTCGGTCTCGCTCGTGAACGCTTAACTTCTAGACCGCTGAGCCGATATCCGACGGCGCTAATGTTTAACTTCAACCAATCCGTCATATTGTGCGATCGTCCACAGTTGTCTTCAGTGGATAAATGCCTCACAAAGGACACGGTTGGATTCCAATGGTCACGGCTTCTCACTAGAACTCCAGAAAATGCCTCTCGAAGCCAATCACTAGTGACAGCATTAAAATTATGTTTATAGGGGTTTCGGAATAATATGATGAATGTGTCTATGAAGTGTAGGTGCAATTATTTGGACACAAAATTGACGTCGTCTGTTATCGCATGAATCAGCATAATGTGAAATCATTAGGCTTAGACTGAATACGAAATATGTTCTCACAAGTCTCCTGCTGAGTATCTCGAGATAAAACGTCTCTTATTCAATATATTTTCACATCACATTTGAATTTAATTCCTTCAGTATAGTATCCTTCCGCAAGATTTTTAAATGTTTTACAATATATGATAAACAATAACGAAAGACGAAGCCAGTTCAAAACTCGCCAAGCTCCCCACAACCTTGAACCAGATTAAAAAATACAGTAAAACTGGTGATCGCAGCATTTAGAAAATGTTAAAAAGTAGCATTTAAGCTGAGACTTACGCCTAAAAAACAAAAATACATTTATGTTGTTGGCAAAGATTTAGTGGTTTTCGGACTTCAATAGACTATACGAATATTTAACGGCTGAAAATCGCGCTGCAGAAACAAAATGCCCGCTGTTACATAAACTGTTCAAGGTCGTGGCGATAAAATGCGGGAGGTTTAAAAATCGCTCGCACCGTGTGTTAAAGTCCGTTATATGTATGGGATTTCACTTGTACTTTTTGTCATCAGAAAATGTTTTATAGCTAGATGCAGTCCCCACATGGCGTAAAGAATAGTCATCCGTAAACTGTAATGCTGCCCTGATCTTACATTAATTATTAGCTTCATCATTACGATTGAGTTTGAAATTGTTACGAGACGTCTTATATTTGCAATATTTGAGAATGCTAGCATCTTTACTTGGCATCACTTCTGCCAAGTTTCGTGTGGAAACTTATTGACATCACCTGTTTGTGTAAAGTAGTATACAAGTTTGTTCTGTCACCATTGTTGACATTCTTTATGAATCGACTCTGATGATGAAAGCTCATTCCTAGAAACTGATATATGTATTGTGACTGGTTTTTCGGTTATCATTAGTACTAACACCATTTTCACTGGACATGTTACAAATAAAGTGGAATAATTATAATACCTGGTTGCCGATAACTGTCACTGCGGAAGCCCCTGATCCTAAAAACTACTTCGAAGCACATTTCAAAAATTATGAACGCCCTCTTTTTTCTGAAAAAATTCACCACCAGTACATTTCGGCTATACTTTATTATGTTTAAACGGCCAAACAGTACGGTAGGGAATGGTTAGTGAGTTCATGGTCAGTAAACTATCATCTCGTACTTGAAAGCTACTGGATGAATCTTTGTTGAAAACTTGTCTTTATGCTCAAACTGTATTCAGATTAGGTATTCTAAGCAGATGGAATCTGAGGTAACCTGGTAATAGTCTTTCCACAAACTGAGTTCATCATCTCACCGCGGTGTGCTTTCTGTTCGGTTAAAAGCTTGACCAGGTAGTTGATATAACTTTTATAAGTAGTCAGTAGGATTCCCCAAAATATGCTAGCCGCTTAACAGTAATTATGCAGTGAACTCCTATGGATCGTCAGATGAGAAGAAAAACAATCGTTTAATGTATCCTAGTTATGACACTGGGTTACTGAACGTCAGTCTACTAACCACTGCTCATCATGCTGTTTCATTCTTCAGACAGTGGAGTATAGTTAAAATGATCTAGCGTAGATATTTTCTGCAACAAGAATATTCATAATTTACTTACCATGTGATCCAAAGCGGCCTCAAGGATTAATAGCTTACTCAGCGAAACAGAGTTCTGTAGTCATTCTACATGGTAGTATCAAGTGTTCATATTTTCTGTGATCCATTGTTATTGGTACCTCCGAAGCTAAATATAACGTTCAGCCTTTGGTAGGTTAACGTTTACTCTGAAGGTAGATTGTTTGCTAGGGGAGCTGAATGAGCAGCGTTTGTGAAAGAATCTAGAACGGAGGTAAGTAAAACAAAAAGTCGACAGTAGATTAAATACATAGGATGTACTGACACTTATTAATTACGGTCTTAGGAATAGAGTTTATACTTTGACTTGATGTAGGGAATAAGTTTTTTGTTTAGCTTGTGTATACCTGTTGTGTCTTGCCAAAATGCTGGTGTGGCTTTTTATTATGACTGGACGCAACGGTTTACTTTACCTTGTATATTGGACAGGGACTGGTATTGCTCGATATAAGGAAGAAGGCAAAAATGTTAATGAAGATTTATTTATGCATAGACAATAGGTCCTCTACAGCTTCAACCACTGAATAAAAATTACACTAAATTATTTATGATTTGCTTATCTGGTAAGCTAATATGAATATATTGAACTAACCGGTGTTAGTATAAATTAGTCAATAAATAAATCCTTGTATACAATCTATAATGTTAGTTGATTTAACCACACTAAACATTACAGTAAATTACCGAGCTCCACATTTAATTTTTTCTGACAATATTTCAATTCTAAATTATGATCCTAATCTCAAATGTTTAATGTTTTCGTCGTTAAAACTGCTTCGGTTTGGGCACCCGGGCAGTACCACAGCCCTCACACATGTCCAATGAAGTTTGTGTGGCGCATATGTATTTGGTGCCTCCATGTACCAATGTCTATTTGTTAAAATAAAATAAAACTGATTATCTATGTTTAGTAGTAAACACTTGGTGGTGTGTGACGTTCCTTTTCAGTTCGTCTGTGCTTTCAATGTTCTCCTTTGTTCTCTACTCTCAGTTCTTCTCTGCTATCGGTTGCATCTTCTTTGTTTTCTATCTCGTCTTGATATGAGTAGGGGAAGTGTGATATGTTTTATCGATACATGACTATCAGGTCCTCCTACATTGTTTCTGCCTGTACCCTTTTATATTTATTAAATTTCTCAGTATTCTATGGTGATTCTCAAAAATATTTCATGTTTTAGATTTAGATGACCAATACTTGGAGCATTCTTTGTTTATCCAAATTTTCCAAACAATTAAATGATGTTTTTAAAAAATCTTTATCGATAACTAATCGTATAAGTTTGATTAATATTTACTATGTTTTGTCGCCTGGAGGAGTTCTTTCCACTCCTGTCTCTACTGTTTATCAGAAATTGGTTAAAAAGATGCAAGATATAGTTGTACCAGATACTGCTTTATTGTATCCTCTTCCAAGGAAGCAGTTTTTGGCTGAATTATGGATTACCTCTGGGAAGCTGTTGGTGGTTCTTGAATCTTCATTATTCATTGAGGATGTACCTCATTCGGTAGACTTTCAAAAAGACCTCACGATCGTAAGTGTAAATTTGCTTTCAAAGTACTGTATTTCTTCTCCGAAAATGTTTTCTCGTGTGTGTGTAAATATCTTACCCACTAAGATCTAGTTTTTCTTATATTTATAATCAACCATAATTATCGTTACAAAACTGTTGCTTTAGAATGAAGTGTAGTTATAATTATGTATGTATGATAAATTGCCACAGAAGATATATCAGTCAACTATTTTATCTCGATCTTTAACACCTCATCATCACATCCATTATGTCAAATATAATGTTGCTGGCTACATAGCTTATATCTGGTTACTCTAATTCTCCCGATCCATATGACAACAGTTTCATAACCTTTCAAATGTCACATCGTCTCACGTCCTACGTTGTCTGACTAACTTATCATCCCTCAGTATGTCTACTGAGACTCCTGGAATCTTTACTACTAACATAAAATTTATATTACTAAGTCATATTTCGAATCTCACTGTATTGTGGCCGATAAAGTTTCTACGTAGCTTAGCAATTACATGAAGGTTCATCTGTTTACTTTATAAACTAGACATTGTGTGACGTTTAGTGCTTACGTATGAGGGCTTGTCTCGTGAGGTGTAAGAAACTGAAATTAATGGACTGGTTGTAAGTTAAATGTACAGACCAGAGGAGCTAGGACTACCAAAGAGTACACTTCAAATACAAGAACACAACCGAAACAGATTTTCAAGTTATATTCGAAACCCCACCAGGACTCGAACTGGAAACTTTCGAACTTCACTGTAGCTCTTGATTCTTAGACTACTCCTTTAAAATCCAATAATTAGCGTTCTCAATTTTAATCAGTTTGAGATATAACGTTATGGTCATTCATTGCGATTGGTGATGACTATCTCACCCAATAGGCCTAGACTCCACTAGTTGTAATACTGGCTTCGATGGTGTAGACACATTCTAGCGATGATATTTTAGCGGATTCCATTCTAATCAATACTTAAAATCACTAGGACCGGAACAAAAGAGATATAGTAGATAACTTTTGTCTACGTATTTCTCTAGAATGGTTACCTATTTCAATTTAGTCTCTGCTGTCCCATCTCTGTTTTTCTGAGTAGTCTTAAGTATGATGCAACATTGTGACTTGAAATGTTATTTGAAATATGCTTAAAAATAAAACCATAGGTGACTGGTATATTTTCTTTTATGCCTTTAATTAACAATAAGATTTACTTTTGGTTAAAAGTAGGTCTTGATTGTGCTTACTTGTAAACTGCAACATTTATTACTGTCTTTTCAACTGTTATACATCACTGATAACCAGGAATAGATGTTTCATAAACATCGACCATAATTCCTTAGATTGAACGATCAAGTCCCTTAGTGAAACGATATATATCTAACATCAACTTCTGGCACTGTGATCTCTGATTATCTGTTCAGGATTCTGTGCTTTCCCCCAAGAATAACGTAAAAATAATTCTCTGTAATTTTCTAGATGCAAATAATGTGTTTTCCCAAGCTTGTCTCACATTGTATCGTACACCAATCCTATGTTCTAAGAAAGTAAGTGTTAACAGATAACCTTATCATGTCTGAATATCAAATCGAATTATGAATGTAGTCAGCTATTTTTTTCAGTGAAAAAGTGCGAAGCATTACGGTGAAAACCGTTAGCAATGTTTCAGTTTCTTATGATAGTCTCATTGTAAGTTAGTCCATATCCTACTTTGAAGTGTAAAGATCATCCAGCCATGCTCAACACAGAGCCCGACATGTATGTGCATGGGTTTAGGTTGCCATACAATATCAGCATACCGAGATAACAGCAGTAAAGGTAGCAATTGTATAAGTGGTCATAGGACAGATTACACATGGTCCATATGATTCGAGAGGTAAATATTAATTAGTTAAATAATAAAGTATAAGAAAGGAAAGGTGTTCTAGACGTGTAAATTAAATCCCAAGAACTGTCGCAGCTGGTCCAAAAGTTTGCTGCCGGTTAAATAGATCTCAAGCTGATTAGTATATGCGTGAGTGAAAAACACTTAAACGACCAGTCTTTCTGGTTCGTTACGTCAGTGAGATCGAAAATAGTGTCATGTTCCGTAGAAATCACATGATCGTGTCTGTCATGCGATTGGACCACTGTTAGGTCTATTTAATCAAATTTCGGTGAGACTATAATTTATGAACGACCTTCAAGCAACTCTAAAATGACCTTGGAATGTCCACCAACTTACCCGAGTTACATGAGGGTTATATATTAATATGTAGAACTATGATTATGATTTAAAGTTGAACGTTAGGGTTAGGAATTAGACTTAGTGTTTTCATCACTAACCGACATAAGCTATAATGCCAAAATGGTATTTAGCCAAATGAGTGAATGAAGTTTGCGCCGAAATCTAAACTCTGTTATCTTAAATCTGATTGATTCTCCCATGAATTATAGTCTAGCCCAAATTTTTATTGCATTTGGTTCATCATGATTATGTAGATGATGGTCGGTGAATGGGACAAATTCAAAAGGTGATCTACTTTATCTGGTCATATTGATAAATGACTTGAATGGAGTGTTACTTAATAATACTACATTTAAGAAAATGACCAATTTGGGTTTCATTCAATTATGATATGCATCTTACTTTTATGAAGAATGAATGTTAGTCGCCACTGAGTTAAATGATTATCAGAACACCACGCACGGTATCGGATGCTAGTCCCAGCTATCTTTCATCTCACAGCTTTAAGTAACTAAATTATACCTATACTTTTTGTACACAATCCCACAAGTATACATTTATGCAGCCCACTAACCAAATGAAAGTTAATTTATTCGTCTACAAATCACTTTTTATGAGTCCTAGTAATAATACTTAGCTCCTAAGTCCAAAATAAGTGTAGTAGGGTTAGGACTTCTGGTTCATTTGTTCAAATTTAAGTGCATCAACTTCGAGTCTATCGCTCCATAAATAACAGGAGACGCCAATAAATATTCAGTGTTGATGAAATTTCAAAAGTTATTTGGTAAACAATCTAGCTTTTACATATAATCTATGTCCTTCAAAGACTTAAGTGTTTCATGTTACTTATTAAATTAACTTGTTCTCACACTTATCTGTATTTAACTTAAATATATGCCGACTGTACCTTTGAATGATTTAAATTTAAATCTCAAAGAAAACAAGTTTCTTTGAGTTTACATATATCCCTAGCTGATAATAACTAATGAACATAAAACCCAAATTTAATATCTTCATGCTTATTACTTATAACGATCTAACATCAACTGTGAAAGTACTACATTCTTCGCAAATTACTCATACTAATTACAATCATGTGCTCACTAGTGACTAGCTTTAAGATGTGACTTCTAGGTTTCGAGTGAGAAGCCGTGGCCAGTGGAGTTCAATCTATGTATGCTGTGAGACAGTTATCCACCGTAGGTAATGGATGAAGAGTTGCTCAAGATTATGGATTGATTGAAGTTAGACATTAACACCTCTAGGTCTCGGCCTAGCGGTTTAGGGGTTAGGTGTTAGCGTACGAGACTGAAAGCCATGGGTTCGATTCCCGCTTTCGGGATTGTGGATGGGGACTAGTAAGGAGTCCCATACTAGAACATCCAGTGTCGTTAGGCCTTCAATGGCGGTCTAGCTAAGATTAGTTCGTGATTTTAACTGTAAGAGAATACTTTTACTTGTTATTTCTCATGGTCTCAATTCAACAGAATATTTGCAGTGTTTTTGTCTGTCTCTTGGTAGGTAACTGAATACATAGCCAATGGTGGGCGTGTTCTATTGATTTTAAATACGACGGAGGTGAATAATTACCCCTCATCGAGTCTTGCTCATTATGCTTTACTTTCAAACGAATCTCCTAGTCTGTTTGAAAACAATTATTCATACTGGAAATGGATGTATAAAGATTCGATTTTAACTGGTGGATATCATCGCCTGGAAAGTGATAATGATAAGGAGGTTGAAGTTCAAAATGATCAACCATTAATTGCTATTCTCAGTGTAAGTTAATTAAAATCTGATTTTACAATTTCTTTTAGTCGTTTTTGGGTTACTGAACTTCTTGAAAATATCTGATCGAATTAAGGTACTGTGGTAAAATTCTGATATAACAAACAAGTTTACACGTTATCAAAAGGTCACATGACAGGTGAGAAATATTGGTATGGATAGGATATTGTAAGGTAATTATTTGTTCCCCCAAAATCATCCCACATGTCTTTGCTTTGATCATTTAGGTAACTTACGTGTACTCATAAGTTGTAAACCATTATTGTAACTTTTCTGCTCAACCTTGATCTCACATTGCATAACAATTTAGTCAAGTGTTATGAGCGTAAATCAGAGACTAACAAGATAGAATTTGATTTTTTAAGGCTAACACTCAAAGCTTAAAATGAACTTACATTTTTATGATACATCTTTTTTCCTAAGATGGATTGTTTGAAAATCGAAGCAACACGTTTGGAAAATGCGTTCAACCTTCTTGGGATACCGTGTGTACCTTGTGTTGATCTGGAAGATAATACACATGATAAACTTCTGTCTAATTCCCTATCCTCAGTTCACTTATCTGATTCAAAGACTTTGCATTGTTTTACACCGGACTCTGAGAAAAAGGTTGGATTTAAATTATTTTGTTAAATTGCTTTTTGTTTATACTACAGTGAATTGCATTCTTTTTTCTCTGTATAATTTAGTATACATACTATATAAATGCATGCGTAGTTGTATATTTTTGGTAGGAGCTAGATTATAACTTTGGTAGATATATCTTCATCCTATCGCTTGTTATAATTCTGAGGAAAACTCAAACATGTCTCGTTATCAATCGATGCACAACTCATCATATTACTCATTTATTATAACTATTTTGTTCATTTAAAGTGGATAGATTATGGCTAGCAGTGAAAACCTGAACGCGCGTTTGTTCCACTCGGAACTCACCATTTGGATGTACACCTGCAGTTCAGTGATGCTCATAATGAAACAAATTTTTGTCCACTATAAACAATCTCTTTTAACATATACATTATATCGTTATTGAATAACTACATTCATTTGATATTACGGAGCTAATTAATTTGGTTTTTCCCCATTATACTTTCAATGTTGTCTTGGTTGCAATGATTTGTTTGCCTTCCGATTTCAGAAGATCGTTAATTTTCTCATTAAGGAATGTTCAACGAAATGCAAAAAAGAGATTTCCTATTGTTCTACTCTATCTGATCTTCCATTGGGTTTCAACTGGATAGATTATTTTTCAAATCTTCATACTGAACATTTAGGTAAATTGATTGTTTGGTCTAACTCAATGGAATCTAGTTGGGATTTCTGTCAACAGTAAGTCTATTGTTCCTGGTTTCACTGGTTGCTTAAGTTCAATACGTAATGTAAACTACGAAACCCAACGACATCTACAAACACATCATAGTAATCATAATTATAGGCTCACTGGTGGTTAGTTTTGAGAGGTGATTATCGGAATTCTTGCGAAAAAGCCGTTCAGTGTTTCCTGGTTTTCAATTGTTTACTAATTAAGATCAGTCTGTTATGTAAAATGTGAAATTTCTTATTGTTCATTTATTGTCGATAGTAAGTTTTATTATTTTTTTTATAGATAACTGCTTTTATCGTTTCTTTTATATTATATACTGTAAAACTCCGTAAAATATATGGATTTACAAAGTGTACGTGTGCTTCACCTAAATAATAGTAAATTTTTATTGAGGGTTCTTTAAATCATGTCAAACACAGTTTAGTGGCTTTTCGTAGGAGTTTAAATATGATGCTAAATGCAAAAAAATTATATGATCGGTTAAAATGAGTGTTTCATTTCGGTAATAATGTTTGAATTCTCATGGAAGAAACTTAACTACCTAAGTCTCATGAGTGATAAGACATTTCGAAATCCAGCTAATGAATGTTTATGTTGTGATTTGGTGACCGATAGAATAAGCTGCTAACAGAATCTCCTAGAAGGTCCCTAAAAACATTGATGGTAATTCTTTGAAAAATGGATATATTTTATGGAATAAAGACAACAGTAAGATTTACTTTGTCTGGTATCCTGACATGAATCAAATGGGAACATCGTAGATAAAATAATGAATTTTAGAGTAAAATAGATGGTTTTCAGTCACTGAGTTACAGATTCAAACCACATTGTCCTACTACATGCACCAGTAAAAAGTCTTTGATCCATTTGTGATCGTTGTTTCTATTCTTGGTTAGTTATAGGTTGTCTGGTGAGTAACTAAGCTTTACCGTCTTGGTCAAATATTCTTAACAAAAAATTGGCATATATAATCCTGTCGTATTGTCGAATTAACCAATGCTGCCTTCTGGAGTTCATTCGCTTGACCTTCGGCTGTCAGTTCCATGAATAAGTTATCAGTTCAATTACTTCCATCATTTCTGTATTTTATCAGATTCGTTCTATCTTTTTCAGTTTTTAAATCTGATTAGTATTATTAGTTCCCACTGAAGCGTATGTTCTAAGAAGCGTACATAAATCTATACTTGATCACTGAAAAGCACCCCAAATTCCTGTAATCTTTTCATATGTATTGACTGTTTGAATCCTCTTATTGACGTTTAGTACTATAATCGATCAGTCATTTTTGGCATATATGCAACATGTGCGGATTGCCTCGATATTACTATTAAGTCTCAAGCATTCTAAGCAGAGATGGATCGTGGCTAGTAGTGGAATTCAAGACCCACATTTTGTTCTACTACGGAATCACCAGCTAGATGTACCTAGTAGTCATTGTTATATCTTGGAGCGTTAGGCTGCCTGGAGAGAATCCTGACAAATGAGTACTTCCTCAGGTTAAACAATCCTCTCGTACTATTTCATGTATAAATGAAGATTGTGTTATATTGATGTGCAGTATAGGGGGAGCAAATAATTTCACAGAATGTCCTCAACATGCATCGATAAGTGTTAAACAAATCAAAATCGTTTTAACTCTTATCACTAACAAGTAGTTTTGAAACATTTGCAGTGCATTACATCAAGCTTGGAGGGAAGCGCAAATGCAGCATAATGCAGACGGTCAATGGGAGTGCTATCTCTTCTCAATACGGGGTCAGAAGGAGTAAATCGAACAAATTTCATACCCTCAAAAATTCTATTCTTATAGGCTGGACGACACTGTACTACGTTTAGGTTATGAAAAGTACTTAATACTCCATTTTCCACACTTTTTTACACTATCCTACGATAAATCATATGATAGATTCAAAAATATCGAAAGTTATCTCTCATATAAGCAAAGATGGATAGTGGCTAGCAGTGGAATCCAGGACGCGCGTTTCGTCCTATTTGGGACTCGTCGACTGGATGTGCTTGCATCTCCGAGTTGATGTTCATTCTGGGACTCGAACCCAATACCATTCGCTTCAAACGCCATTGCGTCATAACAGACTACTCAATTGCAGTTTTAAACCTCAATGGGAAGACACAAGCAAAACAATACCAAGTGAATTTATCTCTCATATATTCACTTTTTTTGTAATGTAATAAATGGTACAACCAAGCGATTATAGCTTAGTTTGTGTGCTCAGTGTCGAGTCACACTTTTTTTTGCAGAAACCAGTGGTATTACTTGATTGTTTGAAGTGAAGTAGGCAGATGATTTGAACCTACCATCAAACTTTCGAAACTTAAAGTATTTTAGTCACCAAGCCATCTCTAGCAGTACGGTTTCACTTCGTGCTTATCTAAGTACTCTAATAAGACATTTTCATCACCATAGTTAAGTATTCTCATTCTGTCGTTACGTATTTTTTGCTGTTCCATTAAATTGTCTCTATTTACTAAGATTGTGTGTTTGAAAGTATTTCTCTACATATATTTTGTATTCTAGATTCTTTGAACGAATCTATCCAAATTCTGGTCTGCTGGTATGTTCTAATATTCAATCTAAAGGGAAAGGTAAACAATGTATCATCATGCAGTTATTTATAATTTATTTGATATTTTACGGAAATCAAATAATTAAAACTTGATACTGTAAGTACATACAATACTATCTCAGTGTGAGGTTGTGAGGATTCCTGATTGGTACTGAAATCATGAACCGATAATCAGTGGCTAGGGTTTGTGAATGCTAACTCCTGAGTAGTTTAACATTGCGACGAGACAACTCCTCAGTGGTTCCAGTTTTAGATGGTTGTCTAACAGTTGGTTAGTGATTTCGATACCATCCCAGCCAGTCATAGTTAAAGTAAAATTTTGCGTGTATATGCATCGGTTCCACTTTTTCCACAACGTATCATTCCAGTATAATTAAATTATCAAAGCAGATGCTAGAGTAGTATATATAGTAACAGTATCAGTGATAGTAGTATAAAAGATTAAGCATAGACAATATGACTCGAGAAGAGGGATAAATTCGCATAGTAAGAAGCATAAGATAACTTTGAAACTCAAGATCTGAGGTAAAACATAGAGTGAGTGCAGACTACTCTGCCTTTGTCGGTTCCGAGCCATATTATCTCAAGTTTTCAACCATTTAGTCAGAAGAATCATGCGGACCCTTCATTAGTCAAAAGTATGTATAAGTTATCCAGTGACTAACTTACAGGCTGTATATTAATTAAATAGACCAAGAAAATACCCGTTTTTGGAGAAAAGTCAATAAGTCAATAAAAATTGCCATAAGAATCAAAGATATTAAAATATTTAAAAAGGAGTTGACTGAATTAAAATAAATGTGACAGAAAAGCTGCTGTATCAATGTTGACATATTTATATTTTATCATAAAAAAATCTAGTTATGTAAAAAACTATTTGTCAGTATCAGGGTTGTGGAGATTGTTAAATTTTGTTGAAATCAGGAACCAATCTATGCTCAACAACAACTGGGGCCAATAGACAACTATTTCGTCCTAGTATGAGACTCTTCATTAGTGCTCACTCACGATCCCCCACCATAGATCGAACCCAGGACGATTGATCTCGCGCGAGAAATTCGGTAGTTTCTCTAATAGTATCACCCTATAGAATGCCTCATTCTTGAATTTATCACTACAAGAACATCATTCTAACTTCTATTAAGTGTTGTGCGCATGTTCAAAAGTACATTTTATTAAGGTAGCGTGACTTGTGGAAGCCCGTAGTTTGATTTTGTCCCCATTTAGATCGGAAGATGTTCGTTGAAGGGCTCACCATTTTCAGTGGCCCGTAGTTCTCGACTCCGTTTAGAGCGTACGAATGATTGTTATCGCCTATTCTCGTATATCATCGTCGACTTAAATCGCGTTATCCAATAACGGAATTAAATAAGTCGAATAACGAGAATTGACTTGAGAATACATATATTTCGTACATGAGGCGAATGAAACATAGCAAAGCAAAATGACACGTATGGAAGCCAACTCCATTTTAGTCAAGCGTTACTCAATATTTATAGTCAGACAAAATAAAGCTACAGACATGTGATTAATGGGATAAGAAGGGCACACACATATACGCTCATATAAAAACAGTCTAGATTGATAAACGAATAAATAACAAAGTCAAAGTATGGCTCAAGTAGAATGAATAAAATGGGATGTCCGAAAGCTAGAATAAGATGTATGGGCTTAAAATAATGACTGACACTACAGACTATCATGAACACATCAGTTTGTCTGATTAATATGAAACTCAGACGTATGTTAGGCTTTCATAATAATACATTCACAAAAATTCTATAATCTTCACAAATCCTATACTGGTAATACTTATCTGCTCACTAGTGACTAACTTCAAGATACTACTCCTGAAGTTCCAGTGAGAAGCCTTTACCAGTGTAGTTCAAATACTTCGAATGTGCAACTGTTATCCACTGCAGATGATGGGTAAGGGTTGCTTAATATCATGAATTCATCGAAGTTATATAGTGGACAGCTTGGATGCAGTTAAACCATTTAGGCTTCCCAGATGACCTAACTCTTCTATCCCGTACATAGCAATAAATACAGGTGAAAACAGCTAGTGTAATAACAGCCTCTGTAGTAGTAGGCTTCAACATACACAAGGGAAAAAACAAAATCCTGAAATACAACACAATGAGCACCAACCCAATCACACTTAATGGAGAGGCTCTGAAAGAGGTGGAATATTTTACGTACCTGAGTAGCATCATCGATAAACATGGAGGATCTGATGCAGATGATAAAGCACGGATCGCCAAAGCAAGGTAGGATCCCTACAATTGAAGGACACATGGAACTCAAAAGAACTGTCACCCAACATCGAGTTCAGAATCTTCAGTACGAATGTCAAGACAGTTCTACCGTACGGAGCTGAAACTTGGATAACTACTACCAGGTATTTATAAATAGTTGTCTACGCAAGATAATTAATGTCCGTTGATCAGACACTCAGTAACAATCTACTGTGGGGGAGAACAAACCAGTTTCCAGCTGGAATGTACTCTAGAAGTGGATAGGACATACATTGCGGAAATCATCGAACCGTATCACAAAGCAAGCCCTAACTTGGAATCCTGTAGGCAAAAGGAAAAGAGGAAGATCAAGGAACTTACGGAGCCGGGAATCGGAGGCAGATATCAAAAGAATAAATAGTACTTGGCTGGTTTGTTTGCGAATCTTGGTGGGAGGCCTGTGCTGCTCCACGAGGTATAACAGGTGTAAGTTAGTAATACTTGTACATTACTGGATGCCATTTGCGTTTGCGCTCAAGACCTAAGGTCCTGTGTCAGATTCGTAAATGCTAACTGATGAGGATTCCCCTATACTTAAATAAAATAGCCGTACAGTGGTTCTAGTTTTTGAATGGTGGTCTAACTAAGATCAATTCATGACTTAAATTGGGGATATTCTTCACTCTCCACAAACCTCTCTATACTGGTAAAAATTGTTAAGGTTTTAAAAGTTCATTTCGATCAATGAATTTTGGCATGTATACTCGGTTTATAAAAACTGATATAATCAAGCTTATTCTGACCCTGTAGCTGTTTATTTATCCATACTACAGTACTAATATAAATTTACTAATGTTCTTACTTCTCTCCGTTACTGATGTAATATCTTAAATCCATTGTTTATTTCATTACTAGAAGGGGTTTAAATGATCATATTATTGATATTGCTAACTAAATTTTGATTAGTTTTTGTTGGGGTATGTGCGTCCTGAAAGGATTGTCACTATACAGTCATTTTTTTACAATGTTATATAAAAGTAGATGGAGTGTACTTAGCAGTGGGATCCAGGAAGCGATTTTCGTCCTATTTATTACTGGTTTCGAATCTCTTTGTTAGAAACAACACTAGAATATAGATTTATTCAGTTGACAAGTCTGAAAAAGGACTAAACATGCATCCTGAATTCCATTGCTAGCTGAACGCTTTAACCATTTAATCACTGTTTCAGAGAGCACTGGGCAACTTTTTCATCGTAGTACTGAACTCAGCAATTTACACTCTCGACCCCTCTGGGGATCTAATTCAGGTCTTGTGTTTGACAATTAAACGTTAGAACCTCTTAGACAGTATTGGGTTGAGACTTACTGATCTAAAAGAATCGTATTCGCTGTAGGATCTAAAGGTCCTAAGTCTTGTCTTAGATTGAGTCATAAGTACTCACCATTATGAAGTCATAAATCAGGATAATAATGCTGTCTTGCACTGCCTGGTTTTCACTGACTTTCTTATATCAGTTTGTTTTAAAGATAATCTTTAAACTATAACTATCTTATGATGAATACTATTCTGTATGTTTTCCCATATTATTAGGTCGAGGAGAGAATAAGTGGATTAGTCCTGTTGGACAAGCTGCATTTACATTCCATTTAACATTATCCACTTCCAATAGTCAAATGTTTATGAATTGTGTGACTTGTGTACAACATATTGTAGCGTTGAGTATAGTTTTGGCTTGTAGACAATTAATTGCTGAACATTTAGATATCATTTCAGGTGATACTAATTTTTGTGATATCAGTGAAGAATTTCTTGTTGTAAGTTCTTTTCTATGGTTTGAAAGTTTTTCATCATTTATTTATTTATCTATCAGAAGGGGAGTTGTGTAAGTTGTTGATGCTTTTAATACACTGGTTTAAATAAAATAAAAAGTTAGTCAGTGATCAAATATTTGCTGATTGTCACCCATTGGACTACTGGTTCAAAACCCTCATTTCTTGTTTTAGGTTTCATTTTTAATTCTCAAAGTCCACCAACCTTTATTTGCTTACTAAATTGCATTCCCAAATTTCTTATAAGAACAAACTAATCATTATCTACGGTATTATATTTCAACCAGTTTTATTCTCCTTGAAGTTCATCGGGCACAAACCACAGTCTTGACTGATTTACATGGCTCTTTAATGACTTCTACTAATTTACTTTCACTCATGTTTGGTGATATAACAAAAGAAATTTGTCCAAGCACTTGACAGTGAACAAGACGTTTATTATTTATTTATTTATTTATTTATTTTATTTGAACACATAAATATTGGTACAAGAGAGCGCCAATATATATGCGCCGCACAAAACAATGAGAATTCGAAGAGAAAGAAAAAAAAGGTAAGGAGCGTGAAAAAAAAGAGAACAACAACGAAGAGGTTGGTGTGAGGTAGTGTAGTAATAATAATAGTAATAATGAGGGAACGGAAAGGTACAATCAGAAGAAATCTTTCAGTTAAGGAAGACACAACCACTTTTTATGAAGAAAGTAAAAGAAGGTTACAGCAGGATCGCCACTGGCTTCTATTCTGAGCCATATCTGATAACGTCTCTAGCCACTGTGTAGCACCATCTCTCAGACCCCAACCAGGGAGTCGTGAAGGACCAACACAAGCCAGTCCTTTGCAGCTTTCTTTCATACCACGACACCATGTCATGCACTGACCACCTCTCCGCTTCTTCCAACCAGTCCCAGAGTCGGCAAATAATGCACGACGTGGAATTCTCTGGGACGACATTCGTAGAACATGTCCAAGCCACCGAAGTCGGTGTTTCAAGATGGTGACACCAATTGATTATCATCTCTGTGCCCGAACACACGATGCCGAACCTCTGCATTACTGACATGGTGTTGCCACTGAATGTCAGCAATCCTTCGGAGACAGCGATGATCGAACACAGAGAGTCGTCTAACGTCCTCAACTCGGAGAGGCCAGGTTTCACAAGCATAGAGCAAAACTGCTCTCACCGACGCGTTGTAGATCCGACCTTTTACAGCCAGACTAACATCACGAAGGCGCCAAAGGTGGCCCAGATTGGCATAAGCCGCTCTGGCTTTCACTATACGTGCATTGATCTCATCACTCACACCCCCACCAGCACTTATGCAGCTACCCAGATACACGAACTTCTCAACTACGTCTATCTGCTCACCATCCAGGGTGAGTACAGGATTAGAATCCTGCCAGTCTTGTAGAAGTACTTTGCACTTCGAAGGTGCAAAGCACATACCATACCTACGGACACTGATTGCCAACTGATTAAGTGCGGATTGCATGCCTTGGGCATTATCGCACAGTAAGACAATATCGTCCGCATACTCAAGGTCGAGAAGTCTTTCTCCAGGCAACAGATCCACACCACCATTACTTACATTCATCAGAGCTGTTTCCAGAATGTCATCGATGGCAAAGTTGAAGAGGAATGGTGAGATTGGGCAACCCTGCCTAACCCCACTGCTCGAATGGAACAATGGAGAGAGGTGGTTGTATGCCCTCACTCTGCCTGAGGTGTTTTATATAGGGCTTTTAGGATGTTAATAAACTTCTCAGGCACACCCTTCTTCAATAGACAATCCCAGAGAACAGTCCTGTCCAACGAATCGAAGGCAGCCCTGATGTCAAGAAACACTACGATTGTTGGCCTTTGATAAGTATGGCGGTGTTCTAACATTTGGCGGAGGGTGAAGATATGATCAATACATCCTCGACCAGAACGAAACCCAGCCTGCTCCTCGCGAGTCAATCTTTCTCGGGTTTTGAACAACCTACGAAGTATGACGGAAGCCAATAGCTTGGACGCAATCGGAAGTAGACTTATCCCCCGATAGTTGTTACAGGAACGACGTGAACCCTTTTTAAAGATAGGGACAACTATCGACTCATTCCATGACGTTGGTACACTCTCTAGTTCCCAAACCTTTGTAAACAACGTCGTCAATTCCTTAGTCAAAAAGTCACCACCATCTTTAAAAAGAGCCGGAGGTAAGTCATCTGGGCCAGGTGATTTGTAACGCTTCAAGAGTTGGAGTTCCTTGCGGACTTCCTCCTCATTTGGTGGATCAGTCGTCACCGGCCATGGAGGGCAGGACAGTCTGACCGATGTTGCCGGAGCAGCAGGCCAGTTGGCGTCATGCAATTGCAACCAATGCTCATCTATACTTTTCGGTGGAATGGTAACTAGCCTAGAAACTAGCTCGGTTCGATACTTACTAGCAACAGAAGTTGCAACCAACTTGCTGACATCAATCCTTTGGTGGCAGTCACTTTGTCGGCCACTGAAAAGTAAGGTAAGATTGGCGCAGACCAAAGCATGGTCAGAGTCCAGATAGGTACTCCGAAAGGAGCGGCAGTCTTGTACACAACCACGCCAGCGGTAGCTGATCGCGATGTGATCAATCTGAGTCCAGGCTTGAGATGCAGAGGGAGGACGCCAGGTGGCACATCGGCGATGACTGTGCCGAAAGTTAGTGCTAGCCAGAAACAGGTTGTGGTCTGTGCACAGTTGCAGTAGACGGTCCCTGTTATCTGACCTGCAACTAACGAGTCCCCATCGGTCACCTAAACGACTCTCTTCTGTGCCTAGATGCCCGACCTTAGCATTCAAGTCTCCGGCTAGTACTACAATATCTGTCGAACGCACTTTCTGGAGAAGAACAGATAACTGGTGGTAAAACTCATCCTTGATTGCATCCGGGCTTCAATCTGTCGAGGCATAGGCGGAGATGACGAAAGGACATCGTTTCTCACTCCGATTTTTCCTCACTTTGATGGAACTTTCTAATCTAACAGCACACAACGGTTAGTGCTGCCTCAGCTCTAGCGCTTAGTGTGACACCAACGCCAGCAAGACCAGACGAAGATGCCACAGGGTCCCCGGATAAGCGCACGTAAAACAAGCTTTTTGAAGCGACAGATCGAGAGCGAATCTGTGGTACTTCACCAGAGTCTTGAATACGGGTCTCGGATAGACAGCAGACATCGATATGAAGACTTTCCAAAGACATAGCCAGCCCTATCTGTTGTCCAACCTGCATAAGTGTGCGAACGTTAAAGGTTATCTTAGGGGGCCACACTCCGAGCCTTTGACCTAAAGGTCTAAACTACAAGGCAGTGGAGCATCGTAAGGAGATGCAATCCCATGGTGGCCGGTGACCAACGATTGTATCATACGCCATTTGTTCCCGCAGGATACTCGAGCCCATGTGCACCATTGGTTTGGGATCCGGTAAAGCGCCGGACATTCGCTTTTCGTCCTCTCATTTTCGTAAACAACACCCCTGCCACGAGAAGGCAATGAGTAGGACTTCCCTGGCAGAGGCTGTATACGCGTGGCTGTGTGAAAGTATTTCGAGAGGGAGAACGGACTCTCCCCACTCTCGGCCGTACCAGGGCATTTGGGGACGAACAATACGTTCGAATTCTATGAAATATGACTTGATACTGTATCACTCGATAATGAATTAGATAATTAGCTTGAATACTAGATTGGAGGACACTAGATTATGTAAACTCAGTTACTTAAAGTCTGGCCTAAAAATGAGATCCAGATTAGATAAGGCAATATTTTTTTGACGCAAATTATAAGCAATTAACGTAGAGTAGAATTAGAGTTACTTATAAAATATTCTCTTTAATTTATTTTTGTATCTATCTTTGCTCACTGACCAATAATATATTACTTTATTCGACTTAATATTTAGTGGTGTATACTTTGGTTCCATTGAAATATTAAATTGTTTCATCACAAATCAGCATCAGCGAAACAGCAACCATTGAAATCTAGAGAGCACTGCACAACTTTTTCATTGCAGTTTGAGATCCATGACCTCACACAGGATAAAATAAAAGGACTTTGGGTCTCGCAACACAGGATACAGTTCAGCAGCCGAGTAGCTTTGATCATGCTCTGTTTTCATTCAATATCAATAATGCATCAGTCTTAATTTAGTTGGCTCCACTATCCACTGCTTCCAACCTGAAAATTCGGTCATTTCTCTTTATACTGATGACAGGTCTTTTTAATAGCTAGCTTTCATTGTATTGAATTTGATACACTTCTTTTCGACAGGATCTTCAATATCATGGACCCAAAATCCTTATTAAATGGCCAAATGATATTTATGTTGTCGAAAATATTAATTGGTGTAATAATCAAGATGTCAGTTCGACGCTTTTGCAACAAAATATTATTGGAAAATTGGCTGGTGTATTAGTTCGTTGTCGTTTAGTTGATTCAAATCACGTGGAATTATTGATTGGTAGAGTGTATTTTGTTTTATTCTTTATTCAAGCTTGTAAAGGATTTAGATGCTTTCAATAGTTATCAAAAAATGATATGGTAATACACACTATGACTGTATCCTCAGGTTTAAATGAACTAAAGAATTATTTGGTGATTAGACCACTTTACGTGTCAATAGGTATGCTTCTTTTACTCACTAAAATTCCGTTATAATGCGCTCACTCTGTCATTAAAGCTTTTTGGCTGCATTCGTAAAGTTGCAGCTTTGGTCCCCCCTTCTATCTACTACGGTTCAGACAACCGAATATTGCACTTTCTCACAGAGTGCTCTCTTAAGGTCATACGTTTATAGCGACTGCTATGGAAGTCTTGCTTACTGTCTTCATGAGATGGGGGTGTTTATTTACCAAAGTAAGAGGACGTAAAGTGGTCGATCAGCGCTTAGACCTTGGATTCGAAAGGTTTAGTTGAGTTGGAAAACCCTGATTCCAAACCAGTAGTGTGCATAGGCTTCAGGGCGTTGCCCACTTAGAAAATCACCTGTTTCAGTCTGGGCGCCTGAACAGAGTACCTCAGCCTGCTCACAAAAATGAAGAGAAAAATACTCAAGAATGAATGATTGCTGATAGGACAGATATTATGGTTAATTTGTTGTAGACTAGAAAAATTCACATCACGGTTATTTTCTTTAAAAGCTTTTTTTCTTGAAACAATTAAATTCTAGGCTGTGGCATTAATGCATTCAATGAACTACCTACGATATGTTTAGAACGTGTATTGATCGAATCTCATCCGTGTAATAAGAGACCAACATTTTCAATTGCCAAGTTAATTTCACTTGTAGTAAGTTACATTGAAAGAATAATCACGAGGATCTATAATCCGAATTCAAATTATGATCTTGGATGGGTGCTTCACTTATACACGAAATGCTGGATTCATACGTAAGTTATTTGTCAAATAAGGTTTATTTGAAATGTACACAATTATTCAGGGAAGGAATCCTTTTCAGAGTATTCATTTTCAGTTGTATATATATTATGTCTGCTTGAATTTCATTAATTGTTATGTGAAATTTGAATACATCATTTTAAATAAATAAGTATATCCTGGAGTTCTAGTGAGAAGTAGTGACCAGTGGGGTTCAACCAGGTCTGTTGTGAGATAGTAACTCACTGAAGGCATTGGTGGATGTGTCGCTCAATTTCGTGGATTAGTTGAAGTTAGACATTAACACCGCTGGATGCCGGCTCAGTGGTCTAGTGGTTAAGTCCTCGCGCGCGAAACCAGTAGGTCCTGGGTCCGAATCTTTCAGGGAGCGAGGTCGCGGATGCGCACTGCTGAGGAGTCTCACAATAGGACGAAACGGCCTTCCAGTGCTTCCAGGTTTTCCATGGTGGTCTAGCTTCAACTGACTCATGATCTTAACCATTAAAAATAAATATTTATTTAGAAATGGGACACATTTCTGTTAATATATAATGAATCTGTCTCTCAGAGTTCAACATCTAGCATTGTTCCGTTAATTGAGTCAGTGAATACTGGTGTGAGGGCATTATTTTCACTGGAAATTTAATTTCAAGCTCTAACTTTCTGTTTAGTTGTCTTTTTGATCCTGCAAGTTGTGGTGCACTACAAGTAGTGTGTTCACGGAAGACATATATATGACTTTAGATCACTGAAACGAAGTCCCTAGTAGGAATTACACTTTTTTGTTGCAAACCCGACAGTAAATAAACAGAAATATAGTTGAAAATGCGAGATATCGCAGATATATTGGAAATTTGGAAAAGGATTGTTATCCTCACACATCATTGAAGGAGGAAGTTTATGAACCGTGAGAAATATATAGCTGATAGGGTGAAAAGTGAGTATCGTTAAGTTGCAATGACTTGTGAACGATAATCAAGAAATATGCATAGAAGTAATATTTGTAATGATAATAATTATAATAGTAATGGTAAATTAGAATCATTTTATAAACATAGGAGTAAAAGATGAGAGAGATGATTCAAATAAGCTAAACGAAACTAGAAACTGAGGTTCTGGTGAAGAAAGAGATCTAACTAGTTGTTTTTGTACACGTAATCTCGATTTTTACACTATGAATAGCCAAAACGTCCTCATTGTAAAGTAGGTTCAAGCACACACCTCTTGGTAACTCTAACTGGATGTTGTAAAGGATATCAGGTGATTAGTTGAATGTTGAATGACTTGTATTTAGTAGGTGTGGTAGAGTCAATGATGTAATTCGCTTATGTAACCCTTTTATTGACCTATACTATTGGATGCTCCCGGATGCGACCAAAAAGTGGCCTTGACAAACGTCCTACATGCCTAGGTCCGCAAGAGCGGGTAAATTGGTAAATGCATATCCAGTCGGTCAGTCCTTGCCACTTTCATTTGAGAGGATGACTAGAATAATTTGTTTGGAGATTTACAATGTTGAGTGTTTTTCTAATCAACCTCTCCAGATGACATTCTGGTGTCACTTCTACAATGAACTGTTTAGTTAACGTTGAAGTAAACTAATACACCATATGAATCAATAATTAACTACACATTAAGTTCTGATGTCTGCCCTCATTGCTACATGTGGATCTGTTTACAGATTTTCTGACAGCCACTTTCCCCCTTTTAGTCTATCTACTAACTCCAGTTTAAAAATAAGCATTCTCGAGCTGAATGAAGTTGTTTAAATTACAAAAATAACTTCGTTACTTAGGCTTAGTTTCGTGATTTGAATTCTATCTTATAATTATTTTCTCTATGTTGATAACTTGTTGAACTCAACTGTGTTGCTTAACGGATCGCTAATGCCTCGTTGTTTACTCGTACTAATCATTAACCTGACTCATTAAACCACTGCAACAGTAACATGGAAAGCCTAAATGACACTTATGCATGTGATATGTTTGCTTATAATTATCAATTTTCATAGTTTCTATCACGTACTGATCTTAGTTAGACAGCCATTGAAAAGCAGGAAGCCTTGAACAGCTATTTTATCCTAGTATGGGACTTCTCGGAAGTCCAGATCCACAACACCACAGGGGGTCGAACCCAGGACGTTTAGTCTCGCACACGAACAACTGACCTTTAGACAATTATCGTGAACTGCAATCATGTACATGTCCAGATTCAACCGATTCACTACATTCCTTTACCATCTTTCATTGCCATCGGTGAGTAACTGCTTCACTCGATATGACTAAACTCCATTGGTCACGGCTTTTCACTAGAAATTCAGGAGTTTCATCTTTAAGCTAGTTACCAATGAGCACTTGATTATTATCAGTATCCAACCGTTTAAAAGTTCATATGATTATTATTATAGGCGTATGGACAAATAATATTCTTTCTACCAAATTCACTAAAAAACTCATCACTCAGGATAACAAAACATCACTACTAGATTAGGTTTTGGGGTGAGAACTAACGAGTTTTGAATAAATAGAGTGGATTTAGATTTTCGTATGGTCAAGGCTTCAAGAAACCTTGATATGCGTACTTGAACACTTGTGCAAAATCAAAAATCTAAGTTAAGTTCAATCTTATGACCTGTTTTAAGTATGTTTATCATCTACTCTTATTGGGTCATCCGGTTATGTTTTTGTAACCATTTCGGTACATTATAAACAGAGAAGAATCTTGACTAGCAGTGGTATCCAGGACGTGTGTTTCGTTCTGTTTAGGACTCGTCGGCTGAATATACTTGCACGCGAGATTTGATGTTCACTTCGGGACTTAAACCCAGTACCGTTCGCATCAAATACCATTACGTTATCTGCTTAGGTCCAGAGTCCATAAAGCCGCTAGCTTGTGCAGTGGGTTGAACTTTAATTCATTTTTGTATTGGTTGTTTGAATCTTCCCATTGATCAGTCTCTTTTAGCATACATGCATTCTACGTAGATTGGTACATTTTCAAACACCCTAATTTGCAAATCATGATGGTTTATCCCTATGCATGTATAACTACACACATGTAAATTGATAAACAACGTCGGATGTAACATTATGATTCGTGAAGAAAGACTGAGTTAATGGTAAGAAAAATAGTATACGATAAATTTGAAACTGCGTCATTTCAACCTATCTTGATCTATGTCACTCCACATCTCCAACCAGTGGTTACACTTTGTCACACTAATCTATATACTAATTGCACTGAACATTCTATTTCTGTAAAATTAAAAAAATACGTACAGAGAAATTATTAGTATTCTTTTTTATATTATGGTATTAACGTATGAAATTTTCACGTCTGTATTTTGTTATCTAGTAATCAAAAAGTTCAACTTTACGTCAATCCAACGTTGAGTGAAAATAACCCTGGTGTAATCGATCAACAGCATTCAACTGATACGAATACCTACCGCATAGTTGGTTTAGATAATTATGGTTATCTATTAGTAGAAGATATATGTACTGGAATTCGACATAAGTTACATCCAGATGGCAATTCAATGGATATGATGCGTGGTCTAATTATTACTAAATAAAAAAATCTAATCCAAAAAGTGAAATGTCCTCTTTTGTTTGAAAATTCAGTCCAATTAGAACTGTCATATAATTAGCTAACCAACTAACTGCCTTTCACTCCATATTCTAGTCATTTTTATATGCTCAGATTTCTTCACTTAATATATTAGAGTAAAGCTTGATGACGATTTAAGGGAAAACAATGTTATTCGCTTATATGTGTAGTTCTAAATATGTATTCATCTCCTTTTGTTGTACTTAATAGTACTATATTTGGGTAATGACTTGAAACAAGACGGTTATGTGAGTGTTGTGACTTGAACTAAATACTGATTACTACTACACTGGTAAAACTGTTATTGGCTACTTACTGCAAGGAAACGAGACTACTATGTGGTTGCAAAGTAAAAAACAAGATCGTGGAAGAAGATTAATTTATTCATCAATCATTAATTAATACGGCATCCGCAATCGTAATCATAATAATCTGATGTGTTTATATAATTTGCAAAATCAATATATTGACTATTAAATGTTGCTCAGGGATGAATTATATATTTGTTTTCTTTTTGACAATTCTTTTATTTGAAGAAATATACATTTTTTGTGGTCAATATTTTGGAATGTTTTCAGTTATTTTAATAAGTAAATATAATAATGTACTTCTGATCCGATCGTGTTTTTCTTTTGCCTGTGAATAAAAAAGTGATTCAAATGGCTAGTTAGAATTTAAATACCCAAACGTTTCAAGCACTAATTTCCATTTTTGTAATGAAATTGGATGTAATCTTCCAGAGGGCTAATTGGAAACAACATTGTGTTGTTGAACAGTAGTATTAATAGTAGTGTACGCTGTTATTTGTTGATTTGCTCAATTTCTATGCCAGTGAGCTTCTATCTTTTATAACTGGTGTGCTATCACCGGTTCAGAACCGATAGCTGTGTTCAGTTTTGGTGAATAGCTGAGTTCTTAGGTGTGCTGAGCGAAATAACTAATCATTTGTTTCTATGTCACTCGTAAACATATTTTATTATCCTGTACAAGTAAATGGTCTAATCGTTAATACTATCGTTGTAAGCCCCTGATGAAATGGTATCTAGAGACAAGAAAGGTAACATGCTTATGCTATCTGTTACTGTTATGTGTGCGGAATGCTTAACTAGCCTCGTACCGGGGCCCCCAGCAAGACGCGTAGTGAGAACACAAAAACTGGAAACAAGTCCAAATAATACATGAATACTGTTGTGAAGGAAGTCGGTTTCACACGTTTATTATCATCCAATAAGTTAAAAATTAACTCGTGTTCATCATGTTAAATTCTCAAACCCAGATTCATTACTCTTGTATGGGGTGGATAGTTTGTTTAGTACAAGAGAATTGTTCACTCTTTAGAAGTATATTTTGTGTTTAAAATGTTTTACAACTATCCTGCGTTGAGCCTACTCGTTCTAAACTATGTCATGGTTTACTTTCGTTTTAATTAGCACTGAAAACAAACATCTTTCTCTTATTACTTCTAGTGAACCCTTCAATATTGTATTCTATCATAACACACTGAGATTTATTATCGTTCATGATTAGATAAATTTCATTATTGTATCCTAAGATATTCAGTGTTTCAATACAAGATATACAATAAATGATTTGATGTTTAAAATATATTCGGCTTCACTGTTTTGTTGCGAACTGTATAGGAGTAACGCATTTTAAAATATTACTGGGATTAATCGGTAACGGTTGTACTTTATCTAAATCTTCGGCAAATCAAAGAAACTGATGAGGCAGGAGAATTTTAACATAAGAAACTGCTTCGCCTTTGTATTACGTCATGGAGTTTATATTATTTCGCTTATGCACCAACAAAGATTCGATGCAGTATCCCACCAGTGGTAACAGTTAAATACTTGATTATAAGCTGTAATAACAAACTTCTGTACAATTTACGTACAAGTAGATGGTTAACGTCAATTTTTATTTTAACGAATTGTTTGAAAATATGTTTTCAGTTTTGAAAGAATATCAGCATGATTTAAAAGAATGACATTGACAAAACTAAACTTGTCATAAAGAATTTTTTTGATTGACAGTGATAGGTCATTTTGAAGCTCTGTAGAATAAGTCCGTCGATGCATTTTATCATACTATCTTAGGGGTGAGAACTAGAAAAGCAACGGAAGATTACGAGAAATAAGTTATGCACAGTAAAACGCTCAATATGCATAGAAATATAGTCCGTTGAGGGACAACGGTCCCAGTGAGTAAAAGTGGAGAGTCTTCCTTGATAATCCGGTATACTGCTCATTCCTTAAGAGAATAAGAACATATTTACCTATGTTGGACTGAACGTTTATTGGAACCAGTTTGTTCACCAAAGAAAGCTTTAGCATCGAATCAATGTGGGCATGTAATTTAGAGAAATATGTAGAAAATAATTGTCTTCAAAATTAACCACTGAAGTATGATGTGAAACTAGAGCAGTTTCTGGAGTTCTTTTATGTTTGTATGTAAACTCACATGTATCGATACCATCGTACAATAAATGTCGAAGTGTGAATATTGGCAACAGTTCCTCTATCGTTGGTGTTTACACTAAGATAGAAGTTTATTCACATGAAGACGACTTAAAACTAAAGAACGTAATGATGTGATCTTTAAACGAAGTATTTAGAAGACTCCACGGAAAATAAAGGAAGAAACAATGATAATCAAGAGTAATGTTTAATCTTAAATAAAGGCAGACAAGTGTCCGACAACTAGACTGGCTATCTGGAGAATAGAAGAGACTTTCCAGCAGTGAAATACCGAAAAGTAGCAAAGATGCTTGACCTTCAATCAAGGAAACGACAGTGTTTAACCCCTACTGATCCATTTAGTTTGGCGTGATATATATCGTCGCGCAAATATCTGGAACTTATTAGCGGCTTAGCTGCTATGTTCCAACTGTTAAATCATTAGTTGTAATACTCAATAGCTAAAACATGGTGTATATATATATATATATATATATATTAGCGATAGAATACTAATTAGTCATTAATGATCTCAAATTTTGTAATCTTAGTAGTACTAATGATTGGCGAATAGGCGAAATTTTTATTCAGACGCATCTTATGAAATCGGCTAAAGTTGTATTATCTCAATAAGAAAAGGAATTCAAGTAAATTCATCTCAAGTGGAATTAAGATATAGTTAACAACAACAATAGTGAAAAACTAAACTTAAGTAGTATATGTAGATCAAGTAAAGAATATATGTAATAAGATAGGGACTCATGATCTGACGTAACATAAAAAATGTATGCATCAATTACTCTGTGACTGGTGGCTTGAATGAAAAAAATACAATATTCACTAGGTATAATAAATGAACTAATAGAAAATGTTACTACTACTAGTAATCAGTATCATTCTTATTATCATCGTACAATACATGAAATCATTCTGATTGGTTGCTAAGGTCGATTTTGTCCAACGAATCAATATTGTGCACACTTGTTTATAATACCTCTCTTAGCAACCGTTGCTAACACTGAGAATTTTACGATATCATCTCTGTATAAATAGTAACCAATAAAACTGGAGAGAATATATACATATAATACAAAAAAGTAGGCAATTAATATAGTTAACAAAAATATAAATTGGACTGTTTTTTTTCTGGTTTTCAGAAGCCGAGAAAAAATACAATAATAACATCATCGGTGACTTTTGTTACTTCATTTTGAGAAATAATTCAACTGGTCGATGTTTAACTATAAGCCTAACTAAGAAAAGAGGATATCATCATATGAAAAAGAGAATAAACCTTAGAAATCTTGTAGGTTTTATGTAGTTCACTGTTAATTGTTCAGTGAAAACGTTTTTTAAAATTTATAGAACTGAGAAGAATCTTAACACTATAATTAAATCGTGGTTTCAATATCAAAATCTTCAGGATAGTTTTTGTGTTGATCAATTAAATAAGGTAAGAATTAAATATTAAAAATATGTTTTTCTTATGTTTTCTTATTATCACTTTCTAAAACCTTAATCATTTGTGTTTAAATTATGAAACAATGAACTGACTTAATCTATAAATACAAATCATTATATTCCAGCTCAAGTATTGCTGACGAACTTTAGGGGTCTGAGTTTGACCTAGTGTTAGTTAGTAGGTGATCACAACTGAGAAGTCCCAAACTAATAGTAATAACACTTCATTGTATTTTCTTATTTTCAGTGGTACTTCGATGGACATTAATCTGTTATATCGATAATCATTTAGTGAAACAAATTACTTATTTAAACAATGAATTCCAGTTAAATAATACGGAATAGTAAAGTAATTGAGGCTAAATTCAATAAATGAAATATATTTATCAATTTATTGGGCATATATATAACGTGTGCCTGTTGTAAAGGAAGCCAAATCCTGTTCAATAGTGTGAGATTATCATTTGGCCGATTTCTGATTAACCCCCTGTATCATAAAGTATATTTGGAAAGATGTTAGCAATAAAAAAATACATAGTTTCAACGTTTCACACTTCATTCTAGTTTAAAGATCTGCATGAAGGTAATCAAAACTACCAAAGGTAAATAGACCACCAAAGGTTTTTTTGATAAATAACCGTCCTGCAATATATGCTTGTACTCAACCTTATCATTAAAAATCTCAGATCAAATTACTAGATGAAATGCTGTAAAGGTTTTTCATTACAGAATCTGAAAAAAATAACTTAAAGAATACCTTATTACACATTTACTACTTGTTAAAATTCGTTAGCTCTAAGCTGGGTGCATGTTATCAAATATTCTCAACAGAATACAAGGTATAGATATGATCAGTTGCGTAGTATAGTTATGTTTTATCAATGATTTTCTGTGTTAATAAACATTGATTGTCAGAAAAATGGGAGTCGATCCTGCTTAATAACGAGATGCACTTCAAATAATTTAGTAATACGTATGATAAATAATAAAGGTTGGTTTATTTCTGTTTACCAAAGAACTGTGAATATCGATCTTATCAATCTTGATCAAATCTGAATGTACACTATTACAATAATCAATAGAATTTAGAGGCCTTTAGTCATTTAGACATATACAGATCATGTTAATACTGAAATGAAAGCATTCAAATACAAATGGTGAATGTCAAATCAACATGCGATCCCTTCAAATGTATTGCGAACAAAAACTACCTGACACAGTAATTCTTCAAAAAAATATCTGAATAGTTAAATATATGCATAGAACGTTTTCACATGAGAATTTAGAATAGTTTGTAGAACTTTTTAATTTCACTGTCACTGTTTATATTTATACTGAATTTTTGCAAAACAGTTGGCATCGATAAATCGGGTTTATGTAAATTTAAACATACGTTGGTTATAAACGTCACTGATGAGTCCATTAAAATTTTGAATATAACTTATTATTGTGAAAAATATGAAATAATTATCTGGTTTACTTCGAAATCTGTTAAGATCGCTTAATATCATTTCTTTAAGGCATAGTCAAACAGTTGTGATTAAAAAGAAATATTTTAAGGAGCATAAAACATTGGTATAGTATTTAAAATTACATAACAAATAATTACTCGAATAAACCATAGTTATCTTAGTATTTCTGCTGTAACATTTATTTCAGGAAATTTACCCTTAAGCTATCTAATTTGTTTGACATATTCATGAAGAATATTATAGACCACTGAAATACTGATCCTCATATAAATATGAGGTGTATACTCCTACCCATTTTCAAAGATTTCATGATCAAATCCCACTTCATTTAATTAAGTTTGAAAACTACATAGTATTATCAGCCAAAAAAATATGGAGTTTTAAGCTGAATACATTAAACCAAACTTGATCACTGAATCGTATCTAACATAATTGAATTAGTACATGCGAATTATCTAGTAAATTACCTCTTTCTTGCATTGGTGAGGTTATGTTATACCTTTGTGATAAAACTTAGTTAAAACTATGAGTTACGGTTTCACTGACATATAAGTTTCAAAAGAGAATAAAGTTCATGAATAAATACAAAAATCAAAGTATACAATCATTGACACTCATTTAAACTGCCGAGAAACAATAGGGTGGTCATCATCATTGCTGATCAGTTGAAGATATTATGTCAAAGCACGATTCTCACTACTTTATTGGTGTAAATTATTTTTCTTTTAAAAATAGTCAGTGATCTTAAATTTATTATTTACGATGTATATTCCTTATGGAGACCACAAGCGATTGAAGACAGAGATTATTAGAACTATCTGATATATTCGATCGATACATTTTGAACAATCTGATGACACATATATTTGTTAAGAACATTTACACATATTAAAAATTTAAAGATCAGCAAAAATAATAAGGAAAATAATGTTAGAAATAATATGAAGCTAGATAATTAAACAATGTTACTAGAGTAGGTATGGGGTGAGAACAAACCGATTTTGAATAAATAGAAAGGATTTAAATGTCCGTATGGTCAAAGCTTCAATAAACCTTATCCATAATTCTTATAGTCTTTGTCTTTTTGTTACACTATCTCAAATGTATCAAAGAGACTAGTTGTTTTAAATTGTTAAAATAATTTGTCAGTAAAGTTTTCATCGCTTATAGATTCGGTTTGCCAGATTAGTTTTCATTATTTGGATTGATGACTGACAGATGTATCAATTAGAATTTTGAGGAAAACCTTAATCGACTGATTGATTGGTACTTTTATATGTAGCAACTAATATTTTATCAATGTCATTTTTAATCCCAATTCTTTCTCTAAACCTTTCGGTGTCAAGTTTTAAAAAAATCTTGGTAATTTTTGAAGACAAGTATCTTTTTAAAAAGCTACCTATTCCAAATTGCACTCCATTTAGCTAATACACTGACAAAGAATCCCAGAATACCGTTAAAAATGTATTCGATGTCCCTTGATTTTCAATTGCTCTTCAAACCTAATCAGTCCATGACGAGAACTATTTTAAAATCTGACTATTGCTTATAACTAATTAGATAAATGGTAATCAGTTGCTCACTAAGAATTAACTTTTAAATAAATTTACAATGTTCCACTAAGAAATTGTAATTGGTGGATATCAGTAATGTTGGGCGTGATACAAATGTCATATATGACATCGGATGACGAAGATACTAATATTATGAGCTAAAAGAGGTTTGAAATGTGGATCATTGAATTCTCACTCAGTGGTTGAAAAGTAACGCTCTCACAGTAAGACATGAACTCCCTGCGTTTGACCCCTAGTGTTATCATCATTGAAGACTGACGAGTCATTCTAGGATGGGGTAAAACATTCGTCCGATATTCCGTGGTGACCCACGGTTCTTTCCCTATACAATACCATTTTAACAAGTCAGACTTATGACTTTCATTTCACTCCATACAAAAAGCGTCATCTTCAATAATCAGTGTTATCTTAATAATTACACAACTTTATATAGTACTCTTCAGTGTCTAGTTGTTTATTTAAAATTATTCATTTCTGATGTGAACTATCACCATGGTAAACAAATCAATCTTCGACGCATATATATATATATATATATATATATATATATATATATATATATACGAATGACATAACGTTTATTTGACATAAACTTGTCTTAATTGATATAATGAAGAACCTTATAAATGGTGCATTAATTAATTTTATCCTTCTTTTCATAAATTTAATTGCTATTAATAAAATGAATACAAATGAAAGATTAAAAAATCCAAATTATCAAAATGTCATCTAACAATCAATCAGAAATAGCTCCCCCATTAATTACATCAGGTTAGTTAAATTATGTTATGGTATTTAATTTACCTGAGTTAATTGATTAAAGAATTATTGTTGTATAAGAATATAACAATTCAGTTTAAATTATTGGTAGTACAATATCTTTATAACTCAATGCAAGTAAAAAAGTGCAATACGAACACACTACTAAAATGGTGTCAAGGAAAAATCAGAGTACACTAGAAAAGTAGTTGTACTCTATTTTTCAGTAACACGTAACGAAACTAAATAGTTGGAATAAATGTATTCAAAATAATTTTGAGAAAATAGAGATTGAATAGAATGATACAGAGAGTTTTTCAGGGATTAACTGATATTTTTTATATTACAAACCATAATTTAAATAGGTTACGAAGGTTACTGAAAAAACATTTTACTATAAATACAAGTTCACTTAAGAGGGTAAAGTAAAAGCCTGACATAGTAGTGCTAACAGAATCTTATTTTAATAAAAATGGTCAGTTGAAACAATGTAAATGTAGTAAATTATTAATCAAACTAGCTCACAAAATGCTGAAATATTACGTAAATCAATTATCTTATAGAAGTATATATTCAAATGTAGTGAACGGAAACTCAGGTACTGTAAATTAATTAATTGTTTTTTGTTAAACCAAACAGTGTCTTTTTAAAATATGAAAATTATATATCAAATACATCACTTGCATATCTTCCTCGAGTTGTCGTTTACACACTCCATCATTCTTCCAATCCTATGGTTATTGAAATTTCTCTCCGTTCTCTTTTCGCTTCTCTTTGTTTCAAACTTCTGATAAACGCTCTAAATCCAATTCTCGCTTCATACCATTTAAAGCACACACTACACTAGTATGATTTTCAACCATTTGTATTTTGTGATGACGTTACAAACACTTCAGTCTTTTATAGTAGATTGGTTGATGTTGGACGTGTACACCAATAAATCTCGGATCATTGGTCTAGAGATTAGGAATTCTCATGTAGGACCGAAGGTTACGTATGTGCACTGTTGAGGAGTCACATATTAGAATGAATCGGCCATCCAGTACTTTCAAGTTTTCAGTGGCTGTCTAAATTCAAACATGTAATTCGATTCTTAGTCCCTAGTAATTAAAAAAATATTTGTTTTACTTCCTTTCAAATTTTCAGATCAGGTGGATGGTACTTTGAAAGAAAATGTAAGCGATCCATTTTAAACATATGAATTCAGTTGATTTCTGATGGTTTATTTAGAATATGACGTCAGATGTATTTTTTCAAATTCACTGTCATTCAACTCATGCTTTTGTCGATATGATAGGATATAAAAAGATATCCAAAGCACATCTGAGTCTATTATTCCTTCAGTTGTTTACTTACTGGTTATCATCTTACATGAATTTGACTACTCATCAGGTCACTTGTTATATTCAAAATATTTGACTGTGTTAAAACCCTGATTGTAATCAAGCAATAAACGTTATTTTGTGTAACATATTTGTCAAATACGAATTTATGTATTAAACCATAAGCAATATTAATTGTAAATTTAGATGATACTAGATGGTTTCATAAACTGAAGGAATTGAATGTACTAAAAGAATGTAAATATACCATAAATTATATTTGTCTATTATGTTTCATTGATTTCTATCCGAGGACTTGTAATTAAGACAACAAATAAAAATTTGATAAAACACAAAACATTTTAAGCAAATGAACATTTTTAACAAATATATGAACTTTTATGAACCAAGGACATTTGAGCATTTATCAAAGTAATTATTTGATATAAATTGTATATTTCCCTCTTGAATATCTTTAATTGTTCGGAAACAGGTTTTCAGTGATACTATAACTGACCTCAGCGAAGAGAAATATCAATCTGATGCTATTTAAAGATATCTAAAATCAAATACTAGCTTTGCCTATTATGAATTGAATTTCTGGATAAAAATTTTACTGATGAAATTAAGTCTTAAAGCAACAGCTCACACTGATCAATCATCAACATATAAAAATGATACTAGATGTAGAATAAACTATGGTATTCAACGAAATTGATTTATTTTTGATAGAACTTTTCCCATCGATAAATTTGACCAGAACAGAAACAGATTTCACTGTTTCTCATCAACTATAATGCTTAGATTGTAAGCCATCGATGAGAAACCATTGAATGAAATCCATTTACTTCACAATAGAAGTTAATATTGTTAAAAAGTTTAGGTAAATTTCTTATCATTTTTAATAACAAGAATGCATTCATATATCACAATAGGATGAACAAGGTGTTACTTTTGTCATTTTGAAAATTTCTCCTCACTTATTCTGTATATGTACTACAAATATATATATATATACAGAGAGAGAGAGAGAGAGAGAGAGAGAGAGAGAGGCAGATTGAACGAGAACATGAACATATAATATGTAATTTAAAACTAACGCATGTATCAATCTTAGAATGTCTTGCAACCAACGCTCTCATTTTGTGACTTCTACCAAACATTCATGAAATGAAAACAAGACTAACAACTTGGTAGGAAAAGGTCTAAAAGAGGCTGAGCCCAAAATAGATGAACACCTGGACACCTTATTTATGTCTGTAATGAAATCGAAAAAACCGAGTTTTTGAGATTCTATATTAAATGTCATTTTTGAATAGACAGGGGATATTTGTTCAATAGACCATCCAGATTCATCAAAATGAAATGGTTTTACTTTAAAATCTTACGTTTACTCCCTTTCTGCCACTGACATATTGAAGCAGATAATACCGATAATTTTCAACTATTCAGCGATATTGATTCGTCATTTTTACCTGTTTTTAATTTAACAATAATAGTAATGAAGGAGACCTAAATAAGTATTTCTTGCCAAAAATATCGACTATCGATATTATTCCTTTGAAGAGACGAGAACTATCTTAAATGTTTATTTGTACAAATACTCATATGTAATTTTAATATAATTCCAAGCTTCAGAAATATTTCTCTAATCGAATGAATTTTTTCTTAATTTTGCTTAGGATGTAAAAACAATTCGTGGCACATTAATTAGTCAGGTTGAAGCAAACCGACAAAAAAGTAAACGATTAAAACAATTAGTTGAAGAACGTCGGGCAACTGTAAGTGATTTATGAATCTTCGCATAATTTTCCATAGATACTGTTCTGTTAATAATAATATCAAAATATTATTAAATGAAAGCTTAATGCAAGTTTATTCAGGTATATAAGCATAAAAAAACCCTGATAGCATTTTAACAATGGTTCAACGAATACAAAATAGAATTAAATCAAACTTGTGCACGCTTTTATTCATGCTACCAGGTCGGAATCAGAAAATCAATATATTTAGATTCACTTCTGTTACTGATTGAAGCTGACGGAATGTAGGGATTATCAAAAAATTGAAAAATATTAGTCATCGAGTTCTAGCAGCATATGATTATTGTTAAAAAGTTGAAGCAGCTTGGTTTCTAGTCTTAGTATGTGTCCGAAATCCTTAATTATTAAGTATCTCAAACTGAGATTGAAATGTGCTCCTCAATGTTTTTAAATAATTTATGTTAAGTTTAACTATTTTTTAGAATTGAATTTATTTCTAATATGCAAAATTTCCACCTATGTATCTCCTCAATATTCCTTTCACGCTTACTTTGTATTGGACTATAAAACTATCTAAAGTGTGTGGTGTTGTTAATAGTTTAGTACACTTAGTAAGGTAAATGAGCTAACAACTTAATCAGCATAATATTTCATTATATATATTTTTCAAAATATTGCACAAACTATAGACTTTTGAGTAACTAAATAGTTAAGTATCAGTATAAAAAGTTCTTACAATTGGATGATCACTGAATAGTGACCAGTGTCATATATATTTAGTCATTCTTGGTATTAGTGGAATTTTATCGATTCGTTTGCAATGTGGCCACTAGTCTAAGCGACTCAACATCGCGTACGCTATGTTGGGATGTAAGATAGTATTTAGAGATATCTTGTCGACTATCTCCGACCATCACCGTAAAAGAAATCTATTTAACAGTAGAGATTTAGTACAACGAGATTTCAAAAATTTAGCTAAGTCTCATATGATATGAAATAAGATTCTCTCAACAATTCATAAATCATTTATTATAATTTAGAAGGTTCATCGACTTTATCCTGAACACTAAAATAATCTGGTGTCGGATAAAGAATGCATTTATGGTTACAATAAAAGCTATGAACAAATACATCTACAGTTATTTATTAGTTTAGCGGAGATAACTGTGTGATATTATTTGCAGTAAGAGAGATAATGCTTTATTGTAGTAAAGTCTAGTCTAAAAGAATACAAGAATTTTCAGTAAAGTATTTTCATTTTCGTAATAGAAAGTTTACAATAATTTCTATACTTTGATAATGAATGCCATAATAAATAACAAAATTATGAAAATCGAGATATATTCTAAGCAAAGATGGAAGATGGCTGGCACTGAGATCCAGGACGCCTCTTCGTCCTATTTGAGACTTGTGCGTTGAATATGTCTGCATCCGAGAGTGGATGTTCACTCCGGGACTCATTAAACATAAATGGAAAGATTCCAACAACCAATATTTACATAAATACAAAGCAAAATTCACCCTATTGAACAGGCCGCTGGCTATCTAGAAACTGTAGGTAAGTGCATACCGCGATGGTACTGGACTCGAGTCCCAGAGTGAACTATGGGATGCAAGTCCATCAAGATGACGAGTCCTAAATAGAACGAAACACGCGTCGTGGACCTCATTGATAGCCACCGTCTATTTCTGATTTAAATGCTTGTAACTCAATGGTAATATTGAGGCGATTCGCACAGGATGCATATATGCCAAAAGTGACTGATCAATTGCAATCCTAAACGTCAGTTAAATTATAACAAAAAATTACAGTTGTTGAAATTTTTTCAAATGTTTGGCACCAATTATGATACAGCGATATTTATTGTCAAATAACTTTATAGCTACGTTCTATTCAATTAATTTTGGTTAACAAAGAAGATATAGTTATAGAATTACTTTATGTGCTTCTGAGAAGCATCTAAAGACTGCGGTCTACTTAGATGTAATTTAACTTTAAATAGTTTGACTATTATACAATCTGTTTAGTTATAAATTATATTTGTATATTTAGGTGGATGGAAGGCATTTATACATAATTCAAACGGTAAGTGTTAATTATTTAACGAATTTTCATTATTCATTAATGATCGGCTAGTATTTTATTTGTTTTATACGGTTCGTAACGACTCATATAGGCTTGAAACATGAACAATTAGTCAGAGTTACAACCATTTTGTGCATTTATATGACAGATTGGTAAAAAGCGTTTTGTGGATTTACCTGACTCACGCATATTTCAGTGTAATCTTATCTGTGATGTGCAGTTCTCTGTATTCATGCTTGTCTATCTCCATTCGCTTATAAAATTGTTCATCTGTTTTGATATGTAAGCTAATTTTTTCAGACATTTTTCCATTCATTTAGTATGTCAGTTTGATCTTCACCGGTTGCTTCGGTTCAATAATCTAAATTCATCTATATAGTCTTCTATGAACATACTACTGTAGCACAACCAAACATGCGGGATCAAAAAGACAACTAAACAGAAAGTTAGACCTCGGAATTAAATTTCCAGTAAAAATTATGCTCTCACAGCAGTATTCACTGACTAAATGAACCGAACAATGCTAGATATTGAACTTTGAGAGGCAGATTCATTATAAATTAAGAGAAATTTGTCTTATTCCGGTTTATATTTCATCATATTAGGGATGCAGATCGGGTGACGAAAGTGGTGACCACTTTGGCCACAAGACATTGTTTATACAAAATTGGTCTTCATTTGTTTCTCATTATTAGCTTTATTGTTATTTTTTAGTTATTACAACTTAAGAGTCCAATTTCAACTAGATTCTGAGTTTAAATAGTATAGCAAACATCAATACTGATACGAATAAAGAAGTCTAACAAATTATGTAGATAGCCATCGTTGGTACGACAGCAATATGAATATATTTGAACGTGGTAGTGACTAAGTTTATTTAGCTGATGAAAGTGTTATTTAAAGAATAAAGTATTAATATTACCAAATTGCTTAACGGCAACCTGGCTAACAGTGGAATCCAGGACGCGCGTTTCAACCGATTTCAGATTCCTCAATTGGATTTACGTGCATTCTAGGGTTGATGTTCACTGACATATTCAAACATAGTACCTTATATTTCAAACTCTATCGCCTTATCCACTACTCAGTCCATATAGCTACTGACATGTTCAACGGGTGTGAACTTTAATTTAAATATTGGTTTGGTTTACTCAACTGGTGATATTTTAAATGAAAGTCGATAAGTTTCGTTTATTTTTTATGAAACTTAGCAACATCAACAACTAATCATAAAAAGATTATTTTTCGTCATTATACAAAATTATCTCGAGAAGAATTGAAAACCAAAATTTACTGAACAGTTTTTCTACCAACAGTTTCGAACTGTTCATCCACTCCTTCTGTCTACCAATGATTTAACCTCAACGTTTATGTGTCTTGAGGTAAACACGAGGCCGGAATTTTAGTAAGTCACATTTAAGATAAGATAGTCCTTGAAACAATACATTTTTAAATAAGTATGAAAAAGTCAACTATAAAGTATTGGATATGATTTCCCATAGTCCTCACCTCTATGTAATTTTACGTTCTAGCGAATAACATGCTTTTTTTAGAGACAGTTAAGTTGAATATGTCATTTTCTGGAAGCTAATATTCTGACAAAGTCTTCTCATTTTTGAAATAACCTATGTACAGCCTATGTATATTAATTAATTAACATTTCGTATTTTACGTTGAATGGTTAATTCACAAAGTATATATTGTCATTCTGAATCAGATCATCCACGTCTTGTTCAGTCGAAAACCCTGAAATTCAATCACACGACTTTGAAAAAACCCGCAAAATATCGTCCAAGTCAAGTATTCATTTACTTTACTAATTTGTTTTTCTTTTTTTCTTCTTTTTATTCATTTCATAGTTAGCCCAAGCTATACGGCTTGAAGTTCAATTAATCACTGATACTTTATTAATGGACGATAAAGTATGTAGAATAAATTATTATTTGCTAAACCTATGTGTAATTGACTATAAAATATTCTATTTTATATTCAAACTTAATTAAGCAAGTTCACCAACAGAATTGAAAGATAAAAATGTTTTACTGTTCTCCGAGGCCAGTTGCTACTGTTTAAAATAATAAATGAAATTATAATTTACATATCAAAGAACAAAAGAGAATACTGTTATTATTAGAGAAAACTAAGTATGCCGGAAATCGGTCTTTACCTATAAGCCATCCATGATTGATCGTTTCTTTAGTGTTTTATGGTGAGCAGAAGACTATGATGTTGAATGCTAAAGAAAATGTTACTCAAATGAAGTGATTCGAAAACAAAGATCGATATGAAAAGTCCAAAAAGTATTTTAAATGAATCAACAAACTTAAAAGCTACCCTAAAAACAGGAATATTCTCTCAGTCTACTTTAGATTTCTAATTAAACTGAGATCATACTGTTAAAAACATAATCTTCTGATTTATTTTGGGAATTCCATTCGGTATATGGTTTAAAGAGGTTAAAATCCCATGTCACTTGTTAGTTATGACGTTTGTTCACAATATGAATAACTCATATAATACAAAAAATGGTTTATTATTTATAACATTTTGGGTTTTCCTGTTGTTTCTATTTAGGAATGGATTTTGATCAGTTCCTTGACTCAGTAGCTTAGTAGATAAGGCTTTCGCATTTTAAATGGTAGATACTTGGTTCAGTTCTGAATAAAAATCAACACTACACTGTAGATACACCAAGCGGATAGGCAGAGAATGGGACAAAACAAACTTCCTGAACTTCATAATGACTCAATTCCAAAAACATCAAGAACTTTATCTTTTCATGAATTCCATATATGTTTATAAAGAAAATGAACGCAGCTTAGGTTATCATTATCATGTCTATTGAAAGGATCACCGAACCTAGGTTTTGTTCTAGTTATGGCTTATTACCAAGGCGTACCTAGAATTTTGAGAGTAATTTGTGTTTTATATCAAGTTCTAACGCTCTTCATCTAGTTTCTCAGTCTCAGTAGTTAACACCAAGCTTTCCAGCACGGGACTGAGATGTTTGTATCCATTAATCATTGAGTGTTAGTAGTAGAACTCCGCAGGGAGTATCATTTCCTTGATAGGTTTCTTGCAGATTACCTTTAGTCATTTAGCATCAAAACATAGTCGACAAAATGTCGAGCCACTTTAAACACACTACCACCTAATCGTTCGAACTAGCTCAGTACCCAAGGATTACACAAACATGAGATTGGTTGATACTTGGGGGTCAGTTAATAAGATTATTAAAATGTGATAACTTTTTGTTTTCTTGAAGGTTTCAAGATAATTCCAATGAATGTATACCGCATTTTTCACCAGTATTTATCTGAATATGTTAATCTATTTATCAATAACACCATTACTTATCACTTTAACAATTATCTAACTTCAGTGGTCCGAATTCGATGAATTCTTTCAAGCTAAAGGAAGCAAACGATTATTATTCTATTATCAAGAAGTTAGTTTCAGAGATTTTGCAATATTTTGAAGTAATTTGTTAGAATGAACGAGTTACTATGAAATACACTATCCACTGATAAAAAGATTAGTTCATTAATTTTAATAACCATAGAGATAATTCATCTTTCACGTAGGTATTAAGGACTCTATACAGTTATAAATTTAGGATTTTCTAATCAATGAATAATTCAATCGTTTAATTCAGAACTGAATTGGAACAGATCGCAGTATGTTCGCTCTTATATAGGTTATTTTAGGAAACTGATCACATCAGACTTGTGCATTTTGCATTAAATCACTAAAGAATTTCTTCGATTTACTTACATAGACGACCTAACAGTGATATTTTAGATTCAACAAAACATATTGAATAATCTTAAGAATGTTGATGTAGATACATTACTACTAAAGATTGTCACTAAGTAATTACTAAAACAACTCACTGAGATACCATCTAATTAACTATAGAAATATTTCATTGAGGATAATCTATTGAAAATTATTTAGAAAATATATCATTTTATTAGCATATAGTACAGTCTCAAATATCACGAAGTTTCTTGACTTATTTTCATGTAGTTTAGTGCGCGATGAGTTGTGTATCGCCACTGTGGCAGTCTGAAATAAATCTAAGCTACGTCATCATTATAAATCCTTTAGGAATATAATTTATTATCCGTTCACATAATGGAATATCCTCATGAAATTTTAACATTCGACACTTTCAGGCTCGACAAGTTTTAATTGAACTTAATTTTTAATAGTCTAGTGCAATGAAATGAAGTGTACGAAACTAAGATAATTCTTATTTAGTAATATATTATGTAGAAATAACCTTCGAAAAATGTTCTTTATCTGTAAAATGTCTATGAAAATCTATTTAGTTCTTGATGTTTTCATAGATACATTTGAAGTAGCATTGATGTTGTCAAAATTAGTGAATTTTTTCTGCAAAAAAGTACATTTTCATAATGGAAGTGTTTGTTTCTCTCTTTTTGAACAACTCTTGAAGATAGCTTTTGACCCGAACTGACATAAACAAGAGCAATGAATAAAAACCTCAAATCAATTTTTTTAATTGAAGTTCATAACAATAATAAAGCTCTCCCTTAGTGTTCAGTTCTTCTCTAACCAGTGTCACTCTGTTTTAAGAGCTGTTATTGACACCTGACTAAAACATACTTTCCATTAAATTGATTATTATCTTGATTGAGATCATCAATAGATCGATATTAGCGTTCGATCGGTAGAACGAAGGTCCTGGGTTAGAATCACACATGTAGGGTCGCTGATGCACACTGGTGAGGAACCCCATACTAGGACAAAACGGTCATCCAGTTCTTCCAGGTTTCCGTTGGTGGTCTAAACATTGATCCATTCATGATCTCAATCAAAACTCAATAACTTCCACAACCCTATACTGATGGATATTATTTATTGTGCAGGCTGTTGGACAAACAAGAAAAAGAATATTTATTGCTACTGGGACTCATGAAGTAAGTGTTGTATAAGAGTGAATATTTCTTTAGCAAACATAAAATGACATATTTTCAAATTTTGATAAGGCATAAAACGTTTATAAAGTTTTTGTAGTTTTTCCATGAATTATATTTCGGTTAAGTGATTGTTCATAAGTTATTTTAGGAAGTTGAACACCACCGGTAATTATTTCTTATCACAACTTCAGGTAACCATTTCGAAGTCATAAATAAAAATCTGATTATTGTTTGGTTGAGTAACGGGTAGAGATTAATTTAAAAAAACTTGAATTTAGTCTTCTCTCAACTACATCAGAAGTAAGACAATTGCTCATCAGTGATACTAAACTACAAACTAAGTAAATTTAGGGATATGAACCACTGGATTATAACAATAAATAAAAGACCACAAGATGATAAATTAGTTAGAACTAGTATCAATAATGAGTCGGCATTACAACTGATAGTGTGTGTATGAAAATTAATGTAATAAAATGAGTGGTTTATCTAATACAAGTCATTGTTATAGACGAATATGTAAATTGATGGCTATACAAACTCAGTTAGGTGTATTAAATGTCAATGAGTCAATTATATGTCATCAATGTATGCCACAAAATATGTCGTCTAATGAGAAGACGATTTTATAAACTTAAAGAAAACAATTCTGCGTTACAGAACTTGAAAATGACAAAACTTCTACATTATTATGCTATCTAGACATTTATCCATGCTTGGATGTTCTCACTAACAAATAAATCTAGCGATCATCGATTTAAACCTTTAAGCTAATCGATGATTATTGCTCTTGGATGATCGGTCATAACCGAAAGACAGAAGTGGATTGCTTTTATTAATGTACTATAGCAACTTTTTCATTAACGTAATATGGAAACAGATCAATCTGATTCATCTTAAAACTTACATACTTCCATAAAGCTCCAACTTATTTGATTAGAGATACACTTATCTAAAATATACATCTTGAAACATCTTACTCTAACGATTCTTTCAGCAACTAGTTTAGTAAATATAACAACGTTTTATTACAAAGTTATGTCAACTTTTAAAATTATTAGTAATCATTTACAAATAATCCTGTCACTGTTTATTTGTTAGAAGAATGAAACAGACTTTTGAAGTATACATCAAACTAATTTTATACATGCTGTAAATTAAACAATTTTGTTAGTCTGATGAAATAGTAACTCGAAGCTTTTAAATGATGATCAGATTTGTGTACATTATTTTTCCGTTATAATTTAGGTACTACGTGGTACATGTTTTATCTTTCTACGAATTACTGACAAGGCTATTACAACTGCAAATATTGGTACAGAAGTTTCATTTCAACAATTAGATGCAACAGAAGGACGTTTATTTGAATCTGTACAAAATTATTTGGAAAAACTCGCATTACCAGTGTTCGAAGGATTAGGTGTAAGGTTCTTAATTTTTGTTCGACGTGTTTAAATTACATTAAAGATTTTATTATGACAAACCATTATACAGTCATTCAGTGGTATTTATTTAGAAACTTTGACTACTAGACAATATCTCATATTTCCGACTTATAGACAAAAATAGATAAAGTACTAAATACATCTGGAATGTCGATAATTTCAGGGACTGTACTCCATTAGCATAAAGGAAAGGCGTTGATAAAATAAAGGTATATTAGTTGCAAAGTAGTTTGATTATTGTCTGAATTTACCATGGCATAGAAATTTGATAACACACATAAATAAGACTAAAAACGTTTACATAGGTTGAAAATACACTTTTACTAACTTGATAAATTTGACTGGTATTAAAAAGTGATTACCATGTGTGAGTTATCTGTACTAATGACTGAGTAACTTACATAACAAAATACTGAGTACTATATTTCAATCACTATTATAGTTCTTTCAACGATTAGAGAACCTCTATTGATGTTGACTGACCTTATTTGCTTGCTACACACTTTTGACCTGATATTTAGGTATTATATTGATTGGTTTCTAAGTGGCCTCTGATGATTCTCCAACAAACCTGGTCTGTTTTTCTGAATGGCTTCTTGAGCTAAAGTTTTGTATAGTCAGAGATATAATGTTTCAATTAAGATGCTACTTAATTCCTGATTATGATATGTGTCGAGTTGACAAAAGGAACTGAAAATGTTTCGGGTCAGCTCAGCTAAACGATCAACATAACGGAAGATGGATAGTGTCTAGCAATGGAATCCAGAACGCGCGTTTCGTCCTATTCGGGACTCATCAGCTGAACGTACCTGCATCACAGAGTTGAAGTTCACTTTAGGACTCGAACCCAATACCATTCGCTTCAAATGCCATCGCGTTATCCACTTAGCTACTGAGTCCTGATATCCACTTGCTTGTGCAATGGGTTGAAGTTTAATTCACTTGGTAGTGTTTTACTTGAACCCTCCCATTGATTTTTAGGACTGTAAGTGATCAGTCTCTTATAGGCATATGTGCATACTGTGCTCAGTGGATAACGCGATAGCGTTTGAAGCGAATGGTACTGGTTTCGAGTCCCAGAGTGAAAATCAACTCTGAGATACAGGCACGTGCAGCTGACGAGTCCTAAATAGAAAGAAGTCCGCGTCCTGGATTCCACTGCTAGCCACCATCCATTTTTGCTTATAATGCTTTTAAATTAATGCAATTGTCGAAGCAATACGCACAGTATGCACATATGCCAATAAGAGACAGATCAATTTCAGTCCTAAACATCAATGGGAAGATCCAATTAAAACAATACCATGTGAATTAGAACGCAAAAAGTTATACGTTTTTTGTGATTAGTTCTTAAGTTAAAACTCGTACTTCTAAAACCTCCATGAATCACCTAAATATTATTATGTGGATTTATAAAGGATAGGTATGATAATAACTAATCTGCTGATTCCAATTTACAATTTGAACAAAAGCTGGATTATTAAAATATTCTGAACATTTTAGTCGCCCTAACTATACGTATTTATTCGTCAGGTTTACGATCTATTTGTTAGTTGAAACATGAAACGTTAGTCATCCTTTGTCAGTTGGATCACTGTAATATTCATAAATTTATCTTTCTTCACAATTAGGGAGAAATATTTCAGTACCAATAAATATAGCTTCTTTAATAGGTACACCACTTGATATAAAAATGAAAACCAGATGGTAATCAACAGTTGTTTCATTTTAGTAATGAACAATTCGGTAATGTAGGGCCATAACCATCCCAGAGGCTAAACCCAAGACGTTCAGATCCTTTATGTAAAATATATTCACTTGAACCATCCAATTTTTATATAACCCCTGTGCTCATGATAAAATATTCTTCAAACTAATATATAGGAATCTGATACAATTGAAAAATCACTATCAGAAACAATAAATATGGAAGAATTTGTTGCGGTACTCAGACGATACTTAGATGCACTTTCAAGTGCTAGAGAGAATATGAGTGATAAATTGGACTTGACGGCCGGACAAGAATCAGAAACGGCTATACAAATAATCAATACAAATGAAATTGAAAATATTAGTAAGCTTTATCTTACATTGATTTTGAACTATGATTGGGTACTGTTAAGCAATCCTATACTATAACGAAACAACCGTTCAGTGTTGCCAGGTTCACAGTGGTGCTCTAGCTGATATTAGTTAGTGGCTTAAGCTATGAAAATTTTAATTTTGTCTAAAATGTTTTACACACAACTTGCAATTTCAAATCTTCACAGTTATCAAATATTTTAGCCTCTCAAAATACTTATTTCTCAATAATTAAAAGTGGCTTGTAAGAAAAAGAAATATGTCACTGTTGGCTTATCGATATTTATCGGTGACAATAGGATGGTAGGAGAAATAATTTGGGGAAATGTGGTATTAGAACTTAAGGTAAAATAAGTTATTTATTAAAGTTTATAAATGTACATCAGTAAACATACAGTGAACGTTCAGAGCCTTCAACAGTGATATCACTGTTTTGATGACATCTTTTCGGGTTATAATTAATAGTTACTAAAATCTTTGATAATATTAGAAACAAAAATATAACATTGAATTGCTCAAATTCTGTGTAGAAACTTAAACTATTTTTTTTCTAAACAGATGATACTTCCATGTTTACTATTTATAGTTGATAGTTCTGAAACAATGGATCGTTTAATTCGCTTAGTTGAGAAATGGGTTAATCAAATTGAACAAATATTAAACCAGTCTGATCAAGTTCGTAGAGAATCGGATGACGTTGGACCTTCGGCTGAATTGACCTATTGGAGAGCTCGTTTAGTTCGTTTCACTAAGTAAGTCGGTGAAAAATTTGAAATATTTCTGAGGTTGATTTAATAAAATTCTTAAAACCTACTCAGTTAGTTCGTATAGGAGAGTTTAAGAACATTACTTGTAAACTATCATATTCAGTGTCAGCAATACATAGTAAAAGATCATTCGCATGACCAGATTTCGTTATGCCGTGCATATCTTTGGAGAGTTATACTTTAAAACTATATTTACTACAAGCTTTTCTATCTATTATAAACATAAATTTTTTTGTCAACGTTTCTTAATGACAACAGCAAACTTCACGCCATAGTTATTTACTGGACCCCTCCATGAGAAATGACCAACTGTTTAACATTAGTAGTTTATTTTCATCTCTATCTATCTGATTATCTTTAGTCTACAGTGGCTTCAACTATATTTGGAAATTATTTTAGGCCTTTAGTTCACATAATTACTGAATATTGGAGAAAACTTGACTAATTTAAAGAGATTTTGATTGACTCAATGAATTTTGTGTCGTCAATTTCTATCATAACCTCAATTTGTACTAATTTTCATGTTATCCATTCAGTTTTGTCTTCGACCAATAATTCGTAAATCTGAAGAAATGAAAACTTCAATGATAAAATTTCTTTTAACTAACTACATTGAAAGGTAGTTATTACACTCAACAGGAATAAATTCATAAATGATGGGAATTATTCTCTAACAATATAACTCAGTGCAAAATTTCTATCACGTTTTTATTGAATCTTGTCATTATACGATTTAAGTCATCATTCTTGTGTATAGATTCCTGTCTATCAGTTTAGATTAACTCCATTAGTTCAATTAGATATTACTTAACTCATTGCAGTTAATTAATAATTATTGAATTAATGCTACAATAGATAATTAATAAATTACGACCTTAAAAGATAAATGCTAAATATCTTTCAAATTCAGTATACTATTTAATAATAAAAGATGTCCTCATTTAATATTCGCTTAGCTTTTTTTTGAGATTGTCTTCTTTATTCTGTCAAGTTTCATATTTGACTCAATTTGTTTTAATTAACTAAGAATATAATAGAAGCTTGTTCATATAGACGAGGTCAAACAATAAGATAATAGTTTATCTTTTATAAATAAAACTTGTTTGAATAATAATTTACTAATCGTGTAACATTATTTAACTAAAATAGCCAATAATAAAGTGGTTCATCTATTAGTTGTTGAAAACGGATAATTTCATAGTTACTGCCTTGATATGTTGGTTAAATTTGATAAACACAACTGTATCACAAAGGCTAGAGAATGTTATCCTACCTCTTCAGATATTTTGACTGGGAAGAAGTAAAATCAAAGGCAGCAGATGTACAGAAGTTTCCTGACTCTGATGCTTTTCCCAAGGATAACCAGCATCTCCAGAGTTGCTGTTTTCGTCCCTCCTTCTTCTAACACAAAAATATTTAGTCCAGAACAGATCATTTGCACTCGGCTAATATGGTGAATTGTTTGGGTAGTTTTACTTTCATTCCTAACTCTGAAAATTATTTGTTCAGTACTCAGGAATATTTACTAAACCCTTACTTAATAGGCGATATAGAGAGTGATATTTAACATTCAAGCCTAGTTAACAGTCATATAGAAACGAAGAAATATCTTAAACATGACGTCTCTAGTGGAGCTGTAGTCTATAGACAAAACGGAAAAGTAATTTTTAAGGCCTACTTTGAACAGATCAATATTCAGCTACTTAACGTAAACTAACAGTTAGGAATATCTTTAAACCACAAGAAATCCAGTGTATCCTCCAACTTGAGACATTTTCAGCAACATTTATTCATGAGAAATCCTTCAGACGACCTCTAACAAGTTAGTTTTAACCTTCATGTCACAGAATAAGTCAATTTGTACATGAAAATAATAACCACCTAATCTCGTTAATAAGTCTTAAAGTTAGTGATTTTCAAGAGCTCTGAAAGTATCAAATTCATCCTTGATGCAGCTTAAGATTTTTATCACTTGAATATTTGTAGAACTGATATTGAGCAACTTTTGTTAATCGGTTCATGTTGTGAATATGAATCTTGTAATGTCACTAAGTAAATCATATTTGATCGAATAAATCTAGTGATGATTTTGTCGGTAATTACTTATTATACCACTACTGTTCATTTGTGTATTTAGCTTAATTGAAGAAATGCGTAATCCAAGTATTCAAGCAATTATTTCTACTTTACACTATGCAAAAGCACGTGTAATTAAACACTGGCGTCAACTGGTAAGTTTATGAAAAGAAATGTTTCATGCACAATTCATCTGTCACCGGATATAACTAATTCATAAATTCACTTCTAAACAGTTTTAGTAAAAGAGAAGTGCTGACACTAAACACAACTGACTGTTAACTTCCATTATTCATTCTTGTGTAAATTATCCGAGTAACATAATATTCATTATGCTAACTTTAAAGCAATATAAATGCCGACCAATTTTTAAGTGAAAGGAAGCCGTTGAGAAAAATTGCATTTAAGTAATTATTGGGAATTTGTGCTTCTCTAGCACATTTGAAAGCATCGTGCATAGATCTAATAAAGTCGTGACCGATATTCCACAGAATTAAATTTACTGCACCAGTGAATCACCGTAGAGTAACCAAGGTAACCAAGGCTAGATACTTTGAATAGATGATTTGGAAAGCTAGTGTGTTTATATGAAGTATGGTGATCATATAGTATTGAACGCACAGTGCTGATGTGTTTTCAGATTAGACAAATGAACCTTGCTATTTTTAACAATTTATTAACCAATTTAAATGAGCGATTAAGTGAATAACAGTTTTTTTCTCATTTACTTTTCTATATTCACTTGCTTTACTCACGTTCAATCTATTCTTATTTTCTCTTTATTGTTGATTTTTTAATGTTAGGACGATCGCATCATTAATGGAGTTAATGAAGCAAAAGATAATCTTAAATATCTGTTTACACTGGATAACTTTTTCGGTTCATTTTCCAATACAAATCCAGTAAGCGTCAGAATAAATCTCAAATACTTTTTCATTTATTTTTAATTTAAATGATGTTATTGTTATCATTATAACAATTTACAACATTTAAACTTAGATTTATTGACAGGTATTGTTTGACTTCTGATAAATTACAGACATTTTATTCATACTACCATATATCAGTCGATAAGCAGTAGTTTTCGTTTGCGAAATCATAGTGATCTAGCCCCAAAATGACCATTTATTAGTTGATGACAAGATCATATAATCTTAAATACATAGAAATCACATCACTAATTTTTAATCAGTGAATGAAATAACAGAAATAAATTTAACTAGGTTATAATCGATTGATCACTTAATAGTGACAAATGTCGTATTTCTCTAGTTCTTTAGGCGATAGTCGAATTTTATCGATCTAGTTACAGTGTTGCCACTAGTACTGGATTTGAATCACATATGGAGTATCAGTTCCCGAATGATTCCAGGTATGCCTACTAAAGCGTAACGTTGTTTCAGAATCTTCATGTTGACTACCTCCAGCCAACTAAACCAATTCCAATAATCATATAAACTTTGGCAAACAATAAGTATTATATATCGAGTAATCTGACAAGTGTTGATAGGGCATAAGTTGACAAACTATATTTATGTAAAAAAATGAAAATGAAGCAAAAATGAACTCAGTAGAAGTTACGTCACTCTTTCGAAATCTTTATCTTTTAACTTCCAAAATATAAATTGATTATAATTTCAGTAGATGTGAGTAATTTACAAAATTGTTACCATGCTACCTTGAATAGTGATCAAACTACTTAACTTCTCAAGTCATTTGTGTATTAGTTGATGTCCAGGACTGCGTTTGATCAGTCCTGGAGTGAACATCAACTGTGGGATGTATTTACATCCAGCTGACGAGTCCCAAATAGGATGAAGCACTCGTCATGGATTGCACTGCTTGCTACCATCACCTCTGCTTAATTAACTGATCTTTTAAAGGATGAATATCAATATTGTTATACACGCTAAATTTTCCTGTAAACAGTTTACAAAATGCTATTTATGCCAAAATAACTATATGTAAGATTGTCCGAATCTCTTTCTACGCTTACCCGACTGCTAAACAAAATGGGTGGATGTAAAGAAAGATGCAACTATTTTCGTCTTAGTGCAGATTATCAAGTGGAGAAATGACTAAGTAATATGGTTTTTTGTGAAAAATCACCTTGTTTATATCTTAAAAAATTACTGAGCACCACGAAATAGAAGTAATAGTCTATGACAGCACATTAAAAGGTTTGTTTTGTAGAACATATGGCAATAGTCAATATAATCATAAATATTGATTAGCCTATATACTATAGGATACGATATCAAATTTGTGCGGTGTGGTCAAAGTGGCAAGAATTAAGGGAGATTGTTTTATCCTTTTAATTGCATAATCTTCCACTGGCACTCAATATGTATTCGTTAAATGAGTATCGGAATAATAATAAAGATATTAACAGTAATAATATTAATTATAGAGAATACAAGTGACAACATTATCTCTAAACAAATTTAATTTTCATATAATCAGACAGGGGTTTTGTGGAGATTTTGGTAGTTTAATAATTGAATTCATGAGTGAATTGAAACTAGACCACCATGGGAAACCTGAAAGCACCGGTTTAGAGGTTAGGCGTTCACGTGCGAAACTGATAGACCCTAGGTTTGAAACTCGCTTGGTGGGGTCGTGAATGAGCACTGCTAAGGAGTCCCATACTAGGATGAAACGGCCATCCAGTGCTTCCAGGTTTTCCATGTTGGTCTAGCTTCAATTGACTTATCAATTCAATTATTAAATTAATTTTCTTAATTACTGATCAAAATTATGTTAATCTTTGACCTAAATTAGAATAAATTGAAATCTTAATTTTCTATGGAGTGAAAAACTTATCTGAACCTTTTTTCAACTTTCAGTCTAAAATACGTCAACAATTACCAGTTCTACTTAATGCTATTCGTATGATTTACAGTATCTCTGAATATTATAATAATTCAGAAAGAATGACTTCATTATTTATTAAAATAACAAATCAAATGGTTGTTGCATGTAGAAAGTATGTAACAGATGGTGTAAGTCGAATATGGGATTTACCACGGTATGTGTATATGTGCATTTGCTATTTCAATCAATTATTTAGGAAGATGCTCAAGATTTATTGTTTCATTTGCGATCGATTTTACTTTAAGTTGATACATGTTTAGCTTCTCGTCTTACAGTTTATTATTTGTAACATACAATGGAACTTTAAAGATATCCGACAGATTTAATTTTAAAGTTCAAATAAGCATGGAATGGAAAGAAATTTATATTTAGCTAATTCTATATACATAACTAAATAAGTCATGGTTTGGTATAGGGATTCTCATAACCAGAAAATAATCGGTTTAGTGAAAATTTAACACATTTGTAGTGCCTGACATAGATGTATTATTCACATACTTGATCTCATTCGGTGAGTCATTTGGTATGAAATAAAAATTCATCAAGTTAAACATAAATAGTTTTTTTTCTCTCTATGTCCATAATATCCAGTGTTCAAAGTCACAGCTTTGTGCATCGAACGTGGATACCAACAGTCATTTGTACCTAGAGTTAAAATAAAATCCTTTAAGAATATTTTAAACTTATGAGGCATTCCGTTTATAATCAAATAATAGGATTGTACCTACCACAAACTATCATTAGGATAGTTTGCAATGCTAGTATATATGATTACGTTCAGCTATCTCACAAAGTTAAATATTCAAAAACAACTTATACCGAATGACTACAATCTCAAAGATCTCTTTACGTTTATTATATGAACATTTCATTCATTCCTTCAGAATGAAGGCACTTGTCCATTAAGACCATCATATAACTGTTGAATTTCATATCCATTTATGATTTTTAAAATAAAAGCAGTTCTTAACCACTAGCTTAAGGATATTGTCTTCCATTTTTTCCGTATCTAGAATTGCAACAACTTGCAACCACATTTGTCTAAAGTCAGTCTCATATCACCTTGTCTTCAGTGAGTTACTTAAAAGGTTCTTACATAACAAATTGAATGTTGTGACGTTTAGTCTTTAAGATTTTAGGTTGTCATTTAGCTCACTCGTCAGTCGAAATACGAATTATTCGCTGCACTAAACCAATGACGGTATGAGCAGCCTAGAGTCCTTATTGAGCTTTGTTCGCCTAGCCCATCCACTTGAGTCCAGAACACCGATAACAGCTTCCACTATGCAAATCATTTATTTCAAACATACTTGGTTTATATACCAGCCAAACAGACCACATCACACCATAAAATAGGAAATAACATTTATACAAGATCAGGCTAAAACGTAGCTGTGAACGTCGGAGACGGTAGTTAATAAACTGAAAATAACTTAACTACAGTAAATCGTACAATAATAATCTATAGGTCAAAATGAAGCTTATAATAAGAGAAATATGGATAAACATAATTTAGTTACTGAACCGTTTTACCATAACAATATATTTATATAATATTAGTCCATTAATAGATCTCAGAAGTTACTGGTAATTTAATCTTCGCTAGGATATAACATTAACTATTTACCATAAAGATGAAGCAGAATTTTTAGCTTCATGTTTCATTGAACCTTACAAAGTAGAAAGAAGACACAACCTGTTCTAAAAAATACCGAACTCCATGAAAGTTCTTGTTTAACAATAAGACTTCTTTTTCAGACATCATGTTTAATAATATCAGTTTCACTGCTATTCAACAGATCATTCTCGGTACAACCAAAATTTATTACAACTATCTAACATTAAATATTTATGTAAATATTTGATTTAATTTTAGATCAGAATCTATTTCTGTATTTTAATATTCATTTCTAGAAATATTTTACTTGATCGAATCAATGAATGTATTCAATTGAATGTTGAATATCAAGAGAATTTCCGTAAAGTTCGACATAGACTTCAAGAAAATCCATCCGGTAGACAATTCGATTTCAGGTAATTAGTTATATTGATAGCAATACAAAATATCTTTAAGTGTTTAAAGTTAATCATGATGTTTCTATTATTTCTGTTATACATTTTAATGACTCAATAAGATTAATTATCTGATTGAATGAATATGTACTTTTTTCATTTTCTCAAATTTAGTAATGATTAATTGAAAAGCTTAATATTTATATACATATAGAATAAATAGATGGGTCTCATGAACATTGCACAATATAAGTCAAAAATGCTTAAATACAGAATTGAGAATAGACCAGATGTTCGTGAAATATTTCTGTATTAAGAAAATTCTATTTTCTTTAATTACACTTCACCAGTACTAAAATGTAGACCAGTAGGACTGATATCTGTATACTAAAGGACGTTTAAATATATCCATACAAGTGAATTTCATATATTAGCAAAGATCGAAACCTCATCAGTAGTTATTACAAATATTCATTATTCTACAAATTTCAAATGTAGCTAGAGTGATATTTTTGTAAAATAACATAAGATATTATCATATAGTCTTATGTACTAATAGAACTCTCACAATGGGTCATTATCTGAAAAAATAAATACTGTTTATTAGCAACTCCTTGATATAGTTAGTACATATTTTGATAGTCTACTCATGCCAACTATTGATTAATCTATTGCTAATCGCATTCTGTTAGTCAAGTAACAACGCTACCACTAGTGACCCATGATTGTTACTTACTTACTTACGCCTGTTACTCCTCGTGAAGGAGCATAGGCCACTCACCAGCATTCTCCATCCAACCCTGTCCTGGGCAATCCTTTCCAGCTCCGTCCAGTTGTAATTCATCCTTTTCATATCTGCTTCTATTATCCGATGCAATGTGTTCTTTGGCCTTCCTCTTTTTCGCTTCCCTTCAGGGTTCCAAGTTAGGGCTTGCCTCGTGATGCAGTTTGACGATTTGCGTAATGTATGTCCTATCCATTTCCATCGTCTTTTCCTAATTTCTTCTTCAGCTGGAAGTTGGTTTGTTCTCTCCCACAGAAGGCTATTGCTGATGGTATCCGACCAGTGGATGTTGAGTATCTTGCGTAGGCAGCTATTTATAAATACTTGTACTTTCTTGGTTGTGGTTGTTGTAGTTCTCCAATTTTCAGCTCCATACAGTAGAACTGCCTTGACGTTCGTATTGAAGATTCTCACTTTGATATTGGTTGAAAGTGAGAATCTTCCACTCCGCCTGTAGCTCTAACAGGGTTACTGCCGGTCCCAAGCCCGGATAAAGGAGGAGGGTTGGGCATGGGGTTAGCGTCCCCATCCCGTAGAAAACTAACTCGCTAAAAAAGCGCTTACCAGAAAAAATAATCCGAACCATTTAAACTCTGCCCTGGGAGTTAGAAGGTCTTCAGTTAGAAGAATTATGACGCTTCATCGTGAAAGCCGAGTTCCTTCGGAAGCCACGAGGCCGATGCCCCTTCTAACAACTAGAGCAAAAATTTTTATAGGTACATGGAACGTTCGAACAATGTGGGAAACCGGGAAGACCAGTCAAATAGCAATGGAAATGAGGAGATACAACTTAGCAGTACTGGAAATCAGCGAAACCCACTGGACCCATGATTGTAGTGTATTTTATTTTCGATTCCACGTGAGTGAAGGAAGTTGACAATAAGTTGTAGTGTTTAAACAGTACTGTATTAGACTACACAATTTATTATAGGAAATTTTATAGTTTTCAATGCTTTCGAATATGTTCCTCACTTTAACTTCTATGTATTAATAAAAGTTTCTTAGGCAAACGAAGTGAGAGCTTTGAAATTAGAATTCTGGAAAGAATCCATTTGATTTTCGTGTCAATTACGTTTATTTATTTAACAACATAATAGCCTTCAAGAAGGTAAACTAAATGGAACCAGATTGGAAAATAGTCTAAGAAACCATGAACGGAATAAATCATGTCTACTTTATAATGCTAAATTTATTCAGATTTATGTCCATCGTTTTTTAATAAACCAGTAATAATGTAACTGGCCGTAACACTGGATGAAAGGTTATTCGAATATATTAGAGATCATTAACTACCTAGAGATTTTAGACATGTCTTGCTTACGAGTGACAACCAGCAAAAATCTCAGTCCCATTGCATTTTGGCGACTGCTCCCAACAGACTAACATCATACTCAATTCTTGACACTCGACATTTGACTGAATTTTAAATAAAACCTCATTTATGATCGGATTAAAATTAGAGATCAACATACTGCCCTCTCAGTCAACTACCGAATGCATAACACGATTCAACTTCTATAATCTGGATCGCTAGATGATAAATTATTTTTATCTGATAGTAGGTGTAGAAGTATCAGAGTTATGTCATAAAAGGGAAGAATTAGGGTTTACATTAATAAACTGTTTGTTTTATGAAGGATGACTTTGAAAATTTTTAACTGCTTAGGTCAATTACTTTTTAATATTTTAAAGCAAGTCTAATGAAATGTAACTATAGAAACACTTAGGTTGACAAACTGTACCATATCACTTGTTGAATTTATTTGAAAATTCGAAATAAAACGAGATAAACCACGAATTCCAAAGAAGTTAAACCTCAAATATCTTATCATAATAAAGGTCACACATAGTTTATTCTGAATGATATTTGAATTACACGAAACAATATTCCAGTATCGTCTAAATTGCACAGCTGTTCCTTAAATCAGAAGGTGTTTTTGTGGATATAATAGTAATTTCAGTAGTTGAGATCATAAGTCAATTGAAGCTAGACCAACATGGAAAACCTGGAAGCACTAGATGGCCGTGTCATCCAAGTATGAGACTCCTCATCAGTGCACAGCTATCATCCCGCCTCGCAAGACATCGAACCCAGGATCTAACAGTCTGGCACGCGAACTCTTAACTTCTAGACTACTAAGCCGGCATCCAACGGTGTTAATGTCCAACTTCAACCAATTTACAAAATCGAACAACACTCTTCCTTAAATATTGACTAATGATGAAAACTATATCAAATTCTACTGGAGTAAAGTGTAGGTAGTCAGCGAAAACACTTCGTTTCGATTATTGTTACCTTAAGAAAAATTTTTCTGTTTGACACAGTTTTTTCTTGCATAAATACTGATTATTGAAATTCTTTATTTTATCTAGTGAAAATTATATATTTGGCAAATTTGATGTGTACACATCAAGATTAAAGAAAATTTTAATAATTCTAGAAAATATAGATAATTTCAATGTATTATTGGATTTTAAAGCTGAAGGAATTGATCCAATTGTTGTACGATATAAAACATTTTATGATAATTTACATAAAAGAAATTTCGATGGAGCTGATCAAATTAAACGTGATGTAAGTAAAATAGAAATGGACTGGTCAATCTTACATGGAATATGATTCGTCTTTTGTTTATATTTACAAAATTATGAATATCATGATCAATTTTCTCATTACTTAGGACTTATGAATACAATTCTGAAAGACATGCAAAATTCTTGATAGAAAGAAAAAAAGTTTTTTTGTTCACACGATAGAACTATTTAAAGCGTATAAACCAAATCATTTACGTAATTATTTCTGTATCTGTGATTGACTGAAATATTATTCTGTACATAAGTTTAATTAAGGATATCAACAGTTGAGATCATGAGTCAATTTAAACTAGACCACCATTGAAAACCTGAAGCATTGAACGACCGTTTCGTCCTATTGTGGGACTCCTTAGCAGTGCGCATCCACGACCCCGCCTCGTGGCTGTCCATTGTTTCCAGGTTTTCCATGGTGGTCTAGCTTCGATTGACTCATGATCTCAACTGTTGAAATTACTACAATCTCCACAAAACCCCTTCTGATATTGATTAAGGATACTCGTAATGAAAGATGTTAATGGCTCATTTTGTTCTACTACAGTCATGTTATGGTGATAGTTAATGATTGAAATTACATAATTTCGTAGCATTTTACAATTGCTGGAAAAGCCAAAAAATGTATATAGCCATCTGTTTGCAAGCATAACTCTCTACATAATCCTTCTTCAATTCAGTGTTACTTCTAAGTTCATTATCTTGTAAATAACATAGTAAAGACTGTTGTTCAGTTAGTTTTGTACCGTTAGTTTATCAATAAATATGTTTTGTATGTTCTATTCTAGTTTTATTCATATTCGATACTGTTGAAACACTTTATGAGTAATTACAAAATGTAAATCAGTTTTCTAGTTTAGTTGTAAAATTAGCTGAATTCCTACTGGACTAAAATTTTCCGATATAATTATATGACACTGTAAGAAATTGATTTATAATTACATAACAGTTTAAAGTAATGAACAAACAAAACAAGTAAACAAGAGTACTTATGAACAAACGTTTACATAAGTTCTTTTCAATAATATTGCGGCTTTTATTTTACATTATAGCAATTTTAGACAATTCAGCATCTCCTTTTACTCAGAACGTTAATCCTTCAATGATAAAGCGATTACAATATAAATTCATAACTTGATATATTTAAATGATAATAACACACAATGTTTAATTTTAATTTTTCTGAATTTTTATCAGTTTGATAGGGACTTGGATGAGTACAAAAGTCAATTCGACACAATAGCACAACAACTTCGCGATTTCCTTGACGCATGGTTTAAACAACCTGCGCCTGTATGTTTGATTCTTATGTATTTCTGTTACATATTATCATTATTATTTAAAAATAATTATTTTATGGTGACTTGATGTTATATAGCTAAAGACTATCCGACAGTATGATGCTAAATTATCGTATAGCCTCAAAATAACACTGTTCTTTGGTTTTTGATTTATCTGTAAACAAGTACAGAGTTGCATGATAACAGAAATTAGATACTGACAATGTAATTCTTATTGTCCTGAATCAACTGTACTAGAAGATATCATCACAAAATATCACAACAAATAAACAAACAAAATTTTAGAAACCTTGACGGCTTTAATTCAGTAACTCTCAATAAAGTGTTGTACTAAGAGTGGAAATGTTACTAAAATTCATGACCTTGATATTTAAAAATAAACGAAGTAATTTCTTGTTGACTAGCTCTGTTTTATCTCCCATTTATATTTTTCATTATATATTGAATAATGTTTCATTGTAAAATAATAATTTCTATGAAATGCAATATTTATAGAATAAACTACCTAGAAATTCTAAGTATATCTTTAGGAAGTTATAGCTAGACCAAACATAAGAAATCACCTACTGACTATGCATTTAAAGACTGGACGATAATTAATATTTTAAGAGAAAAATAAAACATTGGAAGCTACAAGAAGGTTCTCTTTACTCTCATACAGTGTTCTAAGCAATGAAAATGTTTTATATCTCGAAGTTGTAGAAGAGACTTTCATCTTACATTAGAGAGAAACTCAACAGTCAGCATATTTCCGTTTCACTTTGTTAATAGCATAGATCGTATTTTTGTACCATGCTACATAAAGACAAATGCCATCATTTTACTCGTTTGTTTCAATCTTAACACAATAAACACTACATCCTTTGATTTGACGTCTTGTTCAGCGAACAGTCAAAAACGAGAACTCTAATGGAAATTAAAGTTAGAAATAAATAGCATTGTTCATATCTTTTGTAAACTGTTCGTTCGGTTTTTATTAAACTATACTTCTAACTCTTCCCCAGAGTCTATACAAACATTAAAATACTTCCTCATTTCCCCTATACTTCCAAACACTATCATTAAATAATGAAAACAAATTCTTATTACTTAAGTCTCATAAATCATAAAAGAAACGATGAACAATTAATCGATCACCGGGTCTGGGTTTTTTATAGTTTCGATCGAATTCCATTAAGTTGAGATTTGCCCACTAGTCTGTATGGTTCAACATCACGTCTACTATGTTGAGATGTTAGTTGGTTTGTGGCAGTCCACATATAATCCATGATCAATGACAAAATGTACCTTTTACTACAGCAGATAACAGTTTCCTCAAAATTACAAGTATGCCTTGATAACGAATGTTAACTAGCAGGAAACCTAGGTCTCATTTTCAACCATTTTTAACAACTTAATATATAAGCGATGAATGGTTTACCATACAGAACTGAGAAATTCAAAATAGTAAACTATAGGCAGCATGAAAAATCAAAAAAGTCATTGGACAATTAATTTTAGACACTGATTACTTAAATATGAGGATAAGAAATAAAACATTTTATGTGGAACTTGGAAAGATACATTTGACTAAACTAATAGCTTAATTTGTTTACTGTTTCGTTTTTGAAAAGTGGGCAGAATATTCTGTTAACATTAGTTTTTATTTAATTACTGACGCTTTGAAAGCATCAGCTTCCTACTGCTTCAAGTACATCTTCCACAGTTATAATACTGCTCTGTCCTCTTATCAGCCATAGTATAAATATCAATGTCTTTTAATGGTCACCTATCTTTGAAATTTGATTCAAAAATGCTTTAATAACAGGTTAGAGATAGAGAACTTCAAACACTCCTAGTTACTATCCGAATTTACAGTTTGAAATTACTATTAATAATTCACCTTTTATCTAATTTTTTTACAAAAAGTATTCCATATATATATACATGTGTTTAGGTTGAACGTCAGTTAAGAATTTTAGAAAAATTTGAACAGATTAAATGTTGTCAATTAGATTTATCAGCTAAATATGAATTGGTTATAAAGAATTATGCTAATGAATTAGAAATGGTTCGTCAATTATATGAAAAACAAAAAAATGATCCACCAATAGCTAGAAATATGACATCGATAGCTGGTAAAATGTTTTGGGCACGTCATTTATACAAGCAAATTGAAATACCAATGGAACGATTTAAAGAAAAATGTCCAGATGTATTATGGGTAAGCAATCGTTAAAAAAAGTAATACTTCTTCAATTTGTTTACCCTGATTATTAACAGCTAGTAATAATATGTTTTTATCATTTTAGTACGTGTTTAAGGTGCTCGTTTCATCCTACTTAGGGCTCATCAGCTAGATTCATTGACATCTTAGCGTTAATGCTCATATTGAAACTCGAATCCAGAATATTTTGATCAAAATACCTACACTTTACCCATTGTGTTACTGAGGTCAAATAGCCACACTTCTACAAGTGGTCTGAAGATATTGATAAACATTTATAACTTTGAGTTGTTGATGAATTAGTTGAAGTCCTGAATATCAATGACAGGAAGTTATAAATCATTACTAATATTTTTTATACCGATAGTACAAGTTAGTGGCTATTTGAACTCAATAACATAGTGGATAAAATGTTGATATTTGAAGTGAAATATACTGGATTAAAGTCTTGATTCGAACACTAACATTAAGATGTATTTGCATTCACTTGAATAGCCTTAAACAGGATGAGGTATGCATTTGCCTCTAACCTCTACTCAATCATACAAAAGATATGCAGATTTATGTTCTTAGACCATTTATTCTTTTGAAATAAACTATTTCTTAATAAAGTTATCAATTTAATATAGAATATTAGAATAGTTAACAGGTTGAACTATTTTGATAGTGATCCAAATATTATTCATTGATTAAATGATTATTATGCACTCTGGTGATATAATTTAAAAATGTAGACCACTAAATCCTTACTTATCAGAAAAACTTTAAGATTTTATGTCTTATGTCATGTGACATTGCCGGTGCTGAGTCGTTTGACCAATAGTTATCTATATTTTCCTAGTTTATATCAGTTCAGAAGTTAATCTGATTTGCATATACTTTAATGATGAATTTCTGTGAAATAAAAATTCAAAAAGCATATTTTAATGCTTATACTTTTGATTCATTTGGTATTGTTTTGCTTGAATCTTCCCATTGAGGTTTAAGACGGTAATTGATTAGTCTGTTATTGGCATATGTGCATACTGTGCGTATTGCCTCAATATAGCCTTAATTTACAAGCTTTATAAGCAAAGATGGATAGTGGCTAGCAGTGAATTAAGGCAATATCGAAGCAATACGCACAGTATGCACATACGCCAATAACAGACTAATCACTTGCAGTCTTAAATGCCAATGGGAAAATTCAAGCAAAATAATACCAAGTGAATTAAACTTCACCCTATTGCACAAACAAGTGGTTATCAGGACTCAGTAGCTAAGTGGATAGCGCGGTGGCGTTTGAAGCGAATGGAACTGGGTTCGAGTCACAGATTGAACATCAACGTGCAGCTGACGAGTCCCAAATAGGATGGAATGCACGTCCTGGATTCTAGTGCTAGCCACTATCCACCTTTCTTATACTTTTGATACTCATAAAAATTTATTTCTGGAAAATAACTCATCTGAGCACATGTCTAACGATACTAATATCATAAACGTATAATGAGTTTGGTAAGTGTACTATAATTTATTCGGTAAAGCTTTTAGTTTATTTTTATACTAATTATCATAATAACAGAGTAATCAATGATACTATATAATGCATTCAGTAAGCATTCGAAAAGTAGTATCGAAGTTGAAATAAACTGTTATCATATCAATATTTTCAGTACATAGAATAAATAACTTGTTAAAAAGGGACAGAAATGTCAATGAATGGATGAACATATTAGTGCACTTTGTACATTTTTTGCATGCTGAGTAAAAACTAAGAATTATTTGTTAAATTATGGGTAATTTTAATGTAATAAATCGATGTTACACGATTGTAACAGGCAAATAAAAATAGTTGTTAAATATAGATTTTATCACGACTCAACGAATGAATATGCATTGAAATTCAAGAAACATTAGTCACATACACGCAATACCATGTACTGACAAAACATATATCAAAGTCTACCTGCTTTAATAATAGTTTATTTCAGATTGTCATTTATTTACCGTGAATATCACCAATCCATTATAGCTAAATATGATATTTGTTAATTTGAATGGTTCCAGCTGCCAATAAAAAAGTTTGTTAATTTTAAGCTTAAGTAAATGTCTATAGTCAATTAAATTCGTATGAAAGATGTTTCACAGTATCATATAATGATTATTCCCCTGTTATCATAAAACTATTCGATAGGAAACAATATTGATTCTGGTACAATAAAAGAACACTTTGTTGTGCCAATCCAAAATACATGTGATTGGTCAAGAAATGTTTTCATTTTCTAAACAATAGACATATGCGTATGCATGCGATAAACAACCTTCTTCCTTCTTAGTGTTCTCATTCACTAGTAGGTTAGTAACTTGCACAAAGGAAGTTTGTGTATCATTATCAGTCACGGGAACCACGCGTCATGAAATATTTCTGTTTTAGAACTTTCACTATAATCTACAGGTTTTCTATCGATGCAGCAGAAATTTGGAAGACTCTCCCAGTCTCCCACATTATACGAGTATTCCATGTACCTAAATAAATGGTTGCTCTGGTTGTCAGAAGGGGCACCGGCCTCGTGACTTCCGAAGGAACTCGGCTTTCATCATGAGGAGTCATAGTTCTTCTAAATGAAGACCTTCTGACCCCCAGGGCAGATTTTAAAAGGTTTGAGTAAATTTTTCTGGTTAGCGATTTTTTAGCCAGTTAGTTTTCTACGGGATGGGGTCGCTTACCCCATGCCCAACCCTCCTCCTCTATCCGGGCTTGGGACTGGCAGTAGCCTCCGGGGGAGACTCCAGGCGGAGTTTTTCTATCGATAGATCTATACAAATATTTCTATAATATCAGCTAAAGACATTTTAGAATATTTTATAAATTGTTGTCATCATTTGTAGTTGCAAATAATATTTATTGTTATTTATTCAACAGGGACACGAAGGTCAAAAATGTGTGAAGAATTTTAACCGTATTGCAGAAGCTCTAGTTCAATTTGAATTAATCTATTACCATCATTGGTGTCAAACTATTGAAAATGTACATTCTAGTTTATCATCATCATTAATTGTACGTGATCCTGATACAGAACGTTATTATGTAAACTTCGATTTGGCAATATTAGAACTAGTTCATGAAGCTCGTTATATTTCAAGTTTAGGTTTTAATATACCATCAGTAGCTAGTCGTTTATTAATTCAAGAAATCATGCTTAAACAAAGACATAATATGTAAGTTTGACTTAAACTATTTTCATAACATAAATTACCATATAACCGTTATTTATTTTAGAATGAATAGTTTATTACTGAAAGATGATAAAATTAAATCATTAGCGAATTAATATATGGTGCTTCGTTGATCCACTCAACAGTATATCCAAAAGATTAGAATTATATACTAACTGCCGAATGCATAATCAAATAGTCAAATCACCTCTTTCATAGATATGTATATATTAGGTAACTTCATATTCCTTTAATTGCTTTTAACCAAAAAACATCAGACATTAAAAAGAAGAATATATTTGTAAAATCACAGCGAATGAATTTTAAGTAAATCCAACGTTTCGCCTGGCAATCTGGTCCAAGCTTTTTCAAGGAAAATATAATCAAACAACACAAAATTATCGAATATAAATAGGTACATGGTTCATCGGTTTACTGTATACTGAATAAGTCATCCAATCAATGTGAAGGGTTTTTTATAAATAGGTATTTGCATTAATGTGTAAGAGACATATTTATATGAAAATAATATGAAAAATAATAATAAAGGTCAACCAAATAAAAGTTCATTTGAAAATAATCAAGGGAAAGAATGAGAAAAAAAAATTGTCGTGTTATCCTAGGCCGTAGAATGACTTAAGGATTACAAAGTAAATTCAAGGTCATGACAAATTGTTTTCGTACTCATAAGGACAAGGTATGTGTTATGGAACCAAAAAGTGTTAAGACAACAGAATGTGTTTATACGTAAGTGATGTGAGAAGAAATTTCAATCAACTAAATATTGAATTCAGTCTGTGTATATTAAGAAAACATATCATCTTTATATATGAAATGAATTACAATTGCCACAGCCTGCATTAAATGAAGATAAATAAGTAAGATAAGTAAACAAAATAAAATAAAAGACTGAATTTAAAGAGGAATGTATATGTAATTGAAAGTGTGTGTTATTTTTAATGTTCCAGTCAATTGTTTAGCATATTCAGATAAGATAACGGATTTGAATCGTCGAACGTATTATCTATCAATTAGTTACTATGACATAGATATATCAAATTGAAATAAGGAGATCAGGTTTACTTATTCATTATTAGTTGCCAGGGGACAGCTAGTTGTATTCCACCTCTCCTATTAATATTGTTTGAATTAGCCCATATGTGTAGGGCTTCGGCTGTTAGTTGTTCTTTGTAAGAATTAAATCCTTTTTGAATGATTCTCGTGCCATTGAAATCAACTGTATGACCCGATTCAATCGAGTGTAATGCTATCGCTGATCTGTTCTCAAGCTTTTTTACATCAATTGAGGATTTAGGAATGTGCTTTAAGCACAGTTTGTGTTCCTTCACCCTCACATTCAGTTGCCTTGATGTTTCACCTACATACGTTGCATTACAGTCATTACATTTGATTTCATAAACACAATTCTGTTGATCATCCTTGTGTATTGGATCTTTGATTCTTACTAGTTTTGATCTTAGAGTATTGTTTGTTCGAAAGAATACTCTTATATTTTGACGAATTAAAATCCTTCTGATGTCTTGTGAGATACCTTTACGATATGGGATCACTACTGTGTTCATCCAATCTTGCTTAACTCTTTTTTTAAAAAATATCATTCCGTTCTTCATTCTTAATTATTCTTTTAATAAAACCTTTCGGATAATTATTCATTAATAGAGTGGATATCATAATTAGTCACTTATCCAATTGGTTAGCCTTCATACAACAGATTAATAAACTTAATATCAGTAAATCACATGTGAATTATTCTGGTTAGCGTTTTTTCAGCAGGGTTGTTTCCTACGCCTAACCATCTTCCCTTAACCGGGCTTGGGACAGCCAGTATCCCTAGAAGAGCTACAACTGGATTTCATTAAATAAATGAGTAGTACAGACTATTATTTACTGGTATTCCTTGTTTGTTAGAAAATAAATGACTATTTAGTATCAAACATAATGTAATTAACTAATTAATAAGACAGTTTGTTCATTATTTAGTATGCAAAAGGGATAGATGTAGTAGTTGCCTTAAAAAGAATGTTTACAATAGTCAAAGATTCATAGTTAGGAATGGTCCTGTTTTTATAAACTGAAGTGAAGTGTTATTCATTTCTTTCATTCTTTACATAAAAATGTGAACACAACATTCCTACCATAAAAATAAGTATTTATAAAAAGCCAGCTTGCATAAATAACCATTGATTGTCAAGGATACTCTTAGAATTTATAAGTTAACTGTTGCTATCATTGGTTGAATTGTTATTTTTGAAATAACCAAATGTTTTCAGATTTGAAATTGATCAATTCAAACGGATGATTATTCACTTTATCCGATAAATACCCATACAATCATCCTGTAAATGACAAAGGTTTGTTTGACATGAAGAAAAGTTTGAGATAAAGGTCCTGTTATTCACGAAATCAGTCATTTTGTAGACTCAATATTTTTTTGTATTTATTCAGTTTTTTGATGAAAAATTGAATTACATGTAACTAGTTATGTAAAATATTCCCAAATAATTACGTTGAACTTTACTTGATGTTCATCTTTTGATGTAACTCTGATAATATTCTAAGATTAGCCGAAGAACTATTGAAAATTAAAAAGCACCATACAGTTCCTTCATCCTAGTTGTAGACTCTTTAGTTGTATGCAACTTCAAGCCCATTTTGGATCAAGATTAGGATCTTAAGGTGTCGTGGAGAGAATGATACTTTTAGGCTTTTAAGTTTAATTCAATGGTTTACATTTTCAGATTTCCTTCATAATAGTCCTGTCCTTAACACCGCAATGTATGAATATATTCTCAGTCTTATGTCGAATTTATACACCTCATTTGATCAAGTTGAAAATTATAATCTATTCACCTAAATTTTGTTTTTCTCTTTTTCCAGCTTACAAGAAATATTAAATGCAATTGAAGAAACTTGGGCATCCGTTCCGAATGTACTGTTACCTTTATTTCAACCATTCCGTGATAAATTATGTCAAGCTCTAAACGCCGGTATCTATCAACTCAACTGGAATTCTACTAGTATAGATGATTGTGAGTTAAAATACTTATAAACTATTATTATTGATTTAGTAAGTTTATAAGTACTGGAATGTTGCCAATGAGATTCAGTTCATCATATAGGCGTTGGATAACATATGAACTATTTTGTAACTGTTAGTATTAGGCATATTAGATTTATTAATCAGTATTTCGGTGAGAATTAAAACTTGTCAAAAATAAACAAGTTACTTCTAAACATATATCACTCAGTCAATTGGGAGTACTTTTCACTAATCGAATAATGTAATAAGAATAATTTGAATTTGAATTAAAATCTTTCGATATCACATACTCGTTTGTAGTGAGTATCAAAAGTTTTAAGTTCATTCAAAGTTGATTCTGGTACCTTCGAATCTGGTGACAAAAGTAAGATATTAATCATTTGTTGGCTTAGAATTTAATAATTCATATTTTTAATTACAGTCAAATTGTAACACAAGGCCAGCTTCCACAAATGTTATCGATAAGTCACTTTCTCTCCGACGACTTTAAAATACACATAATTTTCCGCTAATTCACTTGATGTAATTCTAAACGGGATACAAATGTAATTAACCGTCCTTAACTGATGATGACAATGTCTCTTTAAGTTAACAGTTAAATTCTATCGTTCTAATATGATATCGTACTTCATGCGCAGTGAAATTAACTAATCCTATGTTCACGTTGGAATGTTAATTAGTTGAAAACTAATATTTGACGAAAATTCATTCTACAAATCTGTTCTAAGCTGTATATGTGGCTATCGAGATTTCGAAATATTCGAGACATTTTAGATGATTTAACAATATGACATTGAAATTTCTAACGCATAATTTGATAATGAAAACGTTAAACAGGGTTTTAAACGCTATACAAAGTTTTCTTGTCGAACATGAATATTAACATTATGATGATGTTGCCCGACCTTCAGTACACTCTAAATACACCAATAACAGATTTATAAATTTTCAGATGAAAATCAATCTTCCTCATTAGTTGTGATGTAGGGGTCATCTATCAATATTCTAGAAATGAAAATTACGTATTCCCTAACACCTAATAAACTCGACTTCCAACTACATAACAGAAAGTCATAAACGTTTTCTCCTGCGTTTATTTGGACAACACGTTAGTCTCACTGACCGCCACACAATAGAATTATGGTTTCAAACTGAGTAGTTAATTCTGTTACACGGTCGATTACAAAAAATTTAACCGGTCATTTCTGCTACAATTTTCTAGAACACAGCAAATGAAATATATATAGTTTCATACACCATCTTTTTATCACATTCTACTTTCTTTAATGGTATAACTTTAACTTTTATTATTTTATATAGTTGTCAAAAAAGTTTCTAATGAGCTTGAGAGTTTAAAACTTTTGATAAAACGTACTAGTGATATATTAAACTGTCGTGTTGAAGATGTTTTTGAAGAAATGGCTGAAACAAATTTATGTGATTTACCAGATGATGATCAAGTTACATTAGATCAATTTATTCAAATAACTGAAACAACTGTGGCATATGCTGCTGAAAATCTATCCATGTTAGTTTCGTTTTTGATATTTTGTGATAAATGACAATTTTTGAGATGGTGAAGATTTGTAGCTCAGGTGAATGATTTTGATGGAGTTTTGTTCTCCGAGCTGGATGGTTTGGTCGTGGAGGTTTCATCGTTCTTCTGAACGACATCATCAGCACAAAATTCAGATAGAAGTGAAGTGTTCGAATTTCTCCATAGGCGTTCCACAGCTTGTTCTGTACACCTCGACGTTGATTGGTTCTTATTGACCTTAAATTTGTCACTCTTTACTACTTTGTTTTGATTGTGTCTCCCATCGGTTTGATTTTTGTTCAACAATGACAAATTTAAGGTCAATAAGAGCCAATCAACGTCGAGGTGTACAGAACAAGCTGTGGAACGCATATGGAGAAATTCGAACACTTCACTTCTATCTGAATTTTGTGCTGATGATGTCGTTCAGAAGAACGATGAAACCTCCACGACCAAACCATCCAGCTCGGAGAACAAACTCCATCATGACAATTTTTAGAATAATACTATATTGTTAATCTGACTTGAAGAGTAGGAACCAATTTTTCGACTTTCGAGGTATCTTCACAAAGTTAAAATTCGCAAACTAAAGTTGTAATCTTGAAAAAGAACAATGCCAATTTATAGTTTGCATAATTGAATGACTTTAGTTAGGAAACTGCTAAAAACTAGTAAGTAATGTGCAATTCTTTTGTTCCAGTAGGAGAACACTTGGGAGGTCATACTTGATTTTCAGTGGTTTTCCAGGTAAAGTGAGTCTGTGATGCAAATTAATAAGTGAACAGACGTAATAGAACTTTGAAGGCAATAAAATGTCGACTGCTGGCAAATCTGGGAATTTTAATCAAATCTTCGTTCAGTTGCGTAATATTAATTAGTTCTTGTAAATCTTAATGATCAATCTCAGTAACTAGATTATCGATTTTGTTCCTTGAACTGAAAGGTGAACAAAACATTTGTATAAAATACACAATATCATTCAGAACTTGTATATAACGTTGGTTGTTATTCACCAAAAACGTGTCATTGAAATTTCGAAGAATTCCTTAGGTAGGATTTAGCTTACCTACTGATGACCTTCCAAAAAATGTCTATATATTGTCGCACACACAGTCTTAACTATGAGTACAGTTAACAAAACAAAAATTATTACAATTAGTACAAAAATGCAAAATAATGCAGTCATTAACAACCAGAACAGTAAACACATTCCCACGGAACAATGGAAAAAACATACGAAATGAATCATTCAAAAGACTTACCATAATTATGTAAAAGGCTGATGCAGTTTCTCGATAGTTAGATAACAAGTCTGAGATTAAAGGTGTTTTAATTGGTGAGCGTTTAACTTATATGTTTTGTGTTGATTGACAATTGTCGATTAAGATTAACAATTCGACAACTCAGCGCGAAAGCCTAGTTTAAGAAGCTGCAAAAAATGTATTAATTTTGTCACTGTTTTATGTTAAAATAATGTATAAAATCTGATAGATGAACGTTAGTTATTAAATTATTTAGGTACTAATAAAATGTGTGGATCAGTTTCACTGAGTTTGAACTACGTCGTTTGAGTTTGTGTCAGTCTGTTGTGTATATACTTCGTTGACACATTCTGATATGCAAGAAACATGGATCTATAACTCTTTTTTAATTTGCTTCTTATTTTTTTACATTAAATAAGGTACACTATAATATGAAGTCACTTGCACGGTAACCAAACAATGTCCTCTATTAAACAAAGTTTATTTATCACGAAAGATCTAAGCAGTAATTCTCTTGGATTTCATTAGTCTAAATTATAGTATCGTTTATCAACCGATACAAACTACAGATGTGGTTACTGAATAATCTATGCATAAAAAACATTTCTGAAAAAAAAATTTTTTTCTGAGCGAAGTATACCGCTATGTAACTAAAGCTTGACTTCGAGACAAGTTCATGAACCTATGCATAACTACTCTATTAAACTGATTTTTTTAAGGTCTGAAAGTATGCAACTAGTTGAACAACTATTTCCTCTTAGGTTGTCAACTCATTAAAGGTTCACATTACAGACACAACGATGCTTCGAATTATTCGTTCACTCTGTGTGTGAGATTCACCTAAGATATATTTCCCAAAGTTACATATTCTTCGAATACTTATTTTTATTATTGACTTTATTCAATATTGTATTTTTGGTACAATATAGAATTCTCAGCACAAAGTATTTTAATGTTTCCTTTTCTTATTTCTTGATTGACCCTTGCGATAAATATTGAGTGGTCGCCAGTTAGATGTTAGCAGCTGAAAAATCGACACCTGAATAATGTATATTCTTTTCGATGCATATTGTCAGCAACCATGATGTGTCTGATTGGGCTCTTTTGTAACTTGTACGGAGAAACGTTATAAACTCTTCACAAACGCACCTGAATGGGTTATGATGCTAATAGGTATAATGATGTGTTAAAGCAAACAAGAAATTAGATAAATTGTTGAGATATCCAGATGGCAGGAACAGATAGCCCAGATATTCACTAAATTTCAAAAATGTTAAATATCAACCTCGGTACTGAATATTCACTCATAATAATATTGAAGGATATTGATATTTTAGCAACAACCTGTATACATTAGAACATTGAACTCATAATTTTATAACAACGTGTAACGATTCAAATTGTTTGGCAATGCCTGTCATACATTTCATTGTTTTTTCTTTTAGTAAAAGTCATCTTATAGAAATGGCAGTTAATGAAATGTTGGATTTAATTAAAACAGATCTAGATGAGAATCAGTTAAAAATTTAAGTTCAGAACAAGGTTATGAGTGTATATCACAGGACAGACGTAGAGGAAGATGTCTTGAATGTAAACCATGTATATATTTTACATTTTTAAATCAATTCACTCAGCGTAATACAGAAGCATTAGTAAAATGTAAGTCATTATTGATGTACTGTGTAAATTAATTCATACTTACTAATTTAACTGCACCTATAAAACAAGTTAGATTGTTCATGCGCGTAAACAGGTTTAGTTGAGGCGTTAAACAACTTAATCTTAGCCCGTTTAATTCAACTGGCTATATAGCAGCATAAATGAGTCAGTTTTAATAATATACTGTGATAATAGTGAATTACCAAACTCGATCAGACCCAGAGTCCTTCAAATAGTAGAAACAATAGCCACTAGCGTTGAAAATACGTTATCTGAAGATCTAACAGAAGTATGCTTGACACCTCTCACCTTGTCAAGTCTCAGTGTTTACTTTATTTAATCCCTCTCATTTCATACATTGCGCAGATACTAACTAAACACTTGATTGATCAATACTTTTCTTATTATTCCCTCCAATCTACGTCACTAATAATGATTTTCATTAGTAAACGCGCAATTCCAACAGACATACAAACTGATTCAGTCATATATTGCATGTAAATCATTTCTACGTTTACACTGGTCATCTAAAAAGCTTATTTTATGGATAATCTTAAATAATCATTCAGTGTTTTTTAGAATATATATTCACCTTCAACTTGGCTCTTAAAGTTATTTATGTAAACTTATAAATGTACAGTCTAACGGGAGTTTGTTGTGAAGAATATTTTACAGTAGTACACACCATCTAATTGCAGAAATTAAAGATAAACTGATCGAATTAAATCTAATCATGTCTACATTTAGAGCATATAATTTTTCAAAGATTTCATAAAAGGAAATAATTAAGAGCAAAGGTAGAATGAAATAAAACTATCTATTGATTGTACTAATAATGTGATAACTGCATACTGCTAAATAATATTTAAAGAAATCAGAAGGTTTCTAGATAGAAATTCTATGAAAATGTGTTCTTACATTTTTATTTAGTCCTTAATTAGTGGAAATCGAGTTTTTGATTCCAAAAGTATAACAACAAAATTGAGTCTGTGTACTTAATATCCTACCAACTAAACGTTCAAGTGAAGGTATAAATAGCTTTTAAAACACTCCTAACTTCTGAATATTTTTCAGTAAACTTATAAAGAACTGATGTATGGTACGATTGTCTATATTATCTTTAACACTGATTTCTATTCTTATTTTCTTTGTTATGGATATTAGCAACGGTGTACCTTTATTTTTTCAATCAGTTGTCATATTTGAATTCATCTTCAACTGCTCCTAATAAGTATAACAATTCGCAATCCGATAGTTATTTTTCTATCAATATATAGTGTTTGTTAACCTCAGTAGATTCCCATCAACTTTTAATTTATCAATAAACAGAGCAAGTAATTATAACTTTAGCAAAAAGTTTCATTTATTCACTTGACACATATGCACAGTTTTCAGCCCAAATTACATTAAATGACTTACGTTCTCACTGTAAATGATATCAATAAAGGAATGTGATTAGATAAGCGTTTAATTCAAACTTTAAAAAAAATAATATTTATCTTTGATGAGTTCCATTTTCAGTACGGGGGTTGTGGAAGCTGTTGAGTTCTAATTATGGTCATGAACCCTTTAATGTTACACCACCATTGAAAATCTAGTAGCACTAGACGGCTCTTCGTTCCGGTATGGGACTCCATGGCAGTATTCCCCCAATCACGTCTACATGACCCGAACCCAGGACCTTCGGTCTCGCCAGCATAAAGTTTGGACTGTTTGAGTTTACTTCTGTTCATTGGCGGAACGACAGACAACTACAATATCATTTATGTATCACACATACACATGCTATGAGAAAAGTGTTACAATAGTAAAACCTGATCTTAGACGTTTGTGGATGAAAATGAATGACATCTAATTACTGTTGAGAGAGTTTGTTTCTTTACTTCTTTTGAGATTTCCACAAGTCAAGCAGATCTTATTTGCAAAAACTATCGAAATATCAAATACTTCTTTATTATATTTGAAAACATGAAATTGTTATATAGGATCAAATTAATATGTCATTCAACTGTATGGAGTATAGAGGATTTGAATTATAGTTCGCGTTCTAGGTTAATTTCAATGACTTGGCTAGACATGAGATATTGGATCAACAGATTACTACTATTATTCAGTCACTTTGAAAATTAATTCAACTTTCGGTTCACTGTAGCAACACAAATCACCGGTCACAAAAGACTCAGGAATTACAATTAAATAAGATATAACAAGTTTACGGAGTTACCGAGTAAGAGTGAAATAGGTATCCATACCAAGGATGGACTTGATAGTTTCCAATAAACTGAGCATTGGGTAGAGAGTTAATAATAAATATATTTTTGTTAGTGTAGTTTAATGTTAGTTATTTGTTTACCATGAAGAAGTGGCTTACATTAAGTCACGAAATGTCTGAAATACAACTTTCCAACTCATTGGAATATAACAAAAATATATTTATAATTAGGAATGAAATAATTTAGAAAGGTGACTTATCAAATATTTAGATCCGTCTGATTGATCGTTCCCTTGTTTTATAACCTGACATTCAGAACTATTACATTCGTTTACTAAATGGCCAGCTAATTTAATGAATTGACGATCATCTTTTTGAAAAATTTATATTATTGTTCTGTTTTTTCGGTTTGATCAAGGCACTCGAAATACATTAGATTCGTTAAAATTACGAATTCAACCGATGACATTAAAGTTTCACCAGGAGCATGCAACTGAGAAAGAAGGGCGAAAAACACCATTGTTTAAAGTCAATCTCATTTTATCCATACCAAATGTTGTAATGCAGCCGTCGCTGGATGAATTACAAACTGGTTTACATAAATCAATGTCAATTATATTAAAAATGACACAAAATGTTCAACCATGGCAACATATGATACTTACACAGAAACAACAACAAAAGGTAACCAGCTGATTATATCACTAAGTCATACAATTTGATAAATTAACAAATTCACTATATTTTTAAATAGAGATTAATGATGGCCAGCAGTAAAATCCTAACCACCATCTATTTTGACTAAAAAATGCTTATCGTTTAATGACAATATCATGGCAAGATCCACACATGAAAAAAGAGACTGATCAATTGTAGTTTTAAATATCAGTTAGATTATTCAAACAATAAAAAAAAAAATTGAAATTAACCATATTTTATAATATTTATGTCTATTAATTACTGTGTTCATAGAAAATTTACTTAAATTGGTATATTAGAAAACCCAGATTTATCAGAATCAGCAGATCATATCAGGGAATGATTAAACACAAAACTATGTGAATTATTTGCTTTGCCAAAAGTTATATTCAATATCAATTTCTTCTGTAAACTTTCCAGATTTCAGTAAAACTACTAATCTGTAATATCGGCTTTGGAAGTTGGCACTAGAAAGAAGACCATCATTATCTGTTTACTTACTAGCATGATTATACAGAGATTAACAATTACAAGGATCATCGATTCCATCAACAATTCTAGAACAAACTAGGACCTCCTACTAATTGTGTTTTAAACATATAACACTAAAATTCAGCACAATGGCCATAATCCAAGCATGATTGGATGAATTTAATTATAACTCAGGTTTAGACCATATAGTATGTTTTACTAGTCGCTGAGTCATGAATGTTTTAACTTCGAAAATTTACTATCAAGTATACTCTACACGAATATCAAGTCAATGTTTTAGATATATGAAAATGTAGTCACGAACACAACTGAAACGTTTGTTAACAGACTGTTTCTCAGAAAGTTCACAAGGAATATAATCTTTCTAGAGATGTTTGCTTACACTTTTGTCCACTTCGTTTAAGCAATGCATTCTCATCTAACTCTGAAGATTATTAATTAACTCAAGATTTTTAAAATTTCACGGTTTTTAAGGATGAATTTTGAATGTTCTCATTGATCAGTCTTTTATCGGGTGAAACGCGCATCCTGGATTCCACTGCTAGCCATCATCCATCTTTGGAAAAACAAATATTCTGTAAAATTTAAATTTAAGATACCATGAAATAACGGGGCTCTAGTTGTTTAATGACTATTAACTTAACAAACTAGGAGATTTCTCACTAGTTCAGTGCTACGAATGTTCTGGACTCTTTGTATAGAATTTGCCGTGATGAGAGGTAGCAAAATCTCATATTATCCAAAAATTCTGTACCTTAGAGTAACAGAAAATTCTGTAAACTCGTAGAACTATAATCACTGATTATTCTTTTAGTTACTGGAATTTAAATCATTTGGTGGAACTAGTGTTAGTTAAATCAAGTACAATAAGTAAGTATTTATTCACATATGTTTATAAAAGTCTTGCTGGTACTTAAACTTTTGAATGACCCAGTTACGTTATTAGACCATCTGACTGCTTATAAGTCCGCTTTATATCCATTGGTTTTATACTCCAAATTTACAAGACTTCACTGATGCACTCTGAAACTATACACACACAATTTATTGAAACTATATAATTCAAATTATATTTCATCAATATTGATACTTTAACTCATCTTTATTTTAATGGTGTACATCACGGATTGGTCTCAGTTGGGCCACCATTAAAAACCAGAAGACAGGAAACGATTGTTTTTCCTTGTACAGATCTACTTAACAGTGCTCATAAATGACCCAACTACCAGGGATCATACCCAGAATATTCATTCTCGCGCTCGAACCATGATCTTTCTTTATTCATACTCTCATAACAAACCTTTAAATATGGGTATTCATTTTCCTAAATATCGTTTTCTTTTTATCAGGAACTTGACCAGTTAGCTGAACTGCAAGGAGAAGAAGCTAAACTGTCTTCTTCACCGATAAAACCATTACATCGTATTATCGCCGAACATAAAGATGTAGTTAAAATTTCAATTCAATTAAATACGATATTTAATGCATTTAAAGAAGAAATCCAAAAAGTCTCTAATACATACAATGAATTCTCAGATTTGTGGACGACAGTTAGTTGTTGCTTGTTTTTTGTTCATTTATGAATTTATATACTTATTGTTAGTTCTAACAAGACTTCTAGCCATATGACTGAGATATTCATACAATCCCGAAACCTAAATTTTGTATCTATCTGAAATACAGTACGATTATGAGAATATGAGCAATACATTAACAAACTTTAGTTCATGAGGTATCTGTAGTGTCTACCACTTTAATATATGATGTAAGAAAACATGATCCTAAAAATAGTTATGTGGGGATTATTTACAAAACATGCTATAAGTGTTACAACATCTAGCCGTATGACAGTCACAATGGAAGACAATAACCGAAAAAGGAACCACGATTACGAAAAATGAGAACTATCACAGTTAAATAGATGTTCAATGACTCCACAAGAACCGTAAGTAACGGTTATAAGTGTTAAAAAGATCCGATTACGATAATAAATAATTTGGATTTTAAAATTCGTGTGAATACTTGGCCATACGGCACAACAACAAACATCCATTACATGCTGTATGTCCAAAAATGATTTAAAATCACGTTATTTATTTCATTAAGTAATATTAGGTGATATACTAAAGGAAACCGGACAGGAAGAAACTCCAGATAAATTGCAATGAAGTGGACATCGAACATTTGTTGGAGAAAGTTCATTCTCCCTTGTCAACAAAACATTAGTTGAAGAATGAAACCAAGTTTATTTTCCTAATACTTACAACTCATAATTAAACTAAACTGATCTAATTGAATGCCTGAGCGATATGTATCAAAAATTCATGGAGTCAGTGTTCAATATTTCCTCTGCTATAACTGATTTCTTTTATTCATAAAATTGGTATTTATTTAAGGAACGTTTGTGGAGATCGGTTTAACTTTTAGCTTGTATCCCTCGTACACAGTTATTTATTTGAATATCATGGAAAACTACGATGCGTTGGACAAAGGTTTCAACTAGTATTTAAATAGAAATAGTTGTCATAATTGACGTCGGGTGATCTTCTCGCTGCGTCACAAATTGACTGAGTGGTGGGTTTTTCTTTGTAAAGTCTGAAGGTCCTTGGTTCGATTCGTGATTAAGTCGGCGGTGAACAGTGCTGAGGACTTGCATGCTACGACCAAACATCTGTCAAGTAAAACCTGGTTCTGACGATGCTACATTTAAGGTCAATCTGTGACGATTACTGAGGAAACTTGATATTCATCTAACAATGACATGCAATGTTATCATTAAACAAAATTCAGTGATCTTTTGCTGTTCACTAGTTAGTTTTTAGTATTGTTTTAACACTAAACAATCAAGTAGTGAGCCTTAAACTATTTAAATTTGAACTGTATTCATGTATTTCTTTGAACTATTCTGATATTTTTGAAAATTTAGGTAAAAGTAAACTTGACTAACAACAAGGTGTAGGTAAAAGAAGTCAAGTCGAATAGTTTTAAAAAAATATATTAGCAAATTCGTGGGATAGAAGTTTACGTCTGTACCTATTGATAGGGAGTACATTGTGCTGGCTTTTAAAGGTAAAGGAGATCAAAACTCATCTAGTGAATCGGTTTATATATCACAATGCTTTATTCTAATTTCATTAACTTGTAAAAATTACTTTTTATGAATACACCTTATAATATCAGATTGTGCGTTTGTTCACCAAATCTCTCCACATGTTTCATTATAAACAAGTGTATCAAAACTTAAATTGCTCGAGTAGAGTCTTTTAAGGAGTAGGTTTTTAAATTACTCTAAGATACATGTAGAACATTTACGTAAATTATAATTCATAGTTATAAATACACTGTTAATCATCACTAAGTTCTATTCGACTCGTTTAATAAAATCAGAATTTATGCTTTGAATAAAAGTACCTTAAGGTCGTTCGTTTACTACATGACGTTTGTATTTCTTTACGACCATGAAATAAAGTCAATAAAGGTAGAAGTCATACGTGTGCCGAAAGTGTATGTAAGTGCGTTTGAACTACTGGTCATGTTTCGTGCAGCTATCAAAGTGGTACTGTTGAGGCTAGGAGTAAATTTTCCAGTAAACATGATAACCTTGTTGACATGCCTGTTAATCTCCACCGATTGTAGTACGTAACGAATGAATCACTCACGTTCACTGACCGCCTATCCAATGGTAGATGACATTGGAGTAGAACGAAAAGAGAGGGGTGTCGATCAGATTATGGTCCAGCACAGGTTCACGAAGTTATTGACTTTTAGATTAATCAGTGGAGGAAATGTGGACATCTGTGTTAGGGTTTTACCCAATCATCAATGATAGTCCACCATATGTGTTATAGCTCAAAAATTGTGAAAGATGGGCACATTCATTCCTGCAAATCTTAGATTTTAATGTAATTTCGTACTTTGTTTTCTTCAATTTTATTCATTCTCTTTAAAGCATACCTTACACTTTTAGTTTCCGTCATCGTATTAATCGATTTTCTCACTCAATTAGTTCGAGTCTTATTAATTTTCTCTAACTGTTCTGACACGAAATATGTCAATTTGTACCGAAACCATATCTTACATTGTTTATGAAAAACTAGCGTGACTACAATGACATAATGAATTCATACTTCATTCTATTAACAAATAACATTTAAAAAAATATTAACTGGAGTAATAAATGAACTTCTTCGTGTTCTATCATAAGTGATATTTATTCACTTTTCTCTTGTTTTTCCCTCAGGATCCTCAAACTGTTGTTTCAGAGTTCATGAAGACTGAACCAATTTTATCGGAAATTAATGGACAAATGAATTATTACTCTGTACGTTATTAACTTATGAATAGTATGAGATAAAGTATCTATTGTTTTACAGTTCCATTCATAGGAACAGTGATTCAGTGGTTAATATGTTCCACTTTTAGCTACCACGTCCTAGGTCCAAACCCCATTCCATCTACTGCAGCTTTGTGGAACTGGGTAATATTACCAGATCTTATATATAAAGTTTGTCTTGAAGCTTAGTAAACGAATCTGCATCTGAAAACGAGTTAATTAACCGACTAAGTAAAAATTGTCTGTCTAATTCATAATACGCTTAAGAATAATAAAAATATCATTTGGGCAACAACATAATCCATTTAACTCGTTGTGTAAAGAAAATTATGTGAAATACCTGCTTCTGATACTGAATGCATTTGAGCGTACCTGATGTATCACTCAGAGCAATGTCAAGAGTGTATTTGTGAATAACGAGTATTCTCACATTCTAACCACTCCTAATCGTAACACCTAACTCTAACCCTCTTTTCACTAATTTTTAATAAACAATTCAACATATAATTATTCCAATGGTTGAGATCATGAGTCAGTTGAAGCTAGACCACAATGGAAAACCTGGTAGCACTGGACGGCCGTTTCGTCCTATTGTGAGAATCCTCAGCAGTGTGCATAAAATTATTCACTAATTGTTATGACCTTGCGTCTCCCAATTATTTTGTTTTTGCTAAAATCCCCGTCGCCAATTGTTATGACCTTGGGTGTCTGGTTTTTTCTGTCACACGACTTATCTACCAATCCGAATACGACTTATACGAATCTTCACACTATGCCAACCAATGACGTTTAACCGGTGTGGGCAGTTTAGTGTCCTTATTGGTCCTATGTCCTACGAGCCCTTCCACTTGAGTCCAGAACAAGATACCAGCTTCCGAATCAGAGCAGATCGTTTATTTCAGGCATACTTGGTTTATATATCAATCACACAGACCGCAACGTACCATAAAATAGGAAATAATATTTGTACACAAATAAGCCCAAAAAGTGGCTGTGAGTGTGGGAGGCAGTAGTTAATAAACTGAACATAAATTAAGAACCGTAAATCGTACAATAATAAATTATAGGCCATAATAAAGCTTGTCATAAGAGGGATATAAATATACATAGTGTAATTGTTGAGTAGTTATACAATAAGAATATTAGTCCATGAATAGTCCTCGGAAGTTACCTGTAATTTAATCTCCACTCGGATATAACACTAATCCTGTCAAAACTATTTATCTACGGTAATCTAATGACTTTTTATTGTTAACTGTCTAATAACTAAACACTGTCATTTGATTTATTAATACGTAGGCTGTCAGTAAAGTTTAGTCTTACGGTAAAGCTTACTTCTGTTATACAACTGACTGGTAACAAGTTAATCAGTTTTTTTGTTCATGAAAAAAATGAATGACTTCTTGAACTCAAACAAGTTTTTCATGTAAATTTTTATCAAAGAAATTACCTAATTATCAACGTCATTTTAACACTATTCTATGAAGCTTCTAGATTTTCATAATATTTTTATTAATACACATCAAGGTTTCAGATAATTGTGAAACAGATTTCCAACCAATTAAAATGTACATGATACATCATTTTGTAGTATGGGACCCTATAGAAATGTGTACTCGCAGTTGAATATAAAAAGATTTATCCCAGTAGCGTCAGATTTTTCGGCGGGAACGATATCTTAAACTTTTTGATTTTAAATCAAATGATTGTGCCCAAAGAGTACGACAGGTATCACTGATGGAGTAAGAAGATAGTCATTTGATAACGCGAATTTTTAAGTTATAAATATTGACAACTGGATTCCAATCCAGACATTTGGGGAGTTCATGAAACCTTTGAATCAATATCCCAGGTCTAATCTCTTGAGTTTAGCCATACATTTTGAAGGAATATTGCTATTTATTTACAGAGTTCTTGTATTCTAATTTAGGTACTAAAATAATCGTAGTAATTAGTTTCATCTAAATTTAAACTATTGACTTTCAAAAGGTCATTGAATGATTCCAGTGCATTAACTTGGAAGAGAAATCCATTTCCATATTAATTTATTATGGTAAACACGCTAAGACAAATTGCAAAATATCATCTAACTAAGGTACGTATACAATAAATAAAAGTTATGTAATCTATGACAACCGGGTTTATTTCTCATTTTGTCTATCGATCAAGTTATCCAGTTGGCGCCAGGTGTTTGAGTCTGAAGAGAATAGAGAGAGATCTCTAGACTATTCAATTAAAATTATGCTGTTCAATAATAATCCAATTTTTCCAAGACTGTAAAGATCCGTGAAATTCCCAAAAATCGGTATATAGGATTCTGGATAGAATTATTTTAATTTAACCTATACGAACTATGAATCACATTATCGACAATCTTTGCTAAATGTTCGTTTGTTGAATAGTTACTTAAGCGTTGTGTTTCTGTGATTCAATCTAATCATGTTAAAAGTTACAAACTACTCATAAGTAGCATGAGATTAAGTGGTAATTATTGGTTAACTATACTTGTTTTCCTGATTCTCTGATTTATTGCTTCTATCTAGAAAATGGAAAAGTTAATTGAATTAATTCCATCATCAACTCAAGTTGGTTCACTAGTCTTTAAAAGTAATGACTTAAAAGACAATTTAATTCGAGAATGTCAAAATTGGCGTCGTGTCTACGGTCAAGCATTGAATCAACGTTGTGCAACAGAAATGAATAAAATTCTTGAACAATTTGATAATCTTTCGAAACGTCTTAGTCGACCAATAAAAGATTTGGATGATGTTCGAGAACAAATGGCTGCCTTATCTGATTTAAGAGCATCAGAAATTCAATTCGATATGACTATTGGACCCATTGAAGAATCATATGCTTTATTAAATCGTTATGAATTATATTTTAATGATGGTAATGCAGAACGTGTAGATGCATTATCTTATGGTTTCTCTAAACTAAAAATACAAAGTCAACAAGTACAAGATCATCTTTTAGAAATTCAACCAACATTTAAAAATGAATTAATTAATGGAGTGGAAATATACAAACAAGATCTGAATGTATTTACCAGTGAATATGATACAGCGTATGTCCAATTTATTAGTATCAATGTGTGATATTATCATGTTTTTGAAATTCGATAAATTCTATAAGGATTAGATTTTGAATAGATTGAATTCTGACTTCAGATAATTAACGTATTGTGTTTTGAAAATAGTTCAGCTAAAAACTAGATTTTTCTAAAAACGGTAGTGTATATTTGACGTATGAAATGTTGTAGAATCCAAGATGCACGTTCCACCCTGTTCGGGACTCCTTAACAGGATATATATGTTTTTTCTGTGTTGACATCCACTGTTGAACTCAAACAAAATTTACAGAGCTACTGAGTTCAGATAGTCGCTAACTTGTTCAGAGGTTATGGTGGCCAGCCTAAACGTTTAGGACACCTATTTTCTAACTGTCTAATTAGCATACCTGTCTTAGTAATGTTCAAACTGAATTATTGTTCCTGAATGTATATACTGAGACGCCAATATAAATAGGTTACGAATTGCGACAATAATGGGAAACTTAAACAAAAATACTGTAGTTCTTGATAAATATTCACTTTCGTCTTTTCTTTTGAGTTAAAACAAGAGATAAACATAGTAGAATTCAAGCATCTTATAGATTGATGAATCAAAATATTTTAAAACGGCTGAAAATGTAGAAGACTAATGATTGAATTGCAGATGCAGATATCCACTATTAAGTGTATTTTGATAATGTTTTGAATAGTTACAAGTTGTTTTAATATTGCACAAAATCCTTTATCATAATAAGATTTAATGTATTGAATAGTGTTACCATCATACCACTATACTATTAGTAAGAGTTTGTAATTATTGATATTCAGGACTCTAAATTGATCTTGAGTGAACTGCCTCAATGTAGCGCCATGTCTCAAGTTTTGACATGTATGACATGTGTCTAGCAGTCGAACTCAGTAAATTTTTAAGGTGAAATATATTATTTATAAGACCATAAATATTTAACACTACTTTATGATGAAAACTATTTCAATCAACTATCATTATGGAACAAATAATCATTTCTTCAAACCAACCCTAAATGATCGTAATGATTAGTGCATCATTGAAAGAACAAAACTCCAAGTAACCAACAGCATTATTTTTTGGTTTGGATTATTTTCATCACTCTATAAATTAGTGGACCAATGGAACCTGGTATCATCCCACGTGAAGCGTCAGATCGTTTAAGTTTATATCAAGCACGTTTTGATGATCTATGGCGTAAATATCAAACTTATTCAGGTGGTGAAGAATTATTCGGCATACCGATAACAGATTATCCTGATTTACAAAGAATACGCAAAGAATTGAATTTATTACAGAAATTATATCAGTTATATGATTCTGTACTGGATACTGTCAGTGGTTATTACGATATACAATGGACTGATGTCGATATTGATTTAATCAATCAACAATTGCTAGACTTCCAAAATAGGTAAGTAATTAATTGTAATAGTAGATTTATTTTTATGCTCCGGTTGAAGTGTTGTATCTTTTAGACTCCTTAACCTATTACTGTTGCGCTGGACAACATTAACGTACTAATAGCTTCTAGAAGAAGTAAGGCAGGACTTCTTCAGAAAAGAGAAATTCCATTTTATAACTCGTCATCTTTAATTTATCGATAGTCTTATAAATATGTTTGTATTAAACTTACTTCATAGTCATTATGCAGATGAACATGTGGATTTTTGAATGATGTCATTAACCTTACTACCTTAAGGTTAGAGTTAATGAAATTGTCATTTATAACAGCAAAAGTGTCAATGGTAGATCATTCAACCCAAAGAACTTAACATCATAAAGAATACACTAGTTTGAAAATAAAATACTCTACATTCTGTCATCAAATTATAATCTGGTGTCTAATTAACAACCATAAATTAAGAATGGTCTCAATTTCCACTACATCCTTGATTTCCCTAAACCATAGCTCTAATTATTTACAGAGTTCCTATTCAATAAGTAAAACTATCTATAATCATATTTATATTTGATTGCATTAAATTATATGAAAAACTTACATAATACTAAATCTACTCTAAATATAATCTTTCCTCTTAATTTATTAGATGTCGAAAATTACCAAAAGCACTTAAAGAATGGCAAGCATATACAGAGCTTAGCAAAACAATAGATGATTTTAATGAAACATGTCCATTACTTGAAATGATGACGAATAAAGCTATGGCTACTAGACATTGGGAAAGAATAGAAGAATTAACAAAACATAAATTTGATGTAGAATCAGACAACTTTCTATTGCGTAATATTATGGAAGCACCATTATTAAAATATAAAGAAGATATTGAAGTGAGTTAAATATTGAATGAGTTATTCTGTCACTAATATTGATTTTGGTAAATACTTTGAGAATGATAGAATATAACAAAAAGAAGTTTTCATTGCAAACATAACAATTGCAATGAATCAGAGAATACTAAAGAGCCTTTAGTCTGACTTCCGAACTTCATAGCTTCATATATCAATCGATCTTTGTATATAGAACTTAGAGTTAGATTTTGTAAGAATCATATGATATTTTTAATGTCTGTGGTTAGCCATGTGTTGTGGATACGTCCAGGTAATAAATATTGGTGTTCAATATGTTAAAGATTCGAATAAAACTTTTAAGGAGAATTACGCTGCATTATGCAGCACACATCCTTATATGGATGGAAAAATGAATGAATGTAGTGTGTACGGTATATTTATTGAACATGAAAATGTTACTGATAATCGCAGTATTTTGAACCACTGGACTATTCCCGAATTTCTAATGTTTTGAACTTTGTAGCCATAAAACAAGGATTTCCAAATCTCTGATTTTCATTAACTGAAAAGAAGGTCGCAGTTTTTATCTATGACGTGGTCGTGGATATGCATCAATGAGGAGTAATATGAATCATTAAATGTTTATTCAGACACAGATACTAAGGAGTAAAAATTTACGTGATAGTCATTGAAATACATCTTATGTGTTGAAGTTCAAGATTGTTAGGTTAAGAATTATTTGATAATAAACCTGACCACTAGTTCATAATCAAATAAATGAATTGCCTTGGTCAAAAACCAGTTTGTCATATATCAAGCAAATGAGAATTTCGAACGTTCTTAAGTTCAGATCCCATAGTAATATGGTATGTGCTACTCATATGGACAGATAAGTAGTATGTATCAAGAATTGGAAATGGGATTCTTACTGACAAAAACGGATATGAGAAAAAGAGAAATAAAAACAGAAGCAATCCAAGTAGCAACAACAATAAAACAACGTCGGAATTTGTAAGACACGGTTCAAAGAAAATGTGCAAATGGTGTACTTAATGTATTGTTTTGATATTTTCCAAATGTAGTGTGTGATTTTGCCTACACATTAGATAAGTTTAACCCTAAGTCTTCATTCATTACAGTAAGATATCCATTATAAATTATGGTAATCAATCATACTGAAGTAAAACTTTCCATGGTCTGATATGATTAATTATTGAATTTTTAGTATCACTGATCTAGTCAATTTCAATAATGTAGTGGTTGCGACCGATGAAATCCACCGTCATTCATAGTAGCACAAATCTATGTTTGGCTATGGGTCAAATTAGATTGCTTCTTTCATTTCTACTCGCAATTTTTTGGACGAAAAACGTGGATTCTTCAGAAAAACTGTCGTCCTAAACTGGAAAAATACTAACACGAATCGTATAACAATATTTTACACACTATCAAAATTGTACAGTCTAAATGGCTACAGTTTAAATGCTAGCGAATCAAAGTAGACAAACATTGAACCTCTTCAGTTGGTTTTCATTATTAATTCGCATAGCGTTATGAATATTCAAGCGATGGACCATATATGAATTGCTTTTATATTGTATTCAATCGCTGTTTATAACTAATCAATGTCCAAGTTACGATTGTACACCACCGAATCTCGGCTCAGTGGCCTACAGGAAAAGCCATTCAGTAATTCTAGGTTTTAACCGGTGTTCTAACTTCGATCGGCTCAAGATTTCAATGGAGTTCGACCCTTTCCACAACCCCATACTAAATTATGGTTGTTTGCATCAACATAAGTTTTCTAAAAATAATGGTGATAATATGTAAACCAAAGGCTTTAAGTGAATTACATTTCGAACACTGTTACGAAACACCTCAGCCTGATATTCATTAAGTTCAGTGGGTTGATATTACTGATATAATACTGATTCCTAAATCGCTAACCCAAAATTTTTTATTTCGTATTATACTGGAGACGGTGGTTTAAGAACGCCGTGGTTACAAAGGTTTAGGAAAATAAGTCAAGACAACTAGAAAAATATTGTCTTTTAATTTCTGTTTCAGTAGGTAATGACGAAATTTTTTCTTTCATTGATTAAACTAACGAATAATAACCTTTTTAAATCTCCAAATTTCATTGAACTAATCAAAATAAAGGCTGTTTGAATTATATGCTTAATTCAGTCAAAGCCATAAAACCACTGGGTTGACATCCTGTGACGCATGTCTCCAACATCTAATCTAAGTCAGTCTGTGACAACAACCATATATATTAATATATAATTTTATCTTTGTTTATAGGATATCTGTATTTCAGCAGTTAAGGAAAAAGATATTGAGGCTAAGCTTAAAACTGTTATGAATGATTGGTCAAGTCAGAATTTTCAATTCAGCCTCTTCAAAACACGTGGTGAATTATTACTCAAAGGTGATAGTATCAATGAAGTTGTTACTCTTATGGAAGATTCCCTAATGCTATTAGGATCATTACTATCAAATCGATATAATGCACCATTTAAACCGAAAATACAAGAATGGGTACAAAAATTGACTACAACTAGTGAAATTATTGACAACTGGTTGCAAGTACAAAATTTATGGATTTATTTAGAAGCTGTGTTTGTTGGTGGCGATATAGCTAAACAATTACCTCAAGTGAGTGGAAAAGTTGATTATCATTAGTTAAAGGTCGCTTGTCATAACAATTTGTTGATAAATTTAGTATCTGCTTGATCTCATTATGTAATAATGACAGTGTGAAGAAGGCTTTGATGATTACCCTTTGTTGCAGTTAGTCATTTCCTGTCCCTTATTCAATTGTAAATTACATCAAGGTATTCAGATTCCAACTAACATTTTACTGAGATTCTATCCACTAGTAATTAAACACATCGGTTTAACTTCACTCTACACAAACATACACATTGTTTAACAGTATAAATCACGAACTTATCTTAGCTAAACCATGATTGAAAACCTGGAGGTACTGGACAGCCATTTTGCCCCATCATGGGACTTCTCATCCATGATCTCTCACCCAAGACCATGAATTGGCTGAAGTTAGAAATTAACACCGTCGAGTCCCGTTTCAGTGGTCTAGAGGTTAGGTGTTTTCACGCGAGGCTGAACGTCCCGGGTTCGATTCCCATACGCGGGGTCGTTGGTGCTCACTGCTGAAGAGTTACACACTAGGACGTAGAGGCCGCCTACTGCTTCCAAGTTTCAAGTGGTTGTGATTTTAATTGTGAAAACACCACAATCTCTACAAATTGGTCATACTAATATATGCTTTTTTACAAATTATCTTTCCTCTAGGAAGCTAAACGTTTTGGAAATATCGACAAAAGTTGGCAACGTATTATTCAAAGAGCTCATGAAATACCAAATGTAGTTAACTGTTGTACCGGGGATGATACATTAAGTCAACTGTTACCACATTTATTAGAACAATTAGAATTATGTCAGAAATCACTGACGGGTTATTTAGAAAAGAAACGTCTGATATTTCCAAGATTCTTTTTTGTTTCTGATCCAGCTCTGTTGGAAATACTTGGCCAAGCATCTGATTCACATACAATTCAAGCACATTTATTAAATGTATTTGATAATACTAAAAGTGTTACATTCGATGATAAAGTTTATGATAAAATATTAGCAGTAAACTCACAAGAAGGTGAAACTATTCAATTAGTGAATCAAGTAATGGCACAAGTAAGTACCAGTTTGCTATCGCATTTATGTTAATACAATTATGCATTATAACGGGACGAGTACTAAACAAGTTGACCTTTTGGAACTGTCTTCTGTTTAAATCTGTTGTTTTTATTTTTGTTTTCTAATTATTTAAATGCCCGAATCGTCTTATTTATTCGTTTTCTCCTGTTTCCAAGCCTTTCCATAATGCACAAGCTTTTTTTATATGTTACATCTTTATTGAGTTAATGTCAATTTATCACAGACCTATTACTAAATTCTCTTCCACTTATGACCTAGTAATGCCGTCTTCGTAAATCATTTACTTATGTTGGTTTGTGGCCAGGGTTTCACTGTATGTTTTCGGGTTATGATTGAATTGAGAACAATATAGGACTGGCTTGCTCTCTATCCTCATCTTTTGATCGACCACTGAGCTAGAAAGACCTCGAGGATAAAGAAACGTTACTGTCTTGGTTTTTGTTCACTGATCGGTGTGTCAATTGTTAAATTGAATTTCACTGGTCTAACTGGTGATATAGGTAAACTAATCGATAATCCGGTTAGAGAATGAGGTTATAGAACTGCTTTTCTGTCAACACGGCTCTATCACATAAGACACAACACAATTCAAATCGAGGAAATAACCTGATGTTATTTTCTTTAGATATAACATGTTGTAAACTACTATAATACATCTAGTATTGTTATTTTCTTCTATAAGTCATATATTTATTATATGTAATTAAATTGTATACAGGATATCGTGTCATTTTCAATAAATAGTTCTTTTACAGCATGTTTATAATTATATGCTTCAGACAAGATATTGGTTGTGTGAATTTGAACCCACTGGCTACTCTGAGAAAAGAGCTGTATGGAATACTAACACTAAAACACAGTGCTTATCACTTCAAACATTATTGCGTTACCCATTGTACTAACGAGTATAGACGCCCATATACTAAAGTTTGTATCCAAAGGCTATATCGAAACAATCTGTTCGGGATATACATACGTCAAGTGAGACTTATTACAAATCAGTTAAAAATATTAACATTGCAATAATTCAAATTGTTACGAATAAAGTAAACTTACTCCTAGATGTATATATTTTACAAATTATCAGTCATTTCGTAAAGTCAGCAAAATCCTAAATTCAATGATGAAAACTACTAACAACTGAACAACTATCTCGTTACATAAATGAACAAAACAATCACTTTCTATATAGAATAAGTAAAAAGTGGCTAACAGTGAGACTCTTAGTATGCTTTTTTTCCTATTTGAGACTCGATAGTCCGTTGCATTTGCATCTCAGATATGGTATTCACTCTGGGATTCAAACCCAGTACTTTCACTTCAAACGTTATCGCGTTGTCTGCTTAGCTAATGAGTTCATAGTCACTTACCTGAACAAGAGGTACGAATTCTTATTTAATTTATGATGTTCAAAAACAAAGGATACTTGAGAGAACAGTTGTCTTCAATAACGTTGTCATGATGCTCTACAGTTTTAAGTCTATTATTGTTGCGTTATTTTAAATAGGTCGAAATAAAGAATGCATTAACGAATTAGACAATGTTATATGTTGAAAGTAGTAAAATTTTACTTCTGTTACTGCATAAAAACCTTAACATTGTGTCAATTTTAAATTCGAAAAGTCATTTACAAATGTTCAGGATGATTCGTTGTCAGATATCAAGTTACAGTCAATATAGTAGTATAGGGTTGCGGAAATTGTTCAGTTTTAATTGTGATCGTGAACCGATCAATGTTAGACCACCATGTAGTAATAAATCATGTCAATAAAGTGTATAGTAAAAGAACTTTGTCTTGTTAATCGAGGTAACAATAATAACATTGAGTGAACATAATATGCAACAAGACAGGTGCTGTCAAGGTAATTATTGTAAGAAATTCATGTGAATTGAGAGAGACAAATGTGTAAATTAACAAAGGTATAAACATAAAAGGAATCGATGAAATAAGAGATTTGTAATATCTAGTTCAGGTGTCTGGTGATCCAATTTAGGAATAAGGTAAACACAGTGACTGAACATACTTCTTTTGGCTATACAAGTTAGGTTTTCTGAAGTTGATTCACATAACTCCAGCTATGTATAGAAGCCGTAATCTAGCTCCTTTAGACAGGTTGTTTGAAACGTAATACAAAACAGAGTAAGCTTCATCCATTTTAATAAAATGTTCACTATCTACCAAGTGAGAAAAGATGTCATTGTTAATAGATTTCATGACTCATTTTCCTAACCATGCTTTATTTTGGCCTTTGTACAATAACTTAATAATAATGGACTTATAAGTGAAGAGACTGATGACGAAGTTACGGAAAACACTCGTTCACTAAAACATTTTTGAATAAGTTAGTGGGATAATTTATAATTGTTTGGTTTATCCCGTCGACTAATACTGATTACAGTGAATTAATCAAAAACGGGATAGTTCCAATATTAATTAAAATAAATGAAATCAATTCTTATGTTATAATTTCCTAGTTATAATTCTAATTAATTGATTTTTAATCTTTGAGGGTAATGTTGAAGTATGGCTTGGTGAATTATTACAAACATCAAGAAATTCACTTCATTCAGTTATTAGATCAGCATATTTTGCGATAAATGATCAACAATTTAACTTATTAGAATTTGAAAATTCATATCCAGCACAAGTTGGTCTACTTGGTATACAAATGTTATGGACAAGAGATGCACAAGAAGCATTAAGACAAGCCAAAAATGATCGAAAAATTATGAATACAACAAATTATTTCTTTTTAGAAATATTAAATGAACTTATTGGTGTTACAACACAAGAATTATCTAAAATTGATCGAACAAAATATGAAACATTAATTACAATACATGTACATCAAAGAGATATTTTCAATGATCTCGTAAGTTATCTACTTTATATATTTACATTACAAATGTCTCTTTGAGCTGATCTCTTTTAGCCACCAAATATTTTTCTGTCCTGAATATCATTAGTCTTAGTTCAACTTAACTTATGTTACTGATTCTACAGGTTTCATGAATTTAGTGCATTTGATTACAGAATGCGTGTACCTACAAATGATGACATAAAATCCACCGCTCTTAGAAACTATTGTTGAATTAATAATGAATGAAAAAGAATACTTAGATAGTATACGAGTGGTCTGTTTCGTGTGCTGTAATTTAAACAATAAAATGGTTCACAATCTTTATCGATGATATTACAGCAGAGATCTAGGAATTCTCGTGAGACAGTTCATAGCTCTGCCGTTACGTAGACTGGTCTGTCCACATATTTATTTTAATACTGTTGGTAGGTTAACTGTTACAATAAAGCAGCTACAATGAAAGTACGAGTCTGCTGATTTTGCATCGGTAAAATGATTTATTTATAAAGACAAAACTTATGGAAATGCATGAATATACTTATCTTTACCAAAATAACTACTTCAGCGTTTCCGTAGAATATCTCGACAAGTGAAAATCCGTAACTCATATGGAGTAAAAGTTTATATACCACACAACTTTTTAAAAATCTCATAATCTTTCCACGTATTTAAACATATCTAAATTGGTTATACTCAGCTCACTTTTCCTAGATCTGTAGAATGAGCTCTGATAGCATCTACAAACAGATATTGAGTTTATTAAGCACTTTTTTTATCAACCCTCGAGGTATTTGACTTTTTCACCTTGGTGAAAATAGGTAACTTTCAAAATCAAATCAAGTCTATTGGCATAAGATTTTTCTAACCAGATAAATTAACTGTACTCAGATTTTGAGCAATAACGAACTTCCTTAATAATGCATTTAAACTGTACTTGTTTCTCCTCTATCCTAGGTTACAATGCGTGTCAAATCCCCTAAAGATTTTGAATGGTTAAAACAGTCAAGATTTTATTTTAATGAAGAAAATGATCAATGCATCGTTAGCATTACTGATGTAGATTTTATTTATCAAAATGAATTTCTAGGTTGTACAGATCGATTGGTTATTACCCCATTAACTGACAGGTAAGATGAATAGATTAGATCTCGAATGAAAAGGATGAATTTAAAATATTTTTTGATACTTTTCTGGTATATAATAGTATTAACTAAAGTGACGGTGGAACTACAATTTATCGACGACCCAATCGTATTTAGGATAGTGAGCCTGTAGTGTCAGTCATTATTTTAAGCCCATAATATATCTTATTCTAGCTTTCGGACATCCCATTCTATTCATTCTACTTGAGTCATATTTTGACCTTGTCAATTATTCGCTTATCAGTCGTGATTGTTTTTATATGAGCGTACATGTGTGTACATTTCATATTCCATGACTCACCATATGTCTGTAGTTTATTTTGTCTACCTATAAATATTGATTAACGCTTGACAAAAAAGGAGTTGGCTTACCAGTCATCTCCACTGTGCATCATTTTTACTTGCCTTCACCGTGTGCTTGTTTGTTGTACGTTAGTGGATTTTTATTAATCACTAACAATAAGTTATCTCTACAACTGGTGTTCAGGCTTCTGAATAATCTCGAGTAAATCTGTAATTCTCCTAGGAGATTTAGCCTGCCTTAAATACTCAGTTAACGGGATATTATTTATTGAAGCCAGAAGCCTTGGTTGTTGGTGCGAAATCTATTCATACATATGATTAAACATCATTTGAGACTGTGGCGGAAGTCAGTTCATAATAAAAACTCTAACTCAAATTCTTAACCCTAACGTTGAACTCTAAATCCTAATTCTTTACACTAGTTTACAACCTTCTTTTAACGTTAGTGAGTAGGTGAATATTCTCAAGGTCACTTCACAGTCTATCAAGTATCGTCCATAAATTAGTCCCGCTGATGGCGTTTGTGAAACTGTTGTTGAAAACGGATATTGATATATAGTAGAACATGTGAAGTTTTATCTGGCTAAAATTGAATAGTCGAAAAGGTTGTATATTTATCTATCTTAGGTATGAATTTTAGGGAGTATATGGCATGTGAAGAATAGTCACCTTACCCTAAAATATGGAGTTAATTTCAATATCTGTTTTGAACAAATGAATACCTATGATTAGAAGACTTAATGATAATTAACATCATTAATAATTGCTGATGTACATTAAATGACAGACAGTGAAAATTAATTGACTTGGTGAAAATCTTATCTGGTTTCTTCTTTTTCTACAGGAGTTTACAGTCTGACAGTGTTTTACGGTTATAACGATCAAAGTCAATGAATGGGTTCTTTACAAATACTATGTGTGTGTGCTGACTTACTGAATCAATTACAACTCTCTTACATACTCTTACTTTTAATTCCCATGACACATTTTCATAGACCTCAACCTTCAACGTTGAGCTTAACAATACTTATTGTTCTTTAATATACTGTTTTGTGTATTTTTACATCATAGTGTAGGATTGTCTTTTCGATCTAAATGAGATCATGAGTGGTTTTTAAATCCCTGATTCTTACGCTATTTTAGGGATTTTAGGTGCTCAGGAGCAGTTGACAAAAAACCCTGAATCTGGATCCCATACTGATTGACACTCCTCGGGAAGCCATACCTGTAATCGCCAGCGAACGGATGCTGCCTCTTGAGTTTGAACCTACGCCAGCTAGATACAAATCCTAAGACATTACCAGTTAATCATTTAAATCTCAAATGATCTTCAGTGTGATTGTAGTTTATCTCGCCCGATGGATCATAAAAACTGTCAAATTTCGTTTGATATTCATCATTTTATTGTAATTCAATATCTGCAATTTCTTTTTTGTATAGGTGTTACATTACTTTAGCTCAAGCACTTGGTATGTCACTTGGTGGTGCACCAGCTGGACCGGCAGGTACTGGGAAAACGGAAACAACCAAAGATATGGGTCGCTGCCTTGGTAAATATGTAGTTGTATTCAATTGTTCCGATCAAATGGATTACCGTGGTTTGGGTCGAATTTATAAAGGTTTGGCACAATCTGGTTCGTGGGGTTGTTTTGATGAATTCAATCGAATTGAATTACCTGTACTATCTGTGGCAGCGCAACAAATTGCTATTGTACTAACATGTAAAAAAGAAAGAAAACCACAATTTATATTCACTGATGGTGATACAGTTGATATGGACCCCGAATTCGGCATATTTTTGACTATGGTTAGTTGAAATCTCTGTTGTTTAAAATAAAGGCTGTAGTGTTTAAATATTTATTTGAAGCACGTTTAACTTCATACATTCATTATCTGTAATATTTGTCTTTGTGGCTTGATTATCCATTACTGTAAACTTAGCTATGGATCGTATTACAAATTTAACTGACAACTACATGTAGTGACATTAATTTTCTTACTTAAAATTAAGTTTGATAGCATTCTATGGGATTCAGTACAGACGTCTCAAATGAGTATAATTGTATATTCATGTTGAAATACGGTATCTAACTCAGCATATGACTGTTTGATGCATTAGTTCAGTTGTATTGGTTAACTGGTACTTTGTTATGTGATTAATTATTTTACTGATCTATACTTTAGAAATGCTGACTAATTGAAACTGTAGGACAATTTGAGTTCATTTCAATACAACCCAGATCAAGCCAGTCTAATAAAGTGTTAAATTAGTTACACTACGATACAGTAGCTGGATATTTTATTGCCAATGTTATTTATATTCCAATCCAATCTCTGATGTTTCTAAGTATCAGTGACAATAAACATTAAATTCAATTACAAAAATGTGTGATTCTAGTGCTAATCTAGTACTACTATTATTCCAGTCCAGTTGTGTCCATTCGATCCAATTATATTTTAATTGTTTTTATTGCTATTGTATTTGCTAATGAATTCAATTACTGAAATCTATATTTAAGAACGTTTGTATTATAATTCTTACCTAATTAATTTGACCTCGGTCATTGATTAGAAGGACAACGAATATAACGCGTTCACTAACCAATATCACTTCGAGAATGACAGATGGTCATTTATTTAGAGTTTTCAAACCAATAAAACTCTTAGCTAATAAGTATAATACCATTTTCTAAATGATTGAATGCAGAAATATATAACAGTGTATAACCAATGATGTCAGATGTCAGAATTCATTCACATTAGTAGCATTTAAACAAAATCGTATTCAGTCGTACATTTTAATACTTTAGTCTCTTGTATATAAACGGACAACAACCACACAAATACATTTCAAGTTACCTATTTTGAGTAGGGAGGGAATTACAATATATATGTAATTTTTATTCCGACCTATTATTCTTGGATAACTTTAAATATTATTATTCTATCTAAGAGAATAGACAAAAAGCAATCAGAAGTAGTCAGACTTGATGTTTCCCGACCAAATAAATTACGCGATTTGGAAACAATATCAGAGATATCTGAAAATATGTTCTAATTAGAATTGTATCTGGGATATTCATCTTCGTATTGCAAGCCGATCATCTCTTGATTTAATAAACCTAGCTATTAAATGACTGGTTAGATAATATTTAAATTATTTGCCCACTTTGATCGGTGTCACAAACTCAGTATGCTCAAATATGTTTGAACTAATCATATCATATCATGCTGTAGGATTGTATTAATTGAGAGACATGCCGATGGTAAGATTCATGCCATTAAATTTTGTTAACTGAAACTGACCTTTTCACTCTTATGGATGTATTCGCATTTTAAAGCACCTTTAATACTTCATATGGGTCTATCTCAAACTGTTTATGAAATGTTATGCCCATATTACTTCTCATTATTCGATTGTGTGAAGAATAAATTAATTCTGGATGATTTATTTCACCATGATTATTGTTAGGTAACAACAGTAATATTCAGTCAGTAGTAATATAATATCCTATGGTTTTATACTTCAACAAAACTTTTTTCACTAAAAAACTCAAGTAATGCTGTGGTACATGCTACGTATGTCTGTCGACATAAGTAATATGTAACACCAGTCAGAAGTGGAATGCCTGTCAAAAGAAGGTTAAAAAGATTGAAATGAAGGAATCAAAAAGATAGAACAAAAGGAATTGAGAATTGGAAGGATCCTGAAGGGTGTAAAGGAAAATTTGCAAAGTATTTAATGTATGGTTTTTACATTTTATGCAAGAACTCTTTAATTACAATAGACAATACATTGGTTTTCTTCACCAAGTATTCGTTCGCTACAATATCACTGCCCACTTGAAATAACTACAGCCGAAATGTCAACGAGTAACCACTTACGTATGACTTTACCTACAGAATTTTTGTAAAGTGAAGTAAAGTTGTTAATCGATTCAGTGTAAAAAGTAACACAACCTTTATCAAATCCTTGGATGATCTTTGAACAATCATTCCAACGAAAAGATGATTTTCATGCCGTTAAAGATAATTGGCAAGAAGACCTGAACCATGGTTTTATGTCAGTCGTCACTTATCATCAAGTTTAATAGTCTCTTCACAGTTTGAATCCACATTATGTATACATAATTACTGAATTTATTACCGACCTAATAAGAAACAGAAAACTCACAAATCTGAACAGATTTGGTTCATTATTTCACTGCTTATTCATTACCATCTAGAATCCCGGTTATGCTGGTCGACAAGAATTACCGGAAAATTTAAAGATCAATTTTCGTACAGTTGCTATGATGGTACCAGATCGAGCAATTATTATGCGTGTTAAATTAGCTGCTTGTGGATTTTTGAACAATGTTGATTTATCTAAGAAATTCTATACACTTTACAAACTATGTGAAGAACAATTATCGAAACAAGTAAGTTGCTGGTTTAGATAGGGGTAATTTCTAAAACGTACATTATGTGATATTTATGAAATATTCGGTGTTTATTATACAATTTACGAAATCAGTTCGACCTTTTAAAAAGTACTTCTTCATAAAGTCTATCGGAAGATGTAAATACTTACGTATGAAGAATAAGATTTAGAAATTAATGTTCTACTGTAGCTACGACGATGCGAAAATATATACCAATGCTTGGTCGCTAATATCTGAGAATTTAGTTATACCCATTAAAAAGGGCCGCTGGCCATTACCACCTGTCCAGACACCAATCAAAAACCCAATCCTAATTTGGATGTTATTTACTCTACAGCTTATTGTCTCTGGCTTGGCCAATCACACGTCGATCAGCACTACTGACTAGGAGACGCTAGTGGGGCTGACAAGTTTCGTGTGAGGTGAGGTGAAGGGAGAATATAATCTATCCACTTTTATTATTTCGAAAATTGCTCATGTGATTGGTTCGATCTGACTATGTGACCCAAACCACTAACGTTGCCATCGTTTCAGTAATGCTACCCAGCTCTTTTTGCAATTCGATTGGTTAAGTTCCATGGGTAATGCCTTATTTTCATTGGATGACTTTAATCGTTGGCTCATAAACAGTTGTCTCTGTTTATTTATTTGGAAAAGTCAATTCTCGAAGTGGCCAGCTTTAACCCACGGTATTTTGCTCATGTGTTAGTGGGCTAACTGTTTAATAATGAAAATGTTGATTACCAACAATGTATAACGCTTAAAACATGTTAATGCTGAACTGTTGTCCAAACATGTTCAAGAATTAGTTCTATGTAGAGCAAGGATTAAAGTTATTTGATGTGAAATGCCAACAATATTCGAAATGTAAAACTTGTATAACGACGTAGTACTATAATTAAGAATTTAGCGAACAAATTGGATCAAGACATAATAATCGTTTTGCTTATTATCAAAATAAAAGTACGAATGACGGAATTAATCAATTCAAACCCATGCACAGATAGTGAGTAACAAGGAAATGTGTTGCAATTCCAATTAAAATGAATTGAAGATACAGATATTGTTTACATGTCCAAAGAGTCCATTTGGTCCATTAAGTTTCATAGTCTTACTCTACTCAAAAGCAACATTTAAATGTGTTTGTATAAGCGAATATTCCAAATACAATTTTCATAACCGTCATCAACTAATTTTGAGGGATATATTGTATGATTAAAAGAAGCTTTAGGTATTTACAGACATATTCATGAATATTATTAGGCTAATGAAATACTGATAATCATAATTATACTCAAATAAAGAATATGAGAAGAAATGATACTGGGAAATAAACACTTAAAAAACAGTTCTTATTATCATCAATCTTTTTTTAGAAGAGTTACAATAGACATGTTTTTACCTATAACATAAGCACAGTAACAAATAAACAATTAAAAGATTAATATCAGATGGGTTTTGTGGATACTATAGTAATTTCAGTGGTTAAGATCATGAGTACAATTGCACAGACATATTACGTTAATGTCGCCAGTTTGTATCCAGTGTTCAAATGAAATGTCAATGACGGATCAATTAAAACATGAAAATCATGTCAAACAGATTATTGATACATTTGCAATTGTCTCGCACGTAGAATAGCTTGTATTTACTGTCTGATATAGGTCCGCTGTTTATAATTAAATAAGTCAATCTGTCTAGGAGACTCAGTGATCACAAATAAAACGATTCATAATCTAGACGTCGTTATTGCCGAAGTTCATATTTATTTTCATCCACTTATAGCCAGCTAAAATGACACTTCTGATTGCTGCGAAAAGGCTACAAGTGAATTTAGGGAAGTAATGGGCTTTAAAATAAATTTCATACTCTTAAAAAGTTATCCCCTTTTAAAACATGTTACTGGAACAGTTGTGACAGTCTATGCATTTGAATTCTATTACCTGCTTAATTGGTAATCCCTTAAATGATTGATAAGTAACCCACATAAATATGCATATTTACTTGTTAAAGAACATTCACTGATTAATCCATTTGTTTCACTGTGTATTGGTCGAATAATTTGCTCTGTTCGTTGAAATAGGCTGTTCCGACCACTACATTTCGGCTTCTGGGAATTATGTACTGTTTAGGAATTACAGTAAAAACCGTTGACTGGTCGGTTGATATACTATGTATAATAATAATCATCTAGACATTCGCAAAATGTGATATGAAATGTAACTATCCACAGGCAGATATAAAAAAGATAGTGGAAGAGACGAATATATGTCGAACAAAAACTAAAAGGTTGTGTTAAGACTATGGTAAAGTATGAAACTGAATCTATAAATATCTCATTCAACTGCGCTTGTAGCCAGTTTTTCTGACTTCAGGAATAATTTTGTGTTAAGTTTATGGTGCCGATAGACGATCAGAATTGACGAAATCTTTAACACTTGAACTATTGATTTATTTATTTGTCGGACTAATTTTTTGCTATTTGATAGGTTCATTATGATTTCGGTTTAAGAAATATTTTATCAGTTCTACGTACACTCGGTGCATTTAAACGTGCTAATCCACAAGATTCGGAAACAATGATAGTTATGCGTGTATTACGTGATATGAATTTAAGTAAATTAGTAGATGAAGATGAACCATTATTTATGTCATTAATTATGGATTTATTTCCTGGAATGCAGTTGGATAAGAAAGGTTATCCAGAAGTTGAAGCTTCGTTAGAAAAACAAGTAAGTTAAATTTCTTATTGAATATAAATAGTCTTTACAATAATTTGAGATAGAATTGTAATACTTTTAAAAGTGATCAGTCAATAATGTCGACTTCTAGCATCCTACACTTGACCAGTTATGTGCCTGCCCTGCACAGTTAACCTTAATCTGACACAAGCTAAATTCTTATAAGTTCACTATTGGCAAACCTTTTTCTAGCTTTTGCCTAGAGTCATGTGACAAGTTAGCGGCTAGCTTCTACGATACATATTTCAAGCACATTGTGTCCCTATGTAAATAAACCGAACCACATCACGCCCTAAAATGAGAAATCACAATTATGCATCGACAAGCCTAAAGTACTTGTGAATAATAGATTGGAAATGAAATGAAAATAACAAGTGGTTTAGTGATAGTTAATGTATTAAACGAAAATTTACGATACGCAGAATATATAAACACAATAATCAGATTAATTAGTCATAATGTGTAATACTAATCTATAAAATGGTTCCATGAATTACGATTTCCCCAATCTTTGTTCTGCTACACCAGTTAACAAAAGGTAATAATAGTGCATAAAAGTGATATTTTTCATTTTAAAAAATGTCACTTTCAAGTTTCCAATTTTCAGTTATTCCCATACGACAGAATCTATTACTTTCACGTCCCACTGTTTGAATTCTCATAAAAAACTTTGATAGGATGAACATAATGATAAAGTTTCAAAACGTATTTCATGACCCAGTGATATAACGTACTCATACATCATTTGAAAGCCAGCAAGAAGCCCCAGATCCTCACTGTCAATCTAGGTTTTTATGCTTTTCTATCTGCATTTGATCTAGACATACGAGGACTCAAAACTAAGGAACTTCATTGATTCCAGTGTCTTTTAAGTAATGGATATTATTCGTAAAGTATATTTGTGATCAGATCGTTCGAAATGTATTACGCAAATATATCACACAATCCTGATAACCTTTTGTCCTCTCATTCCATTATTGGAATTTATCAAAGGGATTAATTGTTTTAAATTAATCGTAAAATCAATCCGCAAACTTCTTTAAATCCTTTTATCAAGATACAGTATACTTGACAGCCTATATGATATAAGGTTAGATTGTTGATTGTATAAAACATGGATTCATCTAACACTCGGGAACATAACTTATTGTATGAATCGTATAATTGAACATGAGTTCGTAACTCCTTCCTTTCACCACCCAAATCTTTTAATTAGCGAAGTGTGTGTGGCTACTGTTTCCCGATGACCACTGAGATATTCTCTACATGATAACTTTAAGTATGTAGACAGTCACATAAATATTTTGTGCAGCAATAATAATAAAAAACTAGTTTAATCTGGCATTTTAACAGCAGCAGCATTAAAATATCTACCGAAATTTTAAAAATCATTTATAGGTTTGCATCAGAACATATGAACCATGTGTTAGAAAGTCAGCTTACTGCTTAGACTTTACATTGTGTCGAACAGTTTAATCACGAGTGAATGAAGAAAGTGTCTACGCGGTAGTTAATTTAGTGTAACACTGTTGATCCCTCTTTCGCTTAATAGTAATTAAATGATGAAGGCAAAGATCTTGGGAACTTCATTCAACAAAAAGGAAAGGCAAACTTATATGGTAGGCGACATGTCGATTACTCATTACGAAGCTGAAATGATAAGTGTAATGTCCACTAGGTTAACGATAAAATAGGTCAGTACACGTGAAGGAAAACATATTCTAAAAAAAATATTTCTAAACCTAGGAGGTAAGTTTCAAACTGTTTATAATTTCAGACGTATGCTTTGAACAAACTGATTTGGTCATGAATTTATAAAAGTCCCTTGAGAAAGCAATGGTTTTAATGCTTATAATGCACATTAAACAGATTAGACTTGAATACTCTGTTTCCTTGAAAGCACAAATTTCCATCCTAATTCACCTCACTGATTTAGATTTCAGTCATTTTGATGTTGTGCTCGGCTATCTGGTCCACGACTCCTGTCGCGAATACACGCTATCGAATCTCGTACTAGAACGGATCTATTGTACAGTATCTTCTGGTTTTCGATCCTGGTCTAGCTAAGATCAGTTTGTTCATTTATTTGAACACATAAACATTGGCTCACGGAAGCACCAAATATATATGCGCCACAAAAATCATCCGATTTGTCTAAGGGCTGGGATACTGATCAAGCACCCAAACCGAAGCAGATGGTTTTCTTAGGGAGAAACTCCCTCGCCTTTGACATACAAGTCTAATTCACAAAACAGTGGAGCGATGTTAGGAGATGCAGTCTCATGGTAGAGGGTGATGAACAATAGGTTCATACGCTATTTGTTCCCTCAGGATCCTGGTTCCCATGTGCACCACTAGATTTGAATCAGAGTTTTCCAACTTCCTTAGGTTGACCCTCCGTATCCACCAACCCGGTTAAAGCGTCGGACATTCGCTCTACGTCCTCCAAATTTCGTAAACAACACTCTCGCCGCGAGAAGGCAGTGAGTAGGACTTTCGTGGCAGTGGCTGTATACGCGTGGCCATGTGAGGGCACTTCGAGATAGAGAGTGAACTCTCCCCACTGTTGGCCGTACCAAGGCATTTTGGGGCCGAAATCAGTCAGCTATTTATGAACATTCTACAACCATAAAAAACTATAAACTGACAAAATCAAAACTGTCAAAGATCAGTAGTTATTCATTATGTTTGTATTTAGTTAACGTCACAATGCAGAATTCAACTCTGTGCATTCAATACAGATTTCGAAAAGATTTATCGATTCAAATAGATTTTGGAATTTATAATAAACGGGACAACTAATGTGTCTACAAACGAAGCCAAGCGCTTCATAAGTATATTAAATTCGAATAGCAGCAACATACTGATTCTTATACATTCTTACTATACAGAAATTTAACATTTGAACATAATTAAAGAAGTGTTGAGTAAGTATTTATTCTAGACATTATTTGGTTTTTATTATTCCCGTGAAGATGCTCGGACTCGTTCATCGAGAGAACTGTTGGGATTTATGGAACTTTATTGAGATTATATGGGAAAAATGTTTTAGATCTGATCTATCATATATTCTTGGCTCAGAATTTCTGCCACACTTTTTGCTCATATTTTAACAAATATTCATAACAGTGTTTCTCTATACATTCTACTTAATAATTTTCAGATTGATCAACTTGGTCTTATTTATCATCCACCTTGGGTATTAAAATGTATACAACTTTATGAAACATTACGGGTTAGACATGGCGTTATGACACTTGGACCATCAGGTGCTGGTAAAACTAAGTGTATCAATTCTTTAATGAAAGCAATGACTGAAATCGGTGATCCACATAGAGAAATGCGTATGAATCCAAAGGCTATTACAGCACCACAAATGTTTGGTAGATTAGATGTAGCTACAAATGATTGGACTGATGGTATTTTTTCCACTTTATGGAGACGTACACATAAAGTTAAAAAAGGTGAACATATTTGGTTGATATTAGATGGACCAGTAGATGCTATTTGGATTGAAAATTTAAATTCTGTATTAGATGATAATAAAACATTAACATTAGCTAATGGTGATCGAATACCGATGGCACCAACAGCAAAAATTTTGTTTGAAGTACATAATATAGATAATGCATCACCGGCTACAGTATCAAGAAATGGAATGATTTTTATGTCAAGTTCTATAATGACATGGGAACCTATACTAAAAGGTAAGATTATAAAAGTATCACTGAAATGAGTGAACTTTTATTTAATAAATATTACAAGTGAAGTAGTTTATAAATCTGAATGAGTAAAGGGAACGAGAACCTTGAAAATTTAATTAAAAAGTTTTTGGAAAGTCTTAAACTAAATGAGTTTCCTGTGAATCAACTACCACTTTTTAAACTTAAACTAGTTCAAAGTTTATTTTGTTGGGCTTATATACATTTCTACTAGTTTTCACTAATGATTATTTGTATATTGTGAATATCCACTTCTGTAAATTCAAACTAAATTTTCATATAGGATAAAGGGAATGCGGCTATCAGCGGAATCCAGAACGCGCTTCTTCGTCCTATTTTGGACTCGTTAGTTAGATATGCATGTATCCCAGAATGGACTTTCAATCTGGGACACAAACTCATTACTGTTTGGTTTAAACACCAGCTTGTCGTCTACTTAGCTAATGAGTTCAGTTCCCACTCCTTGTTGCAATGGGTATAAGATTTATATTAATTTGAAGTGATTCAGGTTATCCCGTGTTGAGATCTTTGGCCCATATTCCAACCAGGACTGATCAAATTTCTGTCAGAAGTATGAACAACGGAATAACTCAAATCATTTCAAATTAAATTAGCTGATGGATTATATATATATATATATATATATATATCAAAATAAGAACATTGAACATTAAAACACGGAAACATTTGCAATAAAAAAATTATTCACTGAGTACACCCAAATTGGAAACAGGTGTTACAAATGTTGGAGAGAAGCAGTTGTACAATTAAGGAAAGGAAGTGTCATGAGTTTATGCAAATACTTAAAAATCTAAAGCAATAATGAACATAAATTGTTATGCACTCAAAAGGAATTAGAACATATATTAAGGAACTCAACAAATTGCATCACGACGTAAGCGCCAACTCGGAATCTTGATGGAATATTGAAGAAAGGCAGGCCGATGAACCCATTGCTCAGGGAATTGGAGGCAAGTATCAAAATAGGGTTAGTAGGGATAAGTAAGTAAGTATAAAGTGATGCACAAAGAGTAATCAGATAAGAAGAAAATGCAATCGGATATACTAATTCCCAATAAGGTGAGTTTCCTTCTGCATATCGAGATAGAATACTGGTGAACCTTACTCATAGTTTTGAGTTTATTACTTACCACAGATTGAGACTAGATGAAAATTCTTTGAACACTGAACGTAAATAAACGACTGTTGTTTACTAATTTAACATTTTTCAGTAATGTTTAACAAACTCCACACAAATGAAACCAATCTAGTATCTCTATTCAACGTAAACTAGTGTTTTAATGAACTGAATACTTTAGTGCAAATTATAATTTGACTATCTTGAGACTACAGCAAGCAAGTATAAAGTATCTTTCTTAAAAAGAAAGAAATATATTCATCAACTCAACTGACAGAATTTTAAGAAATTTATGAAGCAATAAGTTTGCTGCAACTCTATGATTTTATGCTAAAATTAAATGTATTATATACAAACTCGTTTCGTGTTATTTTAATTTTGAAATGTGTTTACAACATTCTGTAAAGTTCAAGATTATAACAAAGTATCTTCTTCGTGAAGTTTCTCCTTTTTGCTTACTTAATAGGATGGCTTCGAACTCGTTCACCAAATGTAACTGAATTAATATTTAATAGTTTCAAAGGATTCTTCGAAGATGCTTATCGTTATGTTACTCAGAATTTGGAGCCAAAAATGGAAGTAAGTATAAAATAATTAATTTATTATATTTTTATTTAAAATGATGTTAGATTTCAAACAGTAGTGTTTCGCATTAGTATCAGTCGACATAAGTATATTTTGAACGGCGACTTTCATAAAGGGATAGATATTCTTTTCTAAAAGTACTTTTCATTGATCTTCTAGTATTGTTGTGTTGACACATATCGATAACTGTAAATCTATTCTAAATTGAAAAAGGTATGATTTCGTACTTTTCAGAAATCCTTATCTAAATCTTATTGTGTATCCTAGATTATGGAAACCAACTTGATCATCAGTCCCATTAATTATTTAAAAAGATTTATTTTAGCTCAATAGATCGCTGTCACAAATGTACAACAAACAGTGAACGTATGATCAAGATTTTGAGTAAGATTAAAGCATGATTGAATAATTCTGACTAGACAGCAGTAAAAGGTATGTCATCAGCAAATCACTAATACTTGTCACGTTGAAAATATTTTATATCATATGACAGATTAAAAACAATAGGAAATGTTAACTGGGAATTCAGAGAAATGAACATTATTATTCAATTACACTTAGATTGAAGATTGAATGGCTTACTTGAAGTTTCATTAATAATTAACTAAAGTGAGCATCCACGATGCTGCCTAGCACGATTCCAACCCATCACCTGTCAGTCTCGCGCGCTAGCGCTCAACCATTAGACCACTGAGCCGGAATTCGACGGTGTTAATGTCTAAATTCAACCAATCCAATTCAATTGACTCATGATTTCAACTATTGAAATGACTAAAATCTTCACAAAACCCTTTCTTAAATTAACTAAAGTGTTGAAAAAATGTGTTAATTTTATTTTTGACGTTAATTGATAATGTGAATCATTTTGTCATTAGTTATTAAACTTACATGTAAACGTTTGTTTTTTTACGTTTATTTAATAGATTTTACAATGTAATTACATTCGGCAAGCAATTAATCTACTTGAAGGCTTACTTCAAGGATTAGATGAGAAAGAAATTAAACAAGTTCATATGGAAAGATTAATTACATTTGCAGCAATGTGGTCATTAGGCGCTTTATTAGAATTAACTGATCGTTTAAAATTACAACAATTTTTAATGGGAAACGGAAAATTACCACTGCCAAAATGTGGGGTAGATGATACAATATTTGAATATATGGTTAACGAACAAGGTGACTGGGCTCATTGGGAGAGTAAGGTACCATTGTATGTATATCCACATGATCAAACACCTGAATATACTGGAATTCTAGTACCAAATGTTGATAATACAAGAACAGATTTCTTACTTGATTTAATTGCAAAACAATGTAAACCAGTCATGTTGATAGGCGAACAGGTAAGCTAAAATTTATGAATCATTTTCCTTTGAACTTCATTTTTAGAATATTACAAATTTCTAGTTGACATGTTATGCAGTAGACCAATCGAAAGTCAGCAAATGTGCAGACCACGTTGTGCCTGATTCAGTTTAGCTAAATAAACTTCCTCCTTAACTCCTAGTCTTCTCTTCTAGTAGCTTGTTGAAGGCCTGGATATAGGGAACTTGTTTATCAATATCAGTATTGGACACCGAGTCATAAAATTATGTGTTATTATTTGTGGTCTCACTGCTTTATTTGTAAGCGGTTTTACTGGCGATCCGTATGTTTATTAGTTTTTTAATAGATCAGATATGCCATATGTAGTTCATGTTTCGCTCCTGTGAGTTCAAAAAAGTTAGAAATCCTGATCGCAGAAATTGAACTCAGAACCCTCAGCTTTGTGAACGAATGCATAAACTCTAGACCATCAAATCGGAATCCAACCTTGTTAATATTTAACTCCAATCAATCTATGATATTTCTCAACCACCTTCTATTGTTTTCGGTAGGTAACTGCCTCCCGCCCAACATGGATTAGCCTCAGTGGTCACAGTTTCTTACTAGAACTCCGGAGATTTTCTCCCGAAGCTAGTCTTTAGTGGGGACAAAATGACAATCCAGTACATTCAGGTTTCCAATGGTGGTCTAGCTTAGATCGACTCGCGATTTCAACTGTGAAAGATTTTATTACCGCTTATCTAAACAAAACGTAATCCAACCAACAAGAATAAATTTGTTATAATATAAAACAGTAGATTAACTTGAGAAAAGCACACTTAAGTCCTAGTTCATGTACCATAGGATCCAGTCGGTGACAATTACATAAAAGTGTAATATAGGGACGAGTCAATCAAAATGGAGGAAAGTTTCTTTAGTTTTTGATCTAAATTTATATTTCCTAAACCTTTGTTTTCTGCTCAGAACGTTCAAAATAATGAAGGAAAATTAGTTTTGTTATCATGGAACAAAAACTTACCAAATACTCCATTCTTCCCACAGAGATTGTTTATAACGCACCATTCAATACTACCCCTAAACACTAACCCTAGGCAATAGATTCAAACAACAGATACCTCACTCAAAATAGGAGCAGTACAGAGACTCTTAAAATTTTATTCTTGCCGTTGCAATGGCTCAAGAAAACGATTAGTCTATACACCTCTCCTTTTGTAGTCTGCAGAATAACATGTAAAATACTCGAATAGATTCTTTAATCATAAAAAATCTGTTTGCCATTAATAACAACTATTGTTTACTTCTCCATAAACTGTTCATGTACAGAAACTTTTCTTATTCATAAACAATTTGCTAAAATTATTTGCAAGTCTTTCAAGTTCCTCTCTATGAAATACGCCTAATTTATTGCCTATTTTTAGGGTACAGCAAAGACGGTTATTATCAAAGGTTACTGCGGTAAATACAATTCAGAAGTGCATGTATTTAAATCAGTCAACTTTTCAAGTGCCACTTCACCAAATATGTTTCAACGTACCATTGAAAGTTATGTTGACAAACGTATGGGTAGTACATTTGGACCACCAGCTGGAAAGAAAATGACAATATTCATTGATGATATCAATATGCCAATTATTAATGAATGGGGTGATCAAATAACTAATGAAATTACTAGGCAACTAATAGAAATGTCCGGTTTCTATAGTTTAGATAAACCTGGTGATTTTACAACAATAATTGATATTCAGGTATAATTTAGATGCATCCAAACTGACTTCTATTTTACATTTGTTATCCAAAACAAAAACATTGATCAAAATTATTAAAACACTAGATGATCACTTTTTCTATTTAAGGATCTAGTTAGCAAATAGTACACCGAAAATGGTCCAAAATTATAAGCTAATTTATTCAGATCAACATCAGTTTCATTAAATGAGTGAATAATTTGGTCAAATGGCGATTTTTGATATTCGTATGATTGAACTATTCGATGTAATTGTATTGTATTTTTTTAAAGGATGTAGATATATTTTCTCTTTCATTATACACGAAACGACATTGATTTGATTGTATGGATGATCTTCCAACGGTCCAAGTTGGTCTATATACCTTAATTTCCTAGTTGTTGATCAGAGAAATGTTTCTTCGAAATCATTCGAAATGCATAGTGGAAACGAAGTATAATGCCGCTGTACCCAGTGATACTCTGATCAATTTGATTTATCCAAATTTAGAACGTTTCTTTAAGCTATGAATTGTAAACGTATGTAAATGAAACAATGATGTAATCACTTTTACGCTATTTAAGACAATTCGACAACACAATAGTGATCTAAGAGAAATAAGTACTTGTTTTAAAAGTTAGCTATTTAACATATTCTCTTAATCAGTTTTCCTAATCAAATGAAATTTTCTGTTCAGAAACTGACGTTCTATCCCAGTTATGTAAATATGAGCATATTTCTTGTACAGTGAATAATATCGTTGAATACAAAAATTTATCGAATGCTCATCTTAATCTACCTATAGACTAACGAAACTGAGATAATCTTTAAAGTATTCCTATCGGCTGTGAATCTAATTTTACAGTGTGTTTTAAGCAATCGGTAGTATCGTCTAACCACTTTGATATATTTATTGAAGCTTTAACTTACCTCAAACCTATAAAGCTATAGGTCTCAAAAAGTTTGAGTTTCACAGTTCCGCATCTTTAAAATTCATGAGTATCACTTTCAAATGCAAATCCTACAAATATTAGTCAGATCAAAATAATTAATGTCTGTCAGGGTCATTTGTTATTCAGAATTCTTAAAGTGGTCTCATTTATGGTAGTATGAGCATCATGTTTTTATTTTTGGAATCAATTTATTCAATTTTACGTTTAAAAAAGTGCATTAATTGTTGTGTTTGTTTTTGTTTTTGTAAAAAATAGTTTGTTGCTGCTATGATTCATCCTGGTGGAGGTCGTAATGATATACCTCAAAGACTTAAACGTCAATTCAATATATTCAATTGTACTCTGCCTAGTAATGCTTCAATGGATAAAGTTTTTGGTTCATTAGGATTAGGGCATTTTTGTAGTGAACGAGGTTTTTCATCAGATGTGATTAAAACAGTTCAATGTTTAGTTCCAGCAACTAGAAAACTTTGGCAACGTGTTAAAGCGAAAATGTTACCAACTCCAGCTAAATTTCATTATGTATTTAATTTACGTGATGTTAGTCGTATATGGCAAGGAATGTTACGCACAACGTCAGATGTTATCACTAATCCATCTATTTTATTAGCTTTATGGCAGCATGAATGCACTCGAGTCACTGCTGATCGTTTCACTGAACATAGTGATCGTGAATGGTTTGACAAAACATTAAAACAAGTCGGTAAGCAAAATTTAGATTATACTTGCTTATATATATATATATGGAAGCACTTCTTTCGAACAAATTTTCACCCTAATATATATTAACTCTTGACTACTAATTCATAAAGACTGTCTTAATAAGATGTGTCTCAATAACCCCTTATTTTAAATGTTTATTAAAGTGATATTAGTTTATAAGGTAACCTAACCGGCAGTCATTTTAATTTAAATCATTCTTCTATCAATACCCTAATGGACTGACCTACAAACATCTTATTTGAGACTAATTGGCCGGATGTACCGTAATTCCAGTATTAAGGTGCTTACGCTTAAATAGGAACCTAGTACCTATCACTTCAAATGCCAGAAATATTATTCACTAAACTACTGAGTTTAAATGGTCACTAAGGTTTTCAAATGGTAAGAGGTTACCTATAATCAATTGTATTCTCGTATTGTCATAAATAGCTTTAGTGGAGACTGATCAATTTCACTCCTAAATATCAACATTCAGAAAATACAAGCGCTTTTAAAAAACCTAATATCGTTCATTGAGAAAATTATGATCAATGATTTCTTAACAACTGTTTTACCGTGGTTTGTGATGCCTTAGGGTTTGACACTCATCAACTTGAAAACAACCAAGCACATGACTCTTGGGTCTTGAGTAAATTATGATACCTTAATGACATGGAATTCAATGGTCCATATTTTCAACTTCACTCACTATGCGATACGTCTTTACCTTCATTTCGTTTTAAGGAGTTATTCAACTTATACGAAGCAAAGCTGTTCACGATTCTCTGGTTTTTGACAGTTCTTGTATCTAAACAATTATTTGTTAAATGTGCCACTAAGCTCGATTATTTAACACATTCATGTGGTATATATACTTCGGAGTCATCTTTATGCAACTATGTAACTCATAATATTCAAAGTTCAATAACTATCTGTTTTATGTCTACATTAAATCTGATTTGACCTAAAACTAAAATCACTTGCCAAACCATCTCAAAGTTACGTCCTACATAGATAGCAATCCCTAAATAAAATTTGTGAACATTTTACATGTCTTTTTCAAGCAGACAAAATTATTCGTGAACCTGACATCACTACATAATGATGGCTTTAATGTAAATAGATTTGTGGATTAAACTTAGTTGAAATTGGGTTTTTGGGAAAAATCAGAACAGAGTTCCTAATTTCTAATTTAACTATTTTTGATATTTTAATAACAATATCCAGGAGTTTACTAAAACCCAAATTAGTCTGTAATAATTTCAAAAACGCTTAGAATTGGAAGCAGACATCAAAAAGATGAAAACAATTGGGAAGGATAGACCAAGAGGAGAATCTCCTCCTCAAAGAGTTACAGGTGTAAATAAGTTAGATTAAACTATCAAGATGCACTTGAACTAGAACGAAACACAAGATTGTTTTTTCCTAGTGTTCCAGTTTCGTGTAACTAAAGACGGAATAATAACAGAACAGTGGTACGATAGTTATATACTTGATTTCAATGTAAATTTCCTTTTCTTTAAAAAGTGAATCATTGTTGTTCAGAATAATTCAGTTTATTGAATTTGCATAATATTCTCTTTACAGGAATTGAAGAATGTGGTGCTTTAGCAAATCAAACTGATTGGGCAGATCCTTACTTTGTTGATTTCTTAAGGGATGCTGCAGAAGCAACTGGTGAAGAGACAGATGATGCAGATTTTGAAGCACCGAAAATATACGAACCAATCATAAGTCTAGAACAATTAAGTAATCGTTTACAAATGTTGATGCAAATGTACAATGAAGCAATACGCGGCAGTAAATTAGATTTGGTATTTTCAAGGATGCTATGATACATCTTGTAAAAATTTCACGTGTAATCAGAACACCTAAAGGTCATGCATTGCTGGTTGGAGTTGGTGGTTCAGGCAAACAATCGCTTACACGTTTAGCTTCATTTATAGCAGGTTATAAAACTTTTCAGATAACATTAAGCCGGTAAGAAATAAATAATCAGTAATTTATTAAATTAGATATTTTTCACTTATTGTTTCCTTGATATCAAGTGATTTCAGCTAACTTTAGAACTCATTTTCCTCACAAAAAACATTTGAATTTGAAGTTGACTATTGATAGAAGTGTCCTATTTTCACTTTCAAACATGAACTGATATCATCTGGTCAATTAGTGATAACTCCTGTCTACTTTTGAGGTCCCTCAATAGTTCACACTCATGACGCTCATAGTAACTAGATCCAACAACTTCCAGTCGGGTACAATTACTCTGAGTTACAATATTATTTAGTCACAAATTATGGTTTACATTCTATAATTTATTTTAACCTCTATGTTGAGATACAAAAGGTTAGCTGTAGTTAGTGCGTGATACAAATTAACTTTGAAATGGACAACCGATAAAATTATATTATGTTGGTGGCCTCGAGTGCGCCAATCAAAATCAAGGTAGAGCCTTATAGTTTTTAGCACGAAATTGAAAGCTCAGTTAAACATGACTGGAATGTTATTAGAAACTCAGGAGAAATAAGATACACTTGATTAGTGAAATACTTGAAATTATTAAAAATATCGACTGTGCGACCATACAATGGATATGGCATGGTGCTTAAGCTAAATTACAAGAAATGTCTGCTATTTACATATATTTTATGTTAGAATATTTGATGTAATTCAACCTATAGTCAAGAGCGTTTGTGTAGTTAGACAATATTCTCCTAATCTAATTATTAGCTCTAAATCTTATCTTCAACAGTCTCAAGTTTGCCAACAAAATAGCAAAGCTTGATTATATAATAGCGGATGTCATTTGGTGATGAAAACGATATGGTCATAACCTTAATTCGCAACACTAACTGAATTCCACATGCGGAAACGTAACTTTTTCTTCTACAACAATAAATAATTTAAAATGTAAGGATCAATTAATTATACGTAAACTATTATTCCACAGAAGTTTTATCACTTTTCGTTTTTAATCGTTTTATGAATAATTATTATTTCTTGATTAGCTAATAACTCGCTCAAAGTCGTCATCATCGTATAATTTTACCGGAAATTCTTCACAACTCCCCATTAAAATAAAGTGTTGTCTCTTGTTGATTGATCTAACTGAATTTCCATCTTCAAAATGTTGGTTGTAAACCTAATCAGTCTGACAAGAATTGGATTAACACATTTGTAAATTAAGTACATAAGATGACTAATCTGACCTTTGAATATTTTGTTCTATCGTTCTATCATTGAAACCAAAAGATCTAAGTCATCTTGACGATGCGTTCTTGATACGTTATTTAATCAAAGTCAAAGAGAATCACATGATCACTACAAAATTCAAATTTTTTTCAGAGACGGTTGCCAAATAATGAATTTTAATGGCTCCTCTTGTTATCAAATTCACCGAATGTAGCACAAGCGTTTAAGATACCTCTTAGGAGAATCAGTAAGAACAGATAAAGTTAACATGAATCAGTAGTAATCTTTGAAGTGATATTACTTACTCGTAATAAGCATGACTAACTGGGTGAGTAGGACACATTCAACAAGTACATTTTAGTAGGTGCAATAGATAATTTTTATTTTAAACTATTTCATGTTAGAAACACTATAATAATTTGTTTTTTGACTGGTTCTAGTAACTACATTTCTAGTTCTACAAAAGCTTTATCAACAAGCCAGAGATTTATTGTGATAGTTTTTTGAGGATTATATAGTACAGTGGATGCCAATTTTTCGTTTTAATTTTCAGGTATTTTACTCTTATGGGCTTTTCCACACGTTTTCAGTAGCCATTTCTCAAGTTTTTATGCAAACCACTTCTATTTGATGGAAAAAAAGTACTTCATGAGGTAATTACAAAGTACCCAAATTCAGGGAAAACCAATAGTTTTTGTGAATTGATCTGTTGATTTGAACGCTTCAGTAATTGTTATTTAGCATGAAGCATTTATGACTGAGCTTACTGATATAAATTCCAAGGTAATCTATAGGTACCATAAATCTTAGAAAAAATCTAGTTCTAACATTCAGTGAAATATATCCAGTTACTTGCATTTGTGACCTAACCTTTTTTACATTAAAGTTTTCCTTATTGTATTGCAGATCATATAATGTCTCTAATCTTATTGAGGATTTGAAATATCTTTATCGGACAGCCGGCCACCAAGGTCAAGGGATAACATTCTTATTTACTGATAATGAAATCAAAGATGAGTCATTCTTGGAATATTTAAATAATATGCTTAGTTCTGGTGAAATCGCCAACTTATTTGCTCGGGATGAAATGGATGAAATTCTACAAGAACTAGTTGGCCCTATGAAACGTGAATTTCCACGTCGACCTATTACTAATGAAACATTAGCTGAATATTATTCAAGTAGGATAACACAAAATCTACATGTTGTACTATGCTTTTCACCAGTTGGACAAAAGTTTCGTAATAGAAGTTTGAAGTTTCCTGGTCTTATTTCTGGTTGCACAATGGATTGGTTTCAAAGATGGCCTAAAGACGCGTTGATTGCTGTATCGAATCATTTCTTATCTACTTTTGACATAGTCTGTACACCCAATGTGAAAAAAGCTGTAGTACAGACAATGGTGTATTTCAAGTGAGTTCGGTTTTTTGTGATCAAAAGTCGAGCACACTATTTTCACGTCATTAAAAATACATAATGGAATTTAAAAATTTCTACTAAATGAAGCCAGTTTAATATCATAGGTCTACTAAAAATGCATGCTATTTTTAAACAGTTTAGTAGCATCTCTTACATGTAACACTAAATCTTTCCTTCTTGTTAAAAAAATAAAATATTGATTTACAAGCTGGCTAACTCACAGGAACCTATCCGTCTAAACCTACACCCTTTAAAGAGAATAATAGATTAATTCCAGATACCTTGTTTTAATTAAAATGAATATCATGAAATCTTATGGGTTTTGGAATGGCACATAAATATATTTTCGAATTAATTTTCGAAAACAATCGCACAAGTCTTTGTATTTTATCAACATACCGTGAAACGTCATTATATTTAATGATTAAAATATTAGCTTATTTCTAAAAATGCTGCTTAGTTATTTTTGGGCTTCTTTTGTCGCGTAATAGACAATACTCACCATATTACTGTTGTAGCTAATTGAACAAAAGTTATAGTGTAGACATAGACGGGAATACATATTTTTCCATTAGGTACATGAACGGATGACATTGAATATGTGGTAACTTTCTTAGTTCTTCATTGAATTGAATATTGTGGTAGTACGATTCGCTACGAAGAAGACAATGGTACATGTAACGATAGGAATATTTAAATAACAAAGGTTCTCTTCAACAACTCAAACAGGTCAAACTTGGATAAACAGACTTTAAAATAGCAATTACAAACAAATTATTAGGACTACGTGATGAAATTACATAGGAGGATTTATTGTACTAGTATAATTTTCATAGTTTAAATCGCGAACTGATCCTAGCTAGATCAGCACTGAGAACCAGAAAGCAGTAAACAGGTGTCTCGTCCTAGGCCTAATATAGCACTCCTTAGCAGTGCACATCCACAAATCTGAATCCGGGAAAAATCGGATAGTGAGGAATATAAACGGAGAAAGATATAAAAATGCATCATATACGGCATATGAAAAAATTATTAACATCATAGCCGGCGAAGGAAGTAACTGGGGCGTTACAAAGTTCTTCTGAACACATAAACTAGGATTATGTGTTCAGATCCTTTTAGCTTCTACTTTATGAAGAAGACGGGATCTAAACTCACTGGGAAACGACGAAGGTATACAATGATTCACTCAAAAGGATTTAATTTTATTTACCATATGACCATTGTCAGCCAGGTCTGCCAGGATAGAGCTGTGTATTGCTATGTTTGGGCCTTTCTAAATCAAGCCGGGGAATGTCCACCTCTTCGTTGGTTAAGTTATCCGGTAGTGCGTCCAATATATATCTCTCCACAGGAACAACTGAATTTGTAGTCACTCATCGAAGAGATAAACTCTGGTAGCCTATTTTTTATTTGAGCAAACACTAACAGTTCAATAGAAAATGCCAGTTTAGAATCAGCTACGTAAAATGTCCCAATTAACTGTCTTCGCTGATCTATCGTCACTAGGCACAATCCCGTTAAATTTTAGTTTTATGAATAGAGGTCTCCTATGCGTCGTCCATATTTCCATGTTATTCTTCCTTGGATACATACATTTCACTAAAAATACTTCTCAGATAGCTTATTTCGGTCAGTCTTTTATCAATAAACTCCAACTCTTCATAGTATCCTTCGAGTAGACTATTTTTGTTCTGTATATAAGAGATTTGACCAATTTTATTTTATAGCAAATGGGTGTAAAACTATAGATAAGTATGTTTACCGATATGCGAAGAAGCTATTCCTATACATTCTTCTGTTTGACGAACCGTCACCTCATCTACTAAACAGGATATCATAAAAAATGTTGTTAATTGTTGCACTCTTTCTCATCAATGAAAATAATTATTTCCCAGTTGTCGTTTATCGACTGGTATCTATTACTAATCTAAAACTGGGAGAAATAGAAATACTTAAGTTATAAAATCTGACGTTTTAACTAACCACTTCTGATATTAATCAACATATGCTCACTAGTGGCTGGCTTCAATAGATATATCCCGGAGTTCTAGTGAGAAGCAGTGACCAGTGGAGTTCAATCGGGTCTGTTGTGAGACATCAACTCACTGAAGGCAATGGTGTACGGTGGCGCAACTTGGTGGATTGGTTAAAGTTATACATTAACACACTTGAATGCCGGTCTAGTGGTTTAGCGCTCGCGCGCATGACTGATAGGTCTTGGGTTCGAATCTCGTGAGGCATGGTCGTGGATGCGCACTGCTGAGGAGTCCCATACTAGGACGAAACGGCCGTCCAGTTCTTCCAGGTTTTCCATGGTGATCTAGCTTCAACCGACTCATGATCTCAACTACTGAAAATTACTATAATATCCACAAAACCCCTTCTGATATTAAAATTATGTGTTTTGTTTTTTATATCCCTTTTATAAAAAAAAAACTGAAATGCACAATGTGAATAATAATAATAATGACTATAATAATAGGATTTGGTAGCTGAATCATGTACTGATTATTTTCAACGTTTTCGCCGTCAAACTCATGTTACACCCAAATCATATCTATCATTTATTAATGGTTACATGGAAATATATAAAATGAAACATAATGAAATTGGTCAATTAGCTGAACGTATGAATACTGGTTTAAAAAAATTAGTTGAAGCAACTGAATCAGTAAATGAATTAAGTAAAGAATTAATTGAAAAAGAAAAAGAACTTGCTATTGCTAATAAAAAGTCAGAAGAAGTTCTAACACAAGTAACTGTTCAAGCGACAGCAGCACAAAAAGTTAAAACTCAAGTACAAATAGTAAAAGATAAAGCACAAGTACTTGTTGATGGGATTAGTGTAGATAAAGCATCCGCTGAAATGAAATTAGAAGCAGCTAAACCAGCTTTAATGGAAGCTGAAGCTGCATTAGAAACCATTAAACCAACACATATTTCTACAGGTGAGTATTTATTCTAAACAAAATATCTGTTTTGTTGTGATTTTTATTATGAGTATGACTCGAACGATTTCAGTGCCAATGAGATATAGATCTCACTAAACTTTATTAACATTCCGTCGACAAATCCCATTAATAACAATGTGTATAATAAAAGAGTCGAATATGAAAGTATTTGGAGAATCTATATAATTCAGATGTTTAATAATTCAGGTAAATGATGAGAGATGAAGGGAAATTTATGTAAACATACAGATAAAAAACAGAGAAAGTGATAAGCTGACATACACACACCCTCATGTAAAAACAATTAAGATTACGAGTGAATAGCTGATGAGGCTAAATATATGCGTACAGCTTCTTAGTATTGTTCACTTAATAAAGTTACAAGATTATGGAGTTTACGGAATACTGGTTAGCTCTGCACCTTTCATGATTGTTCATTTTTATTGGTTGTTTGAACCTTCCCGTTGATGCTCAGAACTGCAGTTGACCAGTCTCTCCTGTGCGGATCGCCTCGAAATTCCCATGAAATCACAAATATTATAAGCAATAGAATCCAAGGTGAGAATTTCGTCCGATTTCAAACTCCCTAGCTAGATGAGCCTGCATCTCAGAGTTGACATTCACTCAGGGACTTAAACCTCTGTACCTTGGGTAGCGCGATGGCTTTTGGAGTGAATGGTAAAGGTCCAAGTCTCTGAGTGAATATGAACTCTGAGGTGCAAGTTCAGCCAGTTGACGAGTTCCAAATACAATGAAAAGCACGTTTTGGATTGCACTGCTAACTACCATCCATCTCTGCTTATAATAATTCCGTTATTATGACTCAAAACCTATAAAACAACACATAAATTAGTCGAATGATTACTAAAAAATACGAATAAGAAATCACGATTTGTACATAACTCAGTTATAAATTATACAAATGATACAACTGATTGATTACTGATTGGTGATCAGTGTAACTATATCAAGTCCCAGTAATGATCTTGTCACTTTTAGAGACTTTGAAACATAATTTATCTAGAGAACTTAGAAGGAAACTAAAACATTTAATGTAATCATGTTATCAATTGATCTGTGATGTAACGTTAAGGGATATTTTTAAACAATGAGGAAGTGCTCGTTACTTTCAATGTAACCCTTATATTTACTTCGACAGAAAGCCACTAATCAAATACACACTTTCTCAAGTACTCAGTGATACTAAACGTAAGTTAAATAAATAAGCGTTGTTAATGTTTAATGTATCTAATAATTCTCTATTTGTCAATGATTTCAAAGTGTCGGTTTCACTTATTCATATTTCAATGAGATATGAGTAAGATTCCTCATATTTAAACTAATTGTTAAAGCTGTGGCTCAAAGTATGTTGACTAAACCTGTACAACTAATCCGACTACGGATTGGATAGGCTGGATAAATGACACATTTGTTTTCATCAAGAGGAATGAAATAATAATACTCACTTATTGATCAAAAACATTTTGATGGCACCCGATTTGTGGTAGAAGAGTTACTCGACGAAATCAGTTTTATCGTTGTTGTGTACAGATACTCCTCAAAGAAAGTACAACTCACTATCAAATTATTGTCTCAGAAACAGTTGAAAGAATTCGATAAATTAAATATTCCGAAACGTTTACGGGACAGTAACTATTAAATGACATTTTTAAAAGTATTTTATTCTTCAGAGATAGCAGAATGGATAGTCTAAATGTATGTGTAAACATCCAAAAAAACACTGAATGAATTTAACAATATTTTGTGGTTTTCTCCACAATCCAACACACGTCCTTTCATTTTATCCTAACCAAAAGATCCTGATATAAAAAATGGATAGAATTAACATCATTTACAAAACTGACTAATTATATCAACCACGAAGGGGAATATATTCAAAAAAATTAAACTTCACCTTTTTTATGCATTTATGAACATTAATGATGCAATAATTAACATATATAATATAGCCTCATTTATATCAATACCTTTTTAAAAAATTAACCATGGACGTCAATTTGATTGATTAACGAATATTAAAGAAACTTCAAGAATTCTGGACAGTTTTCTGAATTCTAACCTCATGTAGTGCATAGACAAGTCAATATAAATCTAATCTATCAAGAAAGAAACAGAAGATCAATTTGTCTTGCTATATCAGATCAACTGAATTAAAACGGTCACTAGGATTTTAAAAGTGTTCATGGGAATAAAAAAGGTCTCCGTAGTGAATTAATCACATCCTAAAATCATTGGAAGCAAATTTCCGTCTAGTTAACATATCAACTTACTGCAGTATAATTCTTTACTGAATAATCCTTTCCCCCTCAGCCCCGTACAATAGGACTGGTTCTCTGTTAAATATAATTTTTAAAATATAGTTTTGTTCATTCACTTAGTTACCCAACAATATACTAAGATTATTAATGCTTTAAATTACTGCCTTCAATCCGACCGTAATTTTTCTCGCATGTATTTTAAAGTCAATAACTAGAACAATAGGTATGATCTATATTCATATTATAATTATCATCATAATTAATGAATGATTTAAAGAAGTAAGACTCGTGTGCTCTTCAGATAAATTCATTATTTCCTTTACTTAATTTATTATATTTTAGTGAGAAAACTTGGTAGACCACCACATTTGATTATGCGTATTATGGATTGTGTCTTATTGTTATTTCAAAAGAGATTGGATACTGTCACACCGGATCCCGAACGTCCTTGTCCTAAGCCCAGTTGGAATGAAGCATTAAAACTTATGGGTGGTGCAAACTTTTTAAATGGATTATTGAATTTTCCCAAGGTATGAAATATAATGGCGGTTGAAAATGTTTATCTTAATTAGTGATATTATTGTAATCATAAACTTCCATTGTAAAATGCAATCAGTTATAGAATAAATCTGCCGACTAGGTTTATCCAAGGAGATTTGATTGGTTTAGCTCAGCATATATGCTTTATCAACCAAATTTCTGTAGATATACTACTGAATAGACTGTCTTCAAATGTAAAGTGGTTGACTTATGTTCAACAACCTTCAGTGTGGAATTTTGAGAGATTTTTATTACGTAAACGACTTCATGAGCTAAGAACATTCAGTAAAGTTTTCAATTTTTTTAATTCAATACCTTAAACATAGTATCGAATAATCATAAACTTCTAGATACTATTTCTACCAACGACTATTGATATCACAATATGACAAAATACTTTTAAATAGAGCAAGAACAAACATTGATGCAGAATAGTATGAATTCATATTATTTCGAGGTTTCTCGTCAGCTGCTTACAAACCAAAATTGTGATAGAATTTTTACATGGAGATAGTGTGAAATAATTGAGATAAATGAGTGTAAATAACTGGATTACAATAATAACTGTATATATATCTGCTAGAAACAGGTCAGAGGTCAAAAGAGGGGGGTTAATCCAGGGTGGGTGGTGTAATAATTTAGTGAAGTTCATAAATTGTGTGATAATTGTAGAGATTAATGGAATTAAATAATGATAAGCTAGATTACGTAATAATAATTAAATAGGGTTTGGAAAGTTAAGATGATAATTGCATGAAAATACTTTTACTTGATCATTCTTAAATGTTTACTAGTAAACTGAATAAATACATACTAACTTAAAACATTTTATTACAATTTGATTAAACCATTATTATTAAACAGCTTATCAATATGTATTTCACTTAACTCCATATATGCTTTCAGTGGTGAGCTGTTTACGTTAAAAGTATTTCAGTAACAAAAACAACCTTAAAAATGTAATTAATGTTTAAGTAGGAACCATGAATATAAAAGAAATCTACTCATTGAATATTTCTGATGATTATTATTATAGAATATCTAACTTAATGCAAAAACAACTGATGATTTATAATGAATATCATTATTTGTCAAAAGATTTTAGGGGAAAATACCCATAAAACTACATAGAATGAATCTATGGAAATCAGATTTACATAAAGAATATATACATAACAACATTTAAATTCATTTACAGTGTTGAGCTATCGATTTTTATGCAGGATCAAGACGTTAAATTCTTCAGTATCCCACAAGATCAAAAGCTAATCAATTCGTATAATATTGATCTGATCACTCCAAGCTTATTTTTAGTCAACAATGTACATTACTGTAAGAAGTGGTTAGTACGATTTACAATACTCTAACTAGTGTGAGTAACCCAGTAATGAATTAGCATTCACCGATGTGCTTTAGACATTATCCTTCTAACCGCTTTCTAATTTTTAGAAACCTATTCTTCAAGCTTGAATAGGAAATAAAATACCGAACTCATGAGAGGAGGTTTACTTCGATGGCCTATGTATCTGCAGAAAACAAGGGTATTTGCAGAATTATGTGACCTTGCAATTTTAGTAGATTCTAGGTGGGATTTTAAAACAGATAACGAAATCGTTATTCTCCGATCACTGTAACGAAAACACAACTAGGAGTTTTCTAGAATTTTATTGAAAGTTTCTGAAGAACGATAATTGGTCATTCAGCCTTTCCAGCCTTTCCAGCCTTTTGAAACATTTTTCAAGAGTTTCAAACGTTTATAGATAGAATATAATAAAATTACTTTTGATTTAGAACTGGCTCTGACAAATTATCTATTATAAAAGTAGAATTAATTAATTATGATGTTAATAACTCATAGTGAAGACAACATTATTTTTGAATTTAGGACACAATCAATGAAGAAACAGTGGAATTAATGTTACCTTATTTCGAAATGGATGATTTCAATATGGAACAAGCTAAACGTGTTTGTGGTGATGTTGCTGGTTTATGTTCATGGACGAAAGCTATGGCTTCATTTTTTGCTGTTAATAAAGAAGTTTTACCACTTAAGGTAATTTATCACAAATACATACACTCTATTAGTATATAAACATTTTTTAAAATGTTATGTTTACTAGAACTTTATATTTTTTGTTACTTACAATGACTATATTTCTGATTTGAATTAAAGTCTCTTCTATCTGAAAAACACGTGAATGAAATAAGAACTATCTAGGCAAATCAATCTGTTGAGTTGGATTTTAATAACAAACCTAACGATATGTCTCCTATTCAATATTTAAACAGTTAGATAAACGATAAAAATACGTAATGTAGTCGTTCAGTAAGAAATTACTCCTAATTGCGATAATAACCTAAAATAGTACAACCTTACAAAATCCAATACCAAAAACTACCTACATTATATAAACGATATATTCTCTATCAATAAATGAAATAAAATTCCTAATATTTATAGTTTGGCCAGCACTTTATCCTATGATATAAAGAACACTTGTTAAGAGGACTAAAACTGAATTCATTTCTGTATAGTTTAGCTATTACAAACAATATCACAAGGTTAAAGATAGAAGTACTGGCAAGATTAAAAAGTACTTGATCTATATTTGTAAGATTTTATAACTCAATTGATCAGTGAATATTGATGTTTTTGTATTTGAACTGAAACATACTAAGCTATAATCTCTGTATGAAAATCAACATTAGATAGTAAATACATTTAACTGACAAGTCCTAAATCGGATAAAACACGTGCTCTGAACTCCAACAACCATATTGCATAATAAACGTGTCCTCACTAGTGACTAGTTTGAAGATAGATTTCACAAAGTTTATATACAAAAACTCACAGTAATGTAGATCCATTCAAGTTACTTTATTCCTACTTACCTTATTGCCACCTCATATGAATGATTTTTTATAAATTTTATACTATACATAACATTTATTTATCGTACTCCTGACAGGAATTCGATATGTCAGTTAATAAGCCCAACGCATTTGACTATATTATAAATCACTAATCAAATGAAATTCTAAGAAAAGTGGTAATTTACTTACCATTAGATAAGACACGCAGAAATAAGCCTAATAAATCGAAATGATTACTTAGACAACCTAAATGCCTATCTTAGTGACCAAGATAAAATTAGGAAGCTCTTGGTTGATAAAAAAAACAGACAAGACATAAATAATAAATCATTGATTTGTTGGAAGGTACAAATAACAAGGTGTATTGCCAAACTTCTTGTTCAAACTATTACTTCTGTGGAAGTGAAACATATCTTTCAACTAAATTAAATTAATATTTTTCTTGATTGTTTTTTTAAGTCATTGTATTTTGACATTTTTCACATCATAACGGACATTACATCATCACTTAATAAATTAAGAACTTTCAAACTAATCTTGACAACCATCTCTTTGTGTCAAGTCTTCCATGCATTTCCAGATGAGACCAACTACTAAAGAAATCGAGTTTTGAATATAGATCACAAAGTAATAGTATTTAAACAATTTAATGGTAAAATACTTACCAGCCAAATCTCCAACTTGGGGCACATTCAGTCTCAGTATCCCAAGAGTGTGGACTACTGAACTCTAGTTCTATGTGAGACTTGAATTTTTTGTGCTCCCTAGTTTTCTGTGGTTTGATAACTTATTTCTGTTTACCCTGCGAAAAATCTTTAAATCAAATCCCTACGAATACTCAGTAAAAAGTTTGCTTATTTGAATTGTTTGCCATAATCTATGAGAGCGTTTTGACGAACAAATTTTTTATTGCTTTATTTTTTATATATAGTCAATGTTAGCACTACAGGAAAAGAGATTGGAAGGAGCTTTGTCTGAATTGGCGATTGCTCAGGGTCAACTAGATGAGAAGCAAAGGGAATTGGATCTGGTCCAAGCGGAATATGATCGTGCAATGGCTGACAAACAGAAACTTTTAGATGAGGCTGACGGATGTAGAAGAAAAATGAGTAATGCTACAGCATTGATAGAAGGTCTTGCGGGTAAGAATAAAAAACAAATTTTTCAATTACTTATTAGTCAAAACAATAAACTAGCAACAAAATTTGTTGTAGTTAACATTTATTTCTAAAATTCCATTCCAACTAATCACTTGTGTATAAATGAAACTTAGTGTTGGCTATTATAAAGATATGACTTATTAAAAATACCATAACTTACCACACTTTTACAAGTTATCTCTTTAAAATTATTTCAGTAAACCTAAAAATTGATCATTTAACCAAACAACCTCATGTTTGTTAAAGTATCACCAATAATCACTGATCGTTAAGATCAGGTTAAATTCTTCAAAAGTCTATCAATTATACAGGCGTGGACTATGTTATAAGAAATATCCTGAATGCATTTTGACAATTGCTTATCTGAAATAATGAACCGGTCTAAGCTCGACCACCATTAAAAATTTGGAGGCACTGGCCAGTCTGTTTGTTTCAGTATAAAACTACTCAGTAGTGCGCATTCACAATCCTGGACGCAGGAATTGAACTCAGAACCCTTAGCTTTGTGAATGAATGCATAAGCCGAAATCCAACCTTGTTAATGTCTAACTTCAATCAATCCATGATGTTTTCCAACCACCTTCTGTTGTGTTCGGTAGGTGCCCCTTCTAGCCAAACAAGTTGGCGAAGCCTAGTAGGCCCTTCTGGTGATAAACAGGCCACATCGAAGCACGACACAACTACCGGGACTAGAATAACCGCTTTTGCAACCAGTTGGAGTTTACACCGTGAGGAGCGATCCCGTACATTACATGCACCACTTTTGTCAGTTTTTTTGCCGTTTATCCATCTAAGAGTAATTCTGCTGCGTTTTTTTGTGGAGTTCGTAATTGATTTGAGGGTATCGGTCGGGTGGGTGATTAGCCCAATCTCTACCACCCGGGTTACCGCTCACATTAGCTCATGAGTCATTCGTCCCACTATCCAGGAGGCACGACGCGAACGTGTGAGACAGATTTTGCCTTCCAAACCTGGAAGCACTCGTCGTATTGTGGGACTCCTCAGCAGAGCGCATCCATGATCCCGTCTTGCGGGATTCGAACCCAGGACCTATCAGTCCCGCGCACGTGCGCTTAACCACCACTAGATAACTGCCTCACACCCGACATGGATTAGCTCCAATGGTCATAGTTTCCCACAGAACAGGAAGCTAGGCACTGCCGAGCACATGATAACCGTAATTATAGGGTTGTGGGGTTTATTGGATTTCACTGGTGGTCTAACTCAGATCAGTTCATGTTTTCACTGAAACTCAACGATCTCCACAAACACACTGACTCAAATTACTATCTTTTTTAATAGTTTCAAACAATAATGTTATCTTACGAATTTATCAAATTTGAACAATTTACGAAGCAGGAAACAACCCAGAATTTTAAGTTTGGATTAATATACGCCTTAAAATTATTAAACAATTATTGTTTTCCTGCAATACTGAATTCATATTATGTTGTTTTAATCAAAGATTTCAATCAATTTACAAAATACCTTATTTTGAATGTTTTATTTAGGTGAACGTATTAGATGGACAGAAGCAAGTCAAACATTTGAGGAGCAAATTAATCGGCTAGTTGGAGATGTACTTTTAGCAACGGGATTTCTTTCATATACTGGACCATTTAATCAAGACTTTCGTAATTTACTAAATCAGAATTGGCGTCGAGAATTAGTACAAAATAAAATACCATTTTCTGATGTACGTTCTTTCTAAGATTTATTAAAATAACTTATTATTAGTATTCGTGGTTTTTGGATTGTTGTTGAACTTTGTAGTTTACATTATGGGTTGACCTTAGACAACCATTGAAAACTAGGAAGTCGAAACTACTAGGTGTGAACTCAATGGCTGAATGTTTGATAGCTCTCTGTGAGGTCTAGGTATCCTGAAATTAATCCTGGTTAGTCGTTAATGTGCATTTCTGAGGAGTCCCTCACTAAGAGAGAATACTTGTCTAGTACTTTATGGTTTTCTAGCTTGTCTAAAGAACTACTAAGATCTAAACTAGCAAAAATCAAAGCTACAAAGTAACAAATACAAATGACGAACGACTTGCCTTTGTGCTTAATTGCCTTTATAATTTTCGTCATCAAACAGGTTTTATATAAATAACTGACGGGGGTTCGAAAATGTCGGTTGTTAACTTATGACAATAACTTACTAATGAAAGGCTAAAGTTTTAGAACTTCATAACCAAATATAGGAAGACTAAAGCGAAGAAAATGGAGCATACTATGGTTGAGCAAAAGCTTATCTTCTTAAGACTTGGATTCATGGGTAACAAAATATCTGGAAAGACTGATTTCAGATTAAAAGCTATAATACAAAGGATGTATCCAACTGCCAAGTTGTTCTCTCTGTGTCAAACGAATTCCTGATTAATACAGTCATTTATGGACAAATTCCCACCTTATATTACGGCTTATTATGTCTATCAGTTTAAATGTACATACCAACGCACACACATCGGAAGAAAATAAGGGAGGATTAATATCCGCATCCCTGAGCACATTCTACAGAAGCCTAGACTATGAAGACAGCACATTTTCAGCAGCGCAATCTCATGCCATCTGATTGACAGTGATTATGGTGATGATGTCTTAAATTCTTTCAAGATAATTAATAAACAAAAAATGTCAACTTTACTAAGGTTTGCCATAGCAATTGCCATAAAAAGACTTAAACCAAATTTATGCGTCCAAAAAGATTCAATCTTACTTTTCCGTGTTGAACTCGTCCATAAATGTTTGTTGCATAATTTTTCTTTTCATGACACTAGTTATTAAATCTCACTCCTTATCTGATCTGTACTCAGTCAATTTTGATTTATGCGCTACATAACTATAACATTAATATGTTATAGTGAAAAATCCCTTTTTGATATTTTGTTAAAGAACGAATCGGGCGAAGAAATTTATTTTCAATAAATTGTTCATGGCCCTACACTAAGGTATACACGTATGATTTAAAACAACCAAATAATACTCTTGCGCAACCCTTCATCCATTATCTTGGGTGGATAACTGTCTCACACCTGACACGGATTGAACTCACGCGGGGTCGTGGATGCGCACTGTCCCATACTAGGATAAAACGGCCCTCCAGTGCTTCCAGGTTTTCAGTGGTGATGTCGTTTAGATCGACTTGTGAATTCAACTGTTACAATACTACAATTTCCATAAATCTCCATGCCGATAATACTACTATTTTCAGGTTGTAAACAGCTGACGAGGAACCTTGAAATATAGTGAATTCATGTTATTTTTCCACGTTAACTGTTCTTTGATTGGTCAAATGAGTTTTAGAAACTAAGTCATGATTACTCGGTAAAACTGGTCCAAAGAATTGAATACGTTTCTCTAGTTCATTATGTAAATTGTTCCCAATTCTGAAAGTCCTAAGACTATTTGACATTTTGTCTAAAATGTTTCTAATATTACGAAAGTAAAATTTTCAGTTTCTAACTCATTTTATTAGTCCACAGTGTATGGTTAAGTTATTGATGGTTTCTACATGTTTTTTTCTAATTTTTTCTAATCTACTCATACTTCAAAAAAGGACATTAATTACATTACAATGTTGGTGGATAATGCGACATTAAGCGAATGGAGTGTTCAAGGCTTACCTAATGATGAATTATCAATTCAAAATGGGTTGATTGTAACACGTGCTAAACGCTACCCATTGTTAATTGATCCTCAAGGTCAAGGCAAAGCATGGCTAAGACGTAAGGAAGCTGAAAGTGAATTGCAGGTCAGTTGAACTACAATTTGGCTAATACTTTATATTCGCTTTAACAGATAAAAGTAATAGTACAAATTCTGAATTAAATGTGTAAATTTTATGGTTGACAATAATTGCACGGCCATTGTGATTCCCCACCACCAATTGATAAGAAATTTTAGGGTGTGATTAAAAAATTTAGAAATAGGTGATTGGTTAACTTGTTTTTGAAAGTGTATGCTCATATGATAATGAACAAACATTTCGTCACCTGCAATAATTTGTTGATTGGACAGGGAAGTAATTATCACTAGCGTCTATTGAAGTCCTTCATGGACAAGATAATAGCACAAATCAAATTACCTCCTTCGTCTAATCGGCTGCGGGGATCCACTAGTGTTCTAGGACCATTTCTCCAAGATACAAATTTAATATGCGGCTTCTGATCTCTACGGAAATGAGAATCCCGCACCGTATAGAAGCAGTATATCGTCCTTTCATAAATTCTGTTGGCGCTCTTTAACGTTTCAAGTGACTGGAACGCTACCAGATACAATATATTCAAGAACATGTTATCTGTTACTGTGACAACGTGAGAAACGACAGAGCTTGTACTTTGTACGTTATCATCGTCCATAATTTGAAGAGAAGGTGCTCTGTTGACAAGTACTTACATTTTATATCAATTTTAAGAAATAGATAACCAATTATAGCGAATTTGAGACTAGACATTTAATTGGATGAAACGGAATAAAAAAAGTTGATAAATTGGATAAAAAAAATCTTAAAATAGGATGAAAAAATATAAAAACCTCTGTGTGTTTATTGATATCCAAATTTTACCAGTGTTTTTATCAGAATATTCCTTATTATCTTGATTTTACATGAATATGAGAGAAGATTACATATTCAAATAGCTTCGCTAGTTTATATGTGAAAAACTCGTGAAAATGATAGTGGTTCTCTACGATCACCTACTTAGTTAACGGCGTATAAACCCAAGGTTTAGTTAGCACAACTAATCTGAATAAAATATATTTAAAAACAAATTTTAGTTGTTGATATTAAGGACTCCATTTGATCAGTTTTGATTAGTAAATCCTCATTTTGAGTGCATTGCCTCGATAGTATTTTTAGTTACCAGTTTTAGTAAAGTTGAATTGTGCGGTTAAATTCAACTTATATGGTAAACGATGAAGCCCAGAATCAACTTAGATAATTAAAGCGAAATTAACATACTAAATGAAGCGGGAATGATGATAAAAGAATGAAAACGTAAAATTAAGTTTTAATCAATAACTGGCAGACTATTGATATTGGTTAGAGCTTTACAATGAACAAGTCATCTGTTGAATGACTATTATTATTATTGTTAACTTTGTTCAGAAAATTCTACAGAATAACGTTCGTTTTAAACCGACCACCGGTAGGCTTATGCAACAAAATTTTCCTAGCTTCACCTTTTAAATTTATGCCCATTTCATGTTAATAAACGTATTGAGAAGTACAGAGTTTCGATCCCAGATGGGATAGTCGTGAAACACTACCGAGTCCGTATTATGATTAAATAACTGTCAAATGCTCTCTGTCCCTTAATGGTTGTCTAATGTCGTTTTATGATGTAAATTATGAAATTCAATCATCTACACGAGCCCCCTTGGAACGAAACATGCATACTTAAAGATATTTTGGTATGATCTAATTCAGACCTTATTTACTGTATCTTATTCTCACATAGATAACATCATTGAATCACAAATATTTTCGAACACACTTGGAAGATTCACTATCACTTGGACGTCCATTACTCATAGAAGATGTTGGTGAAGATCTTGATCCTGCTTTAGATAACGTTTTAGAAAAGAATTTCATTAAATCTGGTTCAACATATAAAGTGAAAATTGGTGATAAAGAATGTGATATAATGAGTGGATTTCGTCTATATATTACAACAAAATTACCAAACCCATCATATACACCAGAAATTTATGCTAAAACATCAATCATTGATTTCACTGTTACAATACGTGGTCTTGAAGACCAACTTCTTGGTTTGGTAATATTAACAGAGAAAAAAGTAGGCCATATTTTATTGTTATTATTAATTATTGTCATTGTCATTATTATTATTGACTTGATTATTACTATCAAGAACACTATACTTTAAGGCGTTGACCACTGAAGTAAAGCTGAACCATAAAAGTGAGATCGGTTCCCTTCCCTGTGTAGTACTAGAACTAAAAGTTTGGATTAGGATTTAAAGTTTAGGATTCAAAGTTAGAATTAAAGATAATATTAGAATTTTAGGTTAATGAATTACAGTTTGGATTATATTTCAGGATTTAGGACAAGGGTTTGGGATTAGAACTAGACTTTATACCTAGTATGTATGCACATCTAAATCCAAACTCTAATCTTGAATCCTAAACTCTTCATATAAATCCTAAGCCTTATATTCTGGTTTTAATCCTAAATACTAAACGTGATCTTGACATTATTGTCACTTCTTAATTTGCGATTTATTAATTCAGCTTGAAACTTTCCTGAACTTTGAGAAAAGTTCAATTCATATTTTGTTCAATTTTGGAGGTTTTGGTTAAGGTTACTTCTACCTCATCTCATATTTTTATTCATAACTTCACTCGTCATTGAATTCAACGAATGTCAATCTCTTGACAAACAACTTTTTATCCAGTTTTTAATAAGGACAATTTTTAAGTTAATAAACTAATTAGTCAGCTACGAAGATATAAAACTCTATCAATTAAAATCTTGGTATTAAACGTTTGTTTGTTTTCTATATTGTTTTCTCATTTCTCAAGGAACTAGAGACGGAAAGAACTAAACTCCTTGAAGATGTGGCAACAAATCGTCGTAAAATGAAAGAATTAGAAGATAATCTGTTATATCGTTTAACAACCACTGAAGGTAGTTTAGTTGAAGATGAATCATTAATTGAAATGCTGAATGTAACTAAAATGACATCGAATGAAGTGAGAGAAAAGTTAAACGTAGCAGTTGATACCGAAGTGAAAATTAATGCAGCACGTGAAGAATATCGTCCTGTAGCGTCACGTGGTTCATTATTATACTTTTTAATTGTTGAAATGAGTATGGTTAATGTAATGTACCAAACATCATTACGTCAATTTCTTGGTTTATTCGATATATCCATGGCTAGATCACAGAAATCACCACAAATGCAAAAACGTATAGCAAATATCATTGATTATTTAACATTTGAAGTGTACCGTTATACAGCAAGAGGATTTTATGAAGTAGACAAGTTTACATTCACTGTATTGTTAACCTTAAAAATTGCGATGCACATGAAAGAGGTGAAACCTGAAGAATTTCAAATTTTCATTAAAGGTAACTAGTTGCTATTACCTTAAATTTAGTTACGAAACCTGTCATCTTATATTTGTATCTGTTACATCCTTCTGTCCGACTCCGTTACGACGTACATATCCAACGGTGTGCAAAACCTACTATGCAAAGTAGGAGACTGAAACAAGAAGGAACTTTCAATCAACGAACGGAATTGAAATTCACAAAATCGTAGGTACATATATAATAATCCTTCTGACACATATAACGCTGTTTGGCCCGACACCTTGAGTAGGTGAAGAGTTGACTTCCTCTAATAGCATATTTTGTTTATAATTTGACCTTAAGTTGGCATGTATGCACAGACGCATTGTTTGTACTTGTCTAACTTATCAAGATCCACATGAATCGATCTCATAGACATAACTAGTGTCATATTGTTTATTCCTTAGTTCTGATATTTTCATGCAATCCGAGTTTGTATCAGCATCCAGTGTCACAGTCAAAGATCTTACCACTTAGTTATTCAGCTCTCCACTTGTGACAGACTTATATGTTTATACCAGACATCATGTGGTTCAGCCTTAAGTGTTGGTTGAATTTCCACCAATCAAGTGACAAGGAAGTCATTATGCTAAGCGATAACAATTTATAAATATATTTTCTTATTGGAAAAACGCTTAAAGCCATTGGACAACTGGAAAAATTTTGTATCTCCAACCTGTTAAGATTGGGCAAATAAAAATGTAGAACCTCTCTAGTGAATCAGCGAACATATATTTTTAATCTTTATTTATCAGATAATTGGCTTATGGCGTTTTTACTTATTTACTTACGCCTATTTATGGTATTTTTATATTATCCTAATTATGAGCTTTTATTTTACAAATTAACTGGGACTTCATCCATTATAGTCACTAAATAATTGATAATCGATTATAAAGGTGTTATTCATATTTTTGCTACCAGTGTCCTAGTTATGTATAAACTTGATCTCTAGACGGCTCAGTGGGCTAGAGGTTAAGCAATCTCGCGCGAGACAGGAGGTCAAGAGTTCGATTCTCGCGTGCGGGTCGTGTATATGAACTGCTGAGGAGTCCCATAGCAGGACGAATTGGTATTCCAGTGTTTTAGGTTTTCAATGGTAGTTTCACTAAGATCAATCCATTATTATTAGCATTTTATCCAATCAGCATTCAACAGAAGTTTTACCGGAAACACCAGAAAGTAAAAAGTCACATATCGAGTTTCTGATTGGATAGCTTCCTATACTGCTACTAAGTTTAATAGCATTCTAGAGTTTTCTGGAAACCCAAAGCCATCAAAAATACTATAAAAACCCTAGATTTTCTATACATGAACGAACCTTGAAGTCGCTGTGTGGATTTAGCCAAGAGGTTACTAAGGGAGCTTAGGAACTGAATTTAGCGTTCAATTAGAAGACTTATCAGATCTTACTTTTTCCCTTTTGTATATCGAGGCCTACTAATGCAGGGGTTGCTGCATTCTTGACATCAGTTTATTGGTGATTTTAATTATGTTTTGTTGATTGGTTCCAACTAACAAAAACTTAAACTCGCGTTTTCCTACCAGTCGTTCACAACCATTCAATACTAAAAAGAGAATTCACAGAAGTGTACACAAATTTGAGATACCGATCACGTTGAAAGTTGATGGATAAATTTTGAATAAAATTAGAGGCTAGATACTTTGAAATCGCTTGTATGTGCTTCAGAGTATTCACACTAGTGTAATTATAAAATGCATTTTTATAAGAATAAATTTTAATAAATTTCATGCGAATGTTTTTTTTCGTTCAAATAGGTGGTGCGGCATTAGATTTGAATGCTGTTGCACCGAAACCCAAAAAATGGATACAAGATATAACATGGTTAAATTTAATTGAATTAAGTAAATTAAATCAGTTCAATCAGTTGCCAGATCAAGTAACTTCAAGTGATCGAGTATGTTAAACGTTTTCGTTTCTTTTTTAGTTGAGTGAACAGAATTTACAATCATTTAAACATTAGATGTGTTTTGTTTTAAAGATTAACACTCATCAGATGTTCATAACCGAAAAATCAAAATAATAACAACTATACTGTGGTGAGATTTCTTACAATCACATATTCCTTTGAAGAGAATAACTGATAACCAGTTCGATCAAGTGGAGACGACAAAGCTTACATAGTTGAAGATTATGATTTGATGACAGGTTATGCGTAAATTTCTTCCGATCGATAGCTGACTCCATTTATTGAAGAAGACTGTTATCAAGTATATTTAAGACTAATTTTAATCTCAATTACCGAAGTGATTTTTATTTCCTTCGTTTTCTCACCTGAATCACGGACGAACTTTAGCTAGTGAACCCATGAAAACTATAGAAGACTGGACAGATATTTCATCCTCATTCGGGGCTGCTCATTTGGGAAGATTCACGGCATTATGGGAGATAGTACCCAAATCTGAGCTTGATAAAATGCAAACAGTGATGAGTGATTAACACTTCTCACTAAAAAAAGACAGTATTTTTTGGCTTTTATTGATTGATTTATTACGTTGGCATTAAGTAATATGAAGACGAGTCAACTTATCATTTTCCAATCATTTACCTCAAGCTACCTAACATTGATTAGTTTGAATAATTCTTAATTTTTCGTGGGGATTTGAATGGCTCACCGTGCTTGTCAGTACGCCAGGAGTTCATAATATTTTTGAGCAAAATGAAGGCATGTAGTCATCTAAAAAAGTATGAATTCATCTCAATTTATGTCTTTGTATTAGCCGCAAACTAATGCCGCAAGATTTTTTACTGATATCACGAACCGATCTAAGCTATACAACCACTGAAAACCTAGATACACCGAATGGCCGTTCCGTCCTATTGTGGGACCGCTCAACAGAATGTATTCACGACCTAAGAACCAGAAATCTAACCTAAAACCTATCTCACAGGCGCACGCTTAGCTTGTAAGCCACATGCTCACTAGTGAATAGCTTCGAGAGGGTATTTTTGGAGTTTTAGTGGGAAGCTGTGAACACTGGAGCTAATCCATGTTGGGTGTGAAGCAGTTACCCACCGAACACAATGGAAGATAGTTGTGGAATATCACGAAATGATTGAAGTTAGGCACATAAACCGGCTTAGTGATTAAGCATTCGTGCGAAACTGAAGTTCCTCGGTTCGATCTACTATGGTGGATTCGTGTGTGCGCACTATTATGAAGACCAATACTAGAATGAATAGGCTAACCATTGGCTCCAGGTTTTCAATGGCATTCGAACTTAGATCGGTTTGGGATATCGATGAAACTAAAAAATCTCCGCAACCCTAAACTGACAAGATTTATTATTAATACATCTGTGGAAACCGGAAGAATTCAACGGTTTTTGTTATCATTGTTTTAATTTTATTTAAGTGTTCGAAAATACTTCCATGAATTTTATTTATCAAATGGGATCGATTCTTTTTAAATACTCGTTCTTATTTTTACTCTAAGTTATGGAAAAATTGGTTTGATACAGAAGCTCCAGAAGATTCTGTAATTCCAGACGGTTATGACAAATTGGGTACATTTCATCGTTTATTATTGATACGAGCTTGGTGTCCAGATAGATGCATTCCAATGGCTAAACGATATATCGCTGAACGTATGGGTTTAGCGTATGCAGATGGTATTATTACAAATTTGGAAGAAATGATTGAAGAATCAGATACATCGACTCCGATGATTTGTTTCTTATCAATGGGATCAGATCCAACAGATAATATTGAAAGATTAGCAAAAAAGATGAATTTAAGTAAGTTGTACAGATTCAGATTTAAAAACTGGATTATATGTAAGATTAGTGTGAAGTTTGTTTTCCAATAAAAATAAAATATCATTTTAAACTGATTTAGGTGAGTTGAATGCTTTAATATTGTTAAGAGAAATCATGAAAATGTCATATCTCCAAAGAATTAAATTCATTCTAATGCTAAGTGAATTCATTATTTACTTTTAGAAACTGGTTTGAATCACATAGTAACTCATGAGTCATTGAGAATATCGATTTCATTCATCGACTCCTGATTTACAACTTTTGGTCAGTATGGATGATTAGAAACAACAACCATTTTAGATCACCTCAATAAGGCTTCGAGGTTAAGCTGGTTGACGCAAATGCCTTTCAATGAAGAAGGTATATTCTTCATTCTAGTTTGTATCCACTGTCAGTACGTTCACTGATGGAGTATTATAATTCGAAGTTTTCAACATCGAGAAAAGGCACTGTGGAACTATGCAACTGAACTTTAGTTATGTACGTGATTCTGGTCTTATAAGGTAAATAATGCAAACATACACTTCGATTTTCAAGAACGTTGCTGAAAATGAGTAATTTCCTTATCACAAGAAAAAGCGCGAACAAAATACAGATATTGAGAATGAATAACCCACTGTATTTTATTCTTAACTATTTCCTCTTTCAGCTAACAAACAGTATTCGTACACATCGAGGTCATATTGAAGTTGGTCGAACGTATGGCAAATTATTGACTTTGGTAGAAGGGTTTTGTTGAAATCAATGTAGTTTGTCGATGGTATTTGCTAAAGATTAACCTCGGTTGATGAAACAATTGGAATTAGTTTCACTCTAGTGTGGGGCTCCTTGGTGGCATGCACCCACAAGTCCAAAGTCCTTGCAACAAGTACTCACCTATGAAACCTCTTTTTGGCACCCAATGGTATGTATATCTAACTTCATCTGATTGAAGCCTATTACCAAAAATCATAATTATGGAACCACGAGTAACTTAATCCCAAATGACTTCCTAAAGTTGTAATAGAAATTCGTGGCTGACTGGCAGATTTCAGCCATATTAGTAGTAAAATATTTATCGACTATCGTACTGCATGATCATGACACAATTAATTTCCTCAAAGTGTATCCAAGGAAATTTATTCAATGGTGTGATAAGTCAATTTACTTCCCGATCTCACGTCTATAAACGAAATAGTCACATATTTCTGTGACCGTTCGAATGAATTTTTTTACAAGGATAAAAACTTCAGAAGTATTTCGACTCCTTTGTTAATATAAAATTCTAATTCCATCAGTTAGAATTCAACTCATATTAAGCACATCATACATAGCTGATCTTTGTTATTATAAAATGATAAATTTGAAGTTTCCTATCACCGACAGCAGTCCTGTAGTTACTAGTTTTCTAATAATTGTTTAACTACAGTCAGTCCGTGATGTAAAACTTTAAATAAGTTCGATAGTTTAGTTTTAGAATGATGTTCATAGCACTATTAGACAGTAGATAAGATTCCGTACAGAGTTACATTTATTATCAATGTCATAATATATCTGTGGCTTGTAAGTCGAAACGATATTAACAATTTTCAGAGGAACAACTTATTATTTAAGACTTTATTTTTATACTCTTAAATCTGTTCAATCTTTACAGAAATGTCGACAATTAAAACAGTATCTGAAGTAATTATTTTGAAGTGGTACAGAAGATTCGTAACTCAGATGAATGATTTTAGTAGAGCTTCATTTTTTGAGTCGAATCAGGCTTTTATTGTCCTTCTGATCAGATTCATCGGCATAAAACTTAGATTTTTCTCCTCATTGATTGAATATCTCACTTTATCTCTTCAGACAGTATTTCAATTGGAATAATTACTATCAAACATCCCATTTATTATTGACTAATCTAAGAGCAAGTTAAACTGTTATCATGAGATGTTTTCAAAATATTTTGCTGTAATTATTTTTTGAATAGGATGTGGTGCAATTTCAATGGGACAAGGTCAAGAAGTTCACGCTCGACGTTTACTAAGCATTAGTATGCAAGAAGGTAGATGGGTACTGTTGCAAAATTGCCACCTAGGATTAACATTTATGGATGAACTTACTGAAATTGTAAGTAAAAATGTATTATGTCATAAATGACTAAAAAAAATGGTATACATTTATCAAAAATATTTTATATAGTTAAAAATACTCAAAAATTCATATTGCATATCAATTTAAAGTTATATTTTCTCCAGTGTTGTTTGCAGTCTAATGACTCACTATATATGCACTGACAAGTCATCTAAAGTTAGAATAGATTGATCATTGCATTTCCATTGACCTCATTGAATGATACAGGTGTAAATTTCAAGATTACTTTTTCAAAAAAATGTTTTAAAATTAAAGATAAGCCTTAAAATCCCTAATACAGCTTACATAACCATCTCTGATGAGTATCCGTCGAAGATGAAGCAGTTCGTCATCTATTGTCATTAGAACACATTCACCTAATCCTAGAGCATATAGAGTGGATTAATTTTCTTTTTCTATTTAATGGGACCCAGATATGGAAATCCGTATACTGACCATTCCACTTCGGTTTTCTATACATAGATTTCCGTGAAGAACCATCTGCCCTTTTTTTCAACTGGACATAAGAAAAAATTCCTCATTCGTCTCTTCTTCCAATGTGAATTGAATTAACTGATGACAACTATTGAATCGATTCAAAATTTCATTGAGGTCCATTTCTTCACAAATAATCAAAGTATCATCCATATATCTTTAATATAAATGAAATCTCTCAATTATTGGTGGAAGTACCATATTTTCCAGGTTGTTCATGAAGCAATCAGCTCACAATGAATTAACATCACTAAGATTAATATACATACAACAGAAAAATTGCCCACTGTAGATAGACTACTTCTAAATACTGAGAATATTGATTAGCATATTGTGTAATCAGCTAGTCATTCAGTGTAAATCATCATTATCCCTTTATTTCTTTTTTACAATTTATTCCAGGTAACAACTTCTAAAGGTGTACATGAATCATTTCGCTGTTGGCTAACTACAGAAGCTCACCCACAATTTCCAATAAATCTATTGCAATCTGGTATTAAATTCACTTATGATCCACCTATGGGTATACGTGCTGGTCTACGTAGAACATATGCTTTATTAACACAAGATCAATTAGACATTAGTAATTTGCCACAATGGAAACCTTTATTATATTGCGTAGCATTTTTGCATACTACAGTGCAAGAACGTAGAAAATTTGGACCAATCGGTTGGAATATACCGTATGAATTTAATCAATCTGATTTTACATCAACAGTCCAATTTATTCAAAATCATTTAGATGAAATCGATCCAAAAAAAGTATGACATTTTTTTGTAATTGACTGGGAAGAAATATTAAACTAGTGACATGTATTTTTAACATTTTTTTGCATTGATCGTTTATGTGATAAGATTTCAAATATAGTCCCATGGTTATATTATCTACATTAGTGATTGATTTTAGTTAGACAACCATTTTAAACTAGGAAGTAATTAATTCCGAGAGGTGATTCTCGAAGTCCCAGTAAGAAATCATGACCAGTGGAGTTCAGCCATGTTGGATTCGAGGTTACTTACCAATGACATTGAAAGATGGCTGTGTAATGTCGAGAAATGGTCGAAGTTAAAAATGCTGACTCAGTGATCTAACAGTTTAGAACCACTTAGGGAGTTAGTTAGACACATGCAACATAGAAACTAGTACATATATGCGTTAGTTTAAGTCGCTACATGACATCAGAGCAGGGAGATGCATAAGTGGAATAAGTAGTAAAAGTACATGTGATAGTAGAGGATCAGGTCTAGAAGATATAATTTGGGAAAATATAGACCAGAAAGTCCTGCTTTCGATCCCTGATGAGGTCATAGATAGTCATTGCTAATTCATATCCCATACCAGAGCAAAAACATTATTCGATAATCCTGGTTTTAGAGGTTGTCTAAATAGGATTAGTCCGTGATGTAAACCAAAAAACTCGACAATTTACGCAAATCTCTGTTAGTATGATATCGTCGATAACTGTGGTTGATTACATAAACTTAACTCGATTCAGTAACCACATGGATGTTTGCATGCTACATTGAGTTTTGTTTGGGCAATTATAGACAGACCAGAAAGAAGTGGAACCAAGCGATCAAAAAACATTGAAATTGGTAGAATCAACAGTGTAACCAAAGAGTCAAAACTATTAGTCCACTTCTGAATAATAAATGGAGCAATTATCTAGTCATGTGGATATTTTCTAGGCACTTGTGCCAAAAGCTTTGTTTAGCTGTCAATATAGCGTTGTGGAGATTGTTTAATTTCAACGATATCACGAACCGAGCTAAGTTAGACTACTACTGAATCCATGAAAACAATGGACGGCCGTCTCGTTCCACTATGGGACTCCTCAACAGTGAGCACGTTCGGTCTCATGCTCAAACGCCCAACCTACAGACCAGTGAGCCGGGATTCAGAGATGTACAAGTGCGAATTCAACCAATCCACGATACTCCACCACCATTTATCGTGTTGGGTGAGTACTTTTTCGCACCCGCCAAAGTTTAGCTCCACTGGTTGTGGTTCAAGACAACAATGAAGAACTTATACTTAAACTATCATACTTTAGAGAATCCAATAGAATGGTATAGATAAATCTTGTGGTATCTCAATTTGAAAACATACTAGATTGTCTATATGTACTTAAGATTTGTAAATCCTTGTCTGCTTAACTTTAAACATTACAAAACTCCTATTTAGGATTTATTAATTTTTGTTTATTTCATTCCCGTAGCATCGTCTTGAACCAAATTCTATTCTCGTTCAGACACCCACTTTTTATATAACTCACAGTGGAAATAATTATACATCATTGTAGGATCAACCGTTGATCTCCTATTATCCATACAATTACTAATTGATATGACAGTTTATTTAAGTATAAACTGCACTCCACGAATTTCACTCATTCTGAGCAAAATTATACACACCACTGAACTGATTTATCACTTATATTCTTTTTTATAAACACGGCTGTAGATTTTTTAAGGATGACACATTAACAAGGAAGATCTATTAGAATATAATTGCTACATATAACCGTTTTAAAAACTTTTGCAGGGAATTTCATGGCCTACTGTTCGTTATATGATTGGCGAAGTGCAATATGGTGGTCGCGTTACAGATGATTATGATAAGCGTTTGCTTAATACTTATGCCAAAGTGTGGTTTTCAGAAAATATATTCACTGATACCTTTGAGTTTTATCGAGGTTACAATGTACCCAAATGTAGAACACTAGATGAATATCAGACTAACATTGATAATTTACCATTGGTTGATTCACCTGAATGCTTTGGTTTACACTCGAATGCAGATATTACGTAAGTTCCAGAGTTTGATTATAATTTATTGTGATCAAGCACTATATGGTTCAGTAAAGGTATAGAGATCAGAATGACTAGTTTAAATTAATCAGCTTGAAGTAGAATCCAGAATATTCACTTCAATCTATTTATGATGCGTCAGCTGGAGGTACTTGGATCCCAGTGTTGACGTTGACACTATGTACTTACTATTAACAACGCTAAAATACACTCTTACAAATAACCACATACTCAGTGAAAAACTTGGTGACCATCTGGAATCATTAGTTAAGTATACAATGTGTTGGGACTTGGAGCGATAAATACTAGTTTCGAATCTTAGTGCTAAACATCAATATTGAGACCGAAGCAAACCCATCTAACGATTCCTAAATACAAAGGAACGCGTGTAGTGGATTCCAACGTTATTAATAACGCAAATCTACTAAATATGTCAACAAAAGGCAGTATTGAGATAATCCGGTCATGGTGCATAGATTGCAGTTTTGAATATTAACGGGAAATAACAAACTGTTAAAAATGGTCATATACCATCCAGAAGAAGAACAACTTTACTTTCTACTCATCATTTTATCCTACCAGAAAAAAATGTCTTATTCCAGTTGTATTCATAGCGTATATCCGACAAAGGAGCGGAAGTATATCTATCCTTCTTTGAACGAGTTATGGATACGTTACTAAATATAAACCAAGAAACAATCACCTGCAACACTGAGTTTTGTTTGCTAGATATTGGCCAGCAAAATGAGCAACCATGTGAACTGCTGAACTACAATATCAGAATAACAGTATTTTGAGATGGGGTGGAAAGACAAAATTACATTATTTTACTCATTGTGATTTTTGTTCAACATAATTTCCGCTTATAATTCGGTTCAGTGTAACATTTGTTATATTTTCAGTGTGATATTTTATTCAGTATAACATTGCGTTATTTGAGTGTGATGTTTATTCAAGGTACAATATACTTGGTATCGAAACAGGAATGACTACTGAGGTTGAGTCTTTATAACATTGAAGTTACCTACTCACGTAACATGTTTACATCTTATCATCTGACCAACGATCAAAAACAAGATATGACCAGGACAAAATGTATTATGACAAAGCACAACTCTGCCTGTCTGTGTTCATTGGATAAATACAACTCACTCTCACCAGACACGTCAACAGTAAATTAGGGTTGCCATTTTATTCCAATTAATAGTTTACAAACTACAAATTGTCATCTGTCAAATGAACTTCGTTCCCGAAGATAGCTAAGCTTTATTTAGTCAAGTAGAGTTGGGTGACTAAGTGGTATAGTGACGTAGGAACCAAAAAGTACCTATTTTACTCCTATAACTAGATCTAATAGTCAATTAGAAGGCGTTCCATATTTTATTAAACATGAATCTACACTCCCCGAATATAAGTTCCAAATCAAAGGAATTAGATTAAAATTGGTATCTTAATGAGATCAAAGACCGAACTGAGTAAAATAACTGATGAGAAAATGGGTAACTGTTTCACTTTAATATGGGACTATTCAGGGGTGTGCATCCATGATCCCATCAACAGCAATCGAAGGTCATTGCACATTATCGCAAATCGATCAGAGTTAAACACGTATACCGTTAGGTTTCAGCTCAGAGTCTAATGATTAAGCGCTTGTCGCTAGACTGAAGTTTTTGGGAACGAAATAGCTATCCAATCCTTTCAGGTTTTCAATGCTTGTTGGATTCAGTTCAGTATTTGATGTCCATAATACTCAACCATCAGCACTAACTTCATACTGATAAAATTAATATTTCTATCAACAATTACACATGTTGATACAATTATTTGGTTGCTTTTTTCATTTCAGCTACTCTACAAATACAGTCAGTTCGATGTTATCAACTATTGTTAATATTCAACCAAAAGATAGCGGAGGAGGTGGAGGTGAAACAAGAGAATCTGTTGTTTACAAAATGGCTGATGATATTTTACAAAAATTACCACCCGATTATAATCCATTCGAGGTGAGTTCTGTATATTAAGCAGAGATGGATGGTAGTAGCTGTAGAATTTAGAACACGCGCCTCGTCTTATTTAGGACTCGTCAAGTAGATGTGCTTACATCCCACTCTTGATTTACACCCCGGGACTCGAATCCAGTACGATTCGCTTCAAATGCAATCGAGTTACAAATTTAACTATTGAAACCAGGTTCCTGGTTAGCAAAAAACCAGGTGATAAACATTTGGGGTGAATAAATGTTGGAATGCGTTTGTCCGTCCATAAGCAGGTATTTAATAACTTCATCAATGCTTGGCTGTATTTGAAATAGTTGAGTTAATCTTTTTCTGAAAGACAATCTAGTTTCGTATACTGTGGGAACTATAACTGCATGCTAAATTAGGAATATGCGGTAAAAGCATCCGGTACCGAGAACTTTAAGTGACTTGCCAGCCAAGTGTAGCGTGGCGTCGAGTCGCGTTTGACTATGATAACTACTACATGAAGGATGCGTACCAAATATCAGAAGGCAATTGAAGGTTGTAGCTAAGTATATTTTTTGATGATCTCGTGGTATCGAAAGAATACCGAGATCGTACAAGCGGATTTACTGAGCAAACGTAAGTTCGTGCAAGGTCACAACCAACAGAAGGAAGAATGTACAGTTAAACAAACAAGTACAGTAAAACAATCACTGGTACAATTGGTTATAATAATAATTATTTCCATTAAACCAATCGCGTTCTCTTGATAAAAGTAGGTCACTACAGGAGCCCATCGCTAGGAAGGGTTTACACTTTCGATAGGTAGCGGTTTAGTTCGTGGGACTGATCAACAAACGTGCGATTGTAGGACGAAAGGGTTGGCTGAACATAAAGCGATTGTTGATCCTCGAGTTGCCACCGAAGGTCTTTTATGTAGAACGGTACAAGAAGGAGTGTGTTGTATTTGTTGCTCGAGTTAGCATACCACACCATAGTGGTTTGTATCCATGATCTGAGGAATGCGTCCGAAGTGGTGCGGACCAGAGAACGGGTTATACATTTTCGACCTGTATCTTTTATTCCCCCACGACCCGGAAGTTTGGTTTGCCGCACTGGAGTCTCAATTCGAGACCCGTCATATTACGAGCCAAAGGCGAAAATACACCTACGCTTTTGAATCTTTACCTCGGGATCATATAGTAGCTGTCCGTGAGGTAGTCCTCAACTCCAACGTGCCCAACGTTTACGATCGTCTCAAGGAGGCGATCCTCAGATATTTCCTCTTATCGAGGGAGGAACGATTGAGGACGTTACTAGCACGTCGACCCCTCGGTGATGCTAAACCGAGCCACTACCTCACGCGCCTGCAATCTCTCGCAGAGCCTACGGCAGCCGATTCTGAAATTGTTAAGGAACTGTGGCTCGAATCCTTACCATCACATATCCAACCAACAGTCACGACACTGCTCGAGGACGCACCACTCAGTCAGGTGACCCTCAGAGCGGACAAAATATTAGCAAGGACTAGCAACAGAGGCAACTACATAGTTGCTTCAACGGCACGTTCGAACGTAGATATGGACGCTAGTCACTTCCAGACTCAAGGTGATAGGGACGATTGTACTCATACACATCTTAGCTTTCAAGACTGTTGCAACATACCCGAACCCTAAGTCCTTCGAACCAGATCACGCTCTCGAAAAGCCGTAACCACTCGCCCAACGAGGGTATCCTCCAAGCCACGCCGAAAGGCGGATTCGGCAGCAAGTGGGGGTCGGTGCTGATTTCACCGCTCCTTCGGGTCCGGTGTCCGCCGTTGTCGAGCCCCGTGCTCATACAATGCGGGAAACTCCAAGGCCGGCAAGTAAAAGCGGCCGTACTCGCCGGCCCTTCACCTCAGATTGGCCGTTTATTTTATGTGCACGATTATCGCACAAACGCTAGGTACGTAGTAGATACTGGTGCCCAAGTTTCTGTCGTACCTCTCGGTAACAGTAAGTCACAAGCTACGACGCTTCGACTACGCGCTGCGAATGGCTCAGCCATTCCTACCTATGGTACACGACAACTCACGGTTAACCTGGGCAACCGACGACAGTATCTGTGAACGTTCATCATTGCCGATGTTCCCACAGCCATACGCGGTATTGATTTCCTACAGCACTACGAATTGCTAGTCGATTCACGTAGGCTGCAGCTAATTGATACTTCGTCGAACAGCAAATTCACGGGCTTCAAAGCTCACACAAACGCGTATCAGCGGGGGCTCCTGTAGTGACCTACTTTTATCAAGAGAACGCGATTGGTTTAATGGAAACAATACTTAATGGAGAAAATCCTAATTCCTGAAACACATCAGTAAAACAAATAAGTTAACTCAATGAATTCACTAGTTCAAATTAAAATAAATACTCATCTTTATTCCTTAATCCAGGTAAAAGAACGATTAATTAAAATGGATCATTTAAAACCGCTTCATATATTTTTAAAACAAGAAGTTGATCGTATGCAACGTGTTATATCCAATGTTCGTACAACATTGAGTGATTTAAAATTAGCAATTGATGGTACAATTATAATGTCAGAAAATTTACGTGATGCATTAGACAACATATTTGATGCGCGTATCCCAAGTACATGGAGAAAAGTAAGTTAACTGTGATTTATGTAAAAATGTAAAGTATGAACACGAATCTGACCATTGGTTGCAAGGGGGAAAAATTTGTTTAGTTCTCAACAATCGAAGCCAATTTAAAAATCACAACCATAATAGTTATTTAAATGTAAATTGAGATTGCTACCTAACAGTGAACTTGATTGATTTTTCACAAAATCGAGTTCAGGAAATTCAGTTCTTATGGAGAATATTCAATCTTTAAACCAATGGATCATTGACTGAATGGTTTCTTATTTCCCACTGTATATATACGCATACACTGAAAACATAAAAGTTGAGGAACACATAAGATCATTGATGCCAAGATGCAATGCACATCGACACTAACACACGAGCATAAGTAGGTAGATAGAAGATATGATTTTGCAGGAGAGCTTAAGCTAGCAATTAATTGACCACTGAGTAGTGACTAGTCTTACGTACCACTAATCCTTTAATGACAAACGAATCCTGTCGATCAGGTTACAATGAACACACTAGTCTACGTGACTCGTATACCATGCTGAAATGTTAGGTGGCTGGAGGCAGTCAACTTTAGTTTCGTGCTAGTCGGCACTTTTCGGCAGGGGGTGGCTATGATCTTAAGGGAACTGAAGCATCCTGCGGGATTAAAACCCGGATCATCCGGTTCACACTATATGTTACTGACAGGCTATTCGAGCCCCTTTACATAAAACAAAATCAGTCCCTGGTTTTTAATGACTTATTATCATGTTTGAAATTACAAAAGAAATACTGTTTTGCTAACCTTTTCTAGATGTCATGGGAATCAGCAACTCTTGGATTTTGGTTCACGGATTTACTTGACAGGAATGCTCAATTTAGTAATTGGCTTTTTGAAGGTCGTCCAATTTGCTATTGGATGACAGGATTTTTTAATCCCCAAGTGAGTTTCATGTAGGAATGCTTATTTTTGGAGATAATTTCTAGATGAAAACTAATAGCCCATTGTCGAACATCAAATGGAGACCTTTGCGATTGGTCTATTCAGTTTTTTAGGTCACAATCGGTAACTCCGAGAAACATTAACAAGTAAATAATGCTATCCAAATAACTATGTGTACTTTTCTGGAAGTATTTGACTCGTCAGGTACACTTCTGCTGAAAAAATCAAACGATTAGTTGTTTAGTCTCCTGTACAACCAGAGTTGCAGAAGCAAATTTTATTATTAAGGCCTACAGAGGGTTTTGGAGGCTATCTCTAGCAATCTACCACTACGTTTACGATCCTAACTAAACACATTTAAATGAATTTCAACTACTACAGAATGGGAGTCGTTTATTCAACCCCTTACTACAGATAAGTGGCAATTTCTCCGAACTTGTTTCACTATTTTCCTTTAGATAAAATTATTTTAAACTATAAGATCTAGTAGAGTAGGTTAAAATGGCAACTCTGAGCAAAAAACTTCTAGAAAACAAACTCCTATTGAGACTACTTTTAGTTTTGTCTATACTTAAATATGCCAAGATACTTCTGTGAGGACATTCATTTTCAATACCATTATTTTATGTAGTGATTGTATTTTTAGCATTCATGTGACTAAAATAACTCCTTCAATTTTTGTGCTTGTTTCGTAGTTTAAAGAATCAACTTCATACAACAAAAAACCAATTTTAAAACTTTTAATTACTTTATCATGGATAAAGTAACCTTCCAGTACTTTTTTCAAACGTTTTAACAATTACGAATTGTCATAACTATCCACTATCTTATTTTAGGGCTTCCTCACTGCTATGAGACAAGAAGTGGCCAGAGCAAATAAATATGCCCTAGATGATGTAGCTTTAACAAACGATGTGACGAAATTAATGCGTGAAGAATTAACTAAAGGTCCAACTGAAGGTGTTTACATTCACGGTCTTAGTTTAGATGGAGCTGGTTGGGATCGTAAACAAGCTAGACTAATGGAACCGCTACCAAAACTACTGTACACTCCACTCCCAGTAGTGCATGTATCTGCATTTTCTCAATCAATCGGTGAGAAAAGTAAACCTGGAATATTCTATTCATGTCCAGTTTACAAAAAGCCTAAACGTACCGATTTGAATTACATATTTCCTTTAATGCTTCGTAGTGCAGTAGATGCAGATCATTGGATTTTAAGGGGAGTTGCTCTTTTAGGTGATGTTAAATAGATAATGATAATAATAATGCTGGTCTATTTCTATTTATCTGAATAATTTTTTTTTAATTCGTATATTACCAAAAAAATATAATTTTCATATACGTACATGATAATCATGATCATTATTCCTTTTATATAACATTTATTCTGACAAAGGTTATTATAAAGTATATCAATAATGATTAAGAATTTTATGTTCGAGTCAATTACAACCTGAAATGAAGTAGACATATGTCGAAATAATGATCTGCATTTATACCAAAATTTGTACCGTTGATAGATCATAGATCAATGAATTTTTAATTAACATTATTATTAACCCGCTTGTACCATGACCCAAGTAATATATTGTAGATAAGAGTCTAAAAGCATCCGCAGTATTGACTTGGACTAAGGGGCGTTAAGAAAGAACGCAAGGACTTTTCAATGCAGTTATAAATATCAAAATCATTAAAAGTGTATCTATGTTGTATCTGACGTTGTAAGATATCCTGAACAACACTATACCATCAATTCAGTTTGATCACAAACACTATTCATTAAAATTACCCAGTTTGGAGTACAATTTATACAATAAAACAACATACCACAATGAATAAAACGATTGAGAATTCTTGTGAAACTAAATCTACTTCAATAAAGCCACCAATAAGTCATCTACCAACCACGTCAAAACCTATATTGGCCCCCAAATGTCCTGGTACGGCCGAGAGTGAGGAGAGTTAGCTCTCCCTCTCGAAATGCTCTCAAGTGGCAACGTGCATTTAACCACTGTCAGGGAAGTCCTACTCACTGTCTTCTTGCGGTAGGGGTGCTGTTTACGAAATTGAGAGGATGAAAAGCTAATGTCCGGGACTCTAACCGGGTTGGTGGATATTGAGGACCCAACTGGGGGAGTTGGAAAACCCTGATTCCAAATCAATGGTGCACATAGGCTCCAGGATCCTGAGCGAACAAACGAGGTATGAACCAATTGTTGGTCACCGGCTGCTATGAGACTGCATCTTCTGACGTTGCTCGATTGCCATGTGGATCAGGTCTTTATGTCGAAGGCTCCGGGCGTGGCTCCCTAAGAAAACCACCTGCTTCGGTCTGGGCATCCGGGTAGTATCACAGCCCACACATAAATCAAGTGACTTTTGTGGCGCATATGCATTCGGTACCCTTTTGTATCAAGATTTATATGTTCCAATAAATAAATAAAGTTAAAGGATAAAAATTATATCTTTAAGTGAAGAGACATATGCTAAACCTTTGCTTAATCTGGACAGTTCACATCCCTTCAGTTTTATTTAGATTTGATTGTTAATGCTTACTTTAAGCACGAACTGACAAAAATTTAGTAAAACACAGAACGCTATTATCAAATTTTATTTTACGGAAATAACGTAAAGTATGTGGAAATAAATGAATTATAATGCATACTTATCGACTAAACGTAGAAACATGAAGTGACTGCAAAATTACGATGAACGAATACCGTATTATTTTTCACTATTTCATGAATAAATCACTTATACGACATAAAATCGATCAGGTAAAAGTTATTTCATATGTAAATAATACTGGTTTGAAGATCAATTAGTTTAGATACAGAATATCAAAGTGACTCAAAACTATCGCGTTAAAAATCAGCATATATTGGATGTGGTTAATTGTAAAAGACTAAGTAAATATGTTCAAAATGCTTAGTGAAGTTTTCACGCAATGCGAATTGAAATCCTATATTGTGCTCAAATGGCAGGTTATTTTGCTGCAATCTCATCATATACCTTTCCTTTTGTTGTGTCATTCCTAAATAATAGCAACTTGGACCGGTGCAACTTTCTGTGAGGCTTTAGAGTGATGTACTTGTTTGTCCATTAGTCATTTAAACTTGCTGTGAGACTTTTACTGCTGTTCTCACAGATTTTCCATGCTGTGAAGCGATACTACAAATAGACTAAACTATTTAGGAACCATTTACCTATAAAAATTGTTGCTCTGGTTGTTAGAAGGGGCATCGACCTCATGACTTCAGAAGAATCTCATCTTTCATCGTGGGGCGTCATAATTCTTCCTGCAACTCTCAAGGCAGAGTTTAAATGGTTTAGTTTGTGTAATTTGGGTGGCGTTTTTCAGCAAGATTTTTTTCTAGGGGATGGGGTTGTCGACCCGATGCCCAGCCCTCCTCCTTTACCCGGGCTTGAGACCGGCAGTAACTCTAGAAGAGCTACAGGCGGAGAACTACTACAACCATCATCAAAAAGGTATAATTATTTGTAAACAGCTGTCTACGCAAGATACTCAATATCGGTTGACCGGATACCATCAGCAACAGCCTACTGTGGGAGAGGAAAAACCAGCTTTCAGATGAAGAGAAAATTAGAGAAAAACGTTGAAAGTGGATAGGATATACATTACGGAAATCACCAAACTGCATCACGAGACAAGCCCTAACTTGGAATCCTGAAGCAAAACGAAAAAGAAAGAGGCCGAAGAACACACTACGTCTGGAATTGGAAGCAGACATCAAAAAAATGAATAGCAACTGGAAAGGATTGTCGAGGACAAGGTTGGGTGGAGAGTGCTGGTGGGCGGCCTATGCTCCTCCATGAGAGGTAACAGGAGTAAGTAATTACGAACCATGTGAAAGGACACTAGAAAGTATTTCCCCTGTCACTGTCGGCACAAGCATTAATACAAAAGCTTGCATATGGTTAGAAATCAAAGTCAGCAATACCGACCAGCACGAATTTATGCTAAATTTTTTGTTCATGTTGATCTGTCTGAATTAGCAAGTCACTCCCAACGTAAAACCTGGTATGTATGCACATCAGTTCAAGCTACCATACTCCATTAGGACAGAGAAATGAAACTGTCAGGACAAATCCTAGAACAGTAGAGATAGCTGTAGTATTAATGGTAATAAAAAAGATTAGGCATCGAAGATACGATTCAAAATATAAATTAGTGAAATGAAAATATAAAAAGGTTATGGGAAATTTAAAAGCTCAGAATATAGAGGAAAACAAAGAATGGATGAACCTGCGCCATTACAAACGATTTTGAGTCATCTCATTTAAAGTCTCTAACCACTGGCTACGACAATCATGCGGACTCCAGTCAGGTAGTCTACACTTGTTTGAATAGGCCATATTCGATCATTTGTTATCAAATTATAGCTTATCCTTATTCAGATCGGATTTCGAAAATACGTTATGGATGTGTAGATTATGTGGAGGCCCTGGTACACGAAAATCTTGGGCCATAGTTTAGAATCAAGAAGTAGATGAATTGGTACAGAATTATTTTAGACACATGATACAAGAATGAAACAGTCCATTTTTAAGAAAATGTACATAAATTTTCTGACGGTGAAGACAAAGGAATTGTACCAGGAACAAAATTTCCAGCTGAACGATATATAGATAGCTCTTTTTCACTCAGCTGGTCGTAGGAGCTATAAATTTCCGAAGCTTCATATCCCCATTCACGATATCGAGATGACTGCATTTTGATTACCTTTCAGTCTGACGGAATGAAAAACCTGTTAAACCAGGTGATACTGGTTTATTATTGGTTTTACTGACAATATTAGTATCAATGTTAGTTAGGCATCTGGTGAGATTATTTGACTGACTGTTTGGATATTTTGAGTCAATGGCTTCCTTCAAATCTCTGCGATAGGTATGAGATGAATTGGCTGAATAAATGAAAAGTTTAATGTTATTTCAACTAAAATCACCTAAAAGAATACGCAAGGTTTCAGAGGTATAATCAATTACCAATCGATGAAACAACAATTACGAGGAAACTAAACTACATCTTACTGATGTTTGTTTAAATGACAAAACAGGAAATAATATTAAACTGAAGATTTAAGGGTGGACTCATCTGCGTCTCGATCAATAGATATGCAGCCATATATTAGGGCTACCTCGCTGACATCCACTGTGGAGCTATTATTTTACAATTATTATGTAATGGAAAGCTGATAGCTGCGCATTAAGCCATACTTCGATAATGACTAACACTATATGTCACGTGGCATTTCTTAAACAGCATTTGAGAGTGAAGAAATGCTAATGAAACATTTGACCTTACAGACTAAGTGATTGCACTATATTACAAACCCCTTAGTTTTAGGAAACACTAGCTAACGAAATCTAAACCAACAGATGGACAGAACGTTATGGGCTCAACCCGAACAAAATTCAACAATAAAAGCTTACGAGCCGATATATGTTAGACAACCATTGGAAACGTGGATGCACTAGATGACAGCTTCGCCCTAGTATGGGACTCCTATGTAGCAGACATCCACGACCATGCCAGTGGGGACCGAACCCAGGACTATTAGTTTTGCGCGAACACTTAGCTTGTTCAGATCATTGAACCGGAATCTATTGGTGCACAAATCTAACTTCGTTCAGATTGGTTCGTGATATCAATAAAATTCCACAATTTTCATAACCCCATACTGAAAAAGTTGCCTTTTATATTTCAGTATTTCACCTGACAATATTCAGTCTTATTATTTGTTTTCATACCATTCAATGATTAACCATCAGCTAAAAGAAATACATAGTTTGATTAGGTATGGATTAGTTTAAAAGCTCACTAGAATTGAAAATACCATAACACATGAAATATAAACCAAATTTATCTGTTACCACAACTACCATTTATATTGTGTGAAAATGCACATTTGATTCCATTGTGACAATAACCTTGTAGATAAAATTTACAAGGAATAGATCTAAAGTTAAAAAGAGGGCTTTATGTTTAATTAAAGCTCTACAACAAGAAAATAAATGTTTAAAGCAATGAAATGTATATTATTTGCCCAGCACATTTTATATTATATCATGGATTGTACATAAACCGTACAAAATATCACTTAATAGAATTCATCTGTATTAAACATCCACTAAATAGGCCAAAATAGATGAGCAGACAAAAAACAACAAAGCACCATGTGCAACAATGGAGATTTATGAATTAAAGAATTTACATTTCCTGTCGTTATATCTATAGAAGTTCAATTGCGACTTGTAAGAATGAGAAACAGGATACAGAGTGTGAAAATTTCAAGTGATTTGAGCTTTACGGGCCTGGCAAACATGCTTTAGGTCTTTGATTGAGATCATGAACCGATTGATGTTAGACCACCACCTTTGAAAACCTGGAAGCACTGCACGGCCGTTTCGTCCTACTGTGGGACTCCTCAGCAGTGCGCATCCACGATCTTTAGGTCTACTGAGCTGAAGTATGGTGACATGTTATAGACTGAGACCCTAAGTACATCTACTGGTTTTATTATGATAGTATAACCAAAGGTCCTTGAAACGAATCTTATCCCCAAGGTTTAACTGAGCAGTCAAGTAAGCTTATGAGATTATTGATTTAATTTTGGGTATGTAGAAATCGAAAACCTTGTTTAAATCTGCAAAATGACTCATATACATGGTGACTGATTTAAAGCAATATGGCTCCAAATCTGTCAGTGTTGATTCTTCGTAATCCTCTTAGTTTTACGCTACATTTCTTCGTTGCTTCTATAAAACTCCGCTACTGTTAGAGTTCTTATTTTTACAGGCGAGATTATTTTGTGGACGAACCAATCAGATTTAGAACAGTGGGTCTTGCATTTTGGCGTGAAATTCATTCATCCAAACAGTTACATACGAGTGAGGATAAACTCTACTCTCGTTCTCAATTTCACACTTGTACCAGGCTGCCAGTTAAGATGAAGCGGGAATTATTATATACACTATTTCAATCCATGATGGAGCGCGTGTTCCGTTATCTGTCGCTTTCGCTGGCTTACATGAAGTAAAGTTTTCTACAACGAAAATACCACGGACGTATCGAGTGTAGGAAGAAAAATTACAAGACAGCAAAAGATATGCCTCCGATTAATTCTGTGATAAAGAATATTACAAAACATCTACAATTGACTACAATACACTTAGATAACTTGACAATGTGGAGTTTATCCCCAACCCTAAATAGCGCTTTAAGATTATGGCTGATATCAGTTCGTTGTGGAAACCACAACCGTATTTCCCAACTCCAATGTCCAACTGCAAACCTTAGTGTCAATTCCTCACACTAACTTATAACTCACTCAGCCCTATCAAGTAGGTGGAGTCTGAAGGTCACGTAAGGGTCGCCCGAAAGACTCCCGTAAATTATAGCTCCACCACATTTGTTTCAGGTACTATGTTGTCGATATACCCTTGATTATCTTTGGTAGACGATTTTTTCACACGCCAAACACCTAATCCAGTAAGGATATGATCTAAACTAAGCAAAGTACATTACAATCTTTACGATGAGCCACAAAATAGTGAAAGCAAGGGTAGAATGGTACATATATAAACTCATATTTGAGTGAGTCGACTGAATAGGTACATTCAAACTAATAGTACTTAAGTCTATTAATACTATCCAGAATTCCAGTGACCTGATATGCTACAGTTAGCCCATAGGTAAGTCGGTAGATAAAAATTTGATTGCGTAGAAACAAATACAACAGGTAAAGATGTAGAAAGAAATTTTAGTTTATACGAGTTAACACGATTTTCCTCTTAAAAAAGTGGCAGATTCAGATCTTGAATAGGAATCGTGAGCAAACAAATTCTGTAAAACATGAGGGTACTCACTTTGAAGTTTGGAACGACTTGTTTTCTGGTAAACAATGTGAATTAATGCATCGATCGCCATATATGCATCGATTCTTTAGGTAAAATGGACAGATATGTTTTCCCTGGTTAAGGAAAAATAGTCACTGTATACAACCTGATGTTTCATTAGGATGAAACATTATCAAAAGTATAAAAAAATGATTTCAGGATTATTTAAAGTGTAGTTTAGTCGTTTTGTAGTAAGCTGTTATCACTTCATTCTATTAATTGGAATAGTACCTACATGTTTTTATTCGGCTTTCAGTCGTATCTTTTACGCGACGGTTAAATTCACAGAAGTTTTTCGTAACGAGATAGAATGATGATCGGATTTATGATACATGTTAAAAATCGAGTGTTCTGAACACCAAGACAAAGCTCTACTCACATGACTGAGTCTAACACTTGCTTAAGTAAAACGAGGCTGACGTTTTCAATCCAGAGGCTAAAATACAAGTAAAAATCGATATCATTAGTAGCAAAAACTGAAATGGGTGTAAGTGGAAAGATACATAAGATAGGAAGATGGGATTTGAATAGTTTGAAAGCTAAATCTAGCAAAATACACGTTGAGGCCATAGTATACTGATCATGTTTAATAATCACTAATGGTGCCTAAGAACAAACTCTATTACACAGTTTGGAATTTTAGCAACACACATTTATGCAAGAAAATTACTGTGTTTAACAATGTTTTAGAGCTTTGACAACAGTCCATTTATCATGAAACAACTAAAAAACGAATATATCGCCCAATAATTAGTAGATACATCACTATCTTATGTTACTACATGCTTCTGGAGCAACTCCAAGTCATTTGCCGAATTCCCTACAGCTAATTTTATGCAAACTTACTGCATGTGACTGACCCTGCTGTTGAAATGCCCGCATCTTCAAATATAATATATTTTAATACTTTCCAGTTTGTTTGCTTGTATTCGTATATGCTACAATAGTGTCTCCCCGTATGACATAATGACGGGTCTAAAAGAAGACAGAAACATGTGAAGGGATTCATGGTGAGAAATCTACAATTTATTACAGACATCTTTGTTACTACCTCCATGAGTTCCACACTAATTTCCCGTTAATTATCGTTTTTTTCAGCTGTGCAAGTGCATAGTTTGGTAGCTGAGAGAGTTATGATGTAGACTGAATGTTGGTATAAACCTCATATAGGATGTAAAAACGACCTTTAGAATGTGTCGTCGCAGAAACTTAATAATCTCCACAACCCCATACTGATAATTAACATGTGCTCACTAGTGACTAGCTTCGTGAGGGGATTCTCGGAGTTCTAGTGAGAAGCCGTGACCAGTGGGGCTAATCCGTGTCGGGTAGAGACAGGTATCTACCTCAGTACAATGGAAGTTGGTCGCGCAATTTCGTGGATTGGTTGACGTTAGACACTAACACCATTGGATGCCGGCTCAGCGGTCTAATGGTCAAGTGCTCAGGCGCGAAGCCAGTAGGTCCTGGGTTCGAATCCCGCGGGATGCGGGATCGTGGATGCGCACTGCTGAGGAGTCCCATACTAGGACGAAACGGCCGTCCAGTGCTTCCAGGTTTCCAACGGTGGTCTAACATCATTTGATTCATTATCTCAACCAGAAACTTAATAAACTCCGCAACCCTATACTGATAAACGCATAATAACTAATTATCATAATAGTTTTAATACCGAGTGTCTAATTCTGTCATTTACTGATTGATTCAGGCTATGGCTAAACTAAGCATATTTGACTGAAGATTGCCTACCTTGAAAGATAATTAGTTGATATGCATATAACATAGAACTAACTTAACAATGTTCAACTTGCCCACTTTCTAAATAACTTTACAAACACGCTGTGGCAAATTTCTTTAGTCTATCATTAACTAGCTCAATATATTATTTGTTAGCTTCAAGAATACGGTGTAACGCAGAACGTGTTATATCAGAAGGTAGCAAATAATTCCTATATCCAATATCTTGGTGAGGAACTCATGTACACCGATTGATTTCTTCTCGACCCTTCTTTTCGTTGTCTCGGTAAGGTTCCAGGTCTTCGGCAGTGTGGCACGAGAGTTGATGTAGTCACTCGACTTCACTAATTCTGGTCGGTTTGGAAGCTACTTGTGGGTTTGTCTAGTTACAATGATAATATGGTTGTGGAGGGAATCGAAGAAGCTTTTATTTAATGAGCTTCCGTACACATTAGCAACAAATCACCGATTTTTCCAGGTGGGAACCTAAGTACATTTAACGTTATGCATTACAAGTCACTCCTTAGTGTTACTGTTGATTTTTAGTGTCATCGTGGTATTTGTTGAAATCTTTAGAAATAAGTAGTTGTGCTGATTTAATTTGCTTTTTACAGTCGAAACGTCTGTTAAAACTCCATGGCAAGTTACCGAATTAAATAGTGGAATGATGGTATTTTCAGAGACCAGTTAAAGAGAAATGTTAATTAATTACAATGACGTACTGTCCTGAGTCCGTAAGAACATGTCAAGTTCCATCTTGGAGGACTTTAGGGGATCCACTTGGATCATTTCAGACGTCAGCGAGTCCCAGGAGTTGACCGCTTACAAAGAGAAGAAAGTGTACGTACAATCCGCTGTGTTATGTAATGCCTCTAATTTTTTGGGTATTGCCCTGAGATTTACGTTGGGACTGATCCGGAGTAAGTACTTAACGGGATGTCTAAGAGTGTTTAGGATGCTATATGTCATTAGAAGGTTAACTCTCTGACGTCCATACTCTAGTGGGTAAAAATCCACTGATTTGATGAGCTTTTCATACCACTCGGATTTCAGTCCTGATTTCGTGGCTCGCCTTCGGAGACGTTGCAGTGTACTCTTATCCTTTCAGAGTGATTGAGGAGACATTATGCTTCCATTTTTGCCAAGTTGGTGTAAGACTTTAGATCATAGGGGACCACGACTCCTAGGCCTTTTCATCTTGGCGCACTTCAAGAGAGGACCTACCTAGCTGTATGCATGTTTTACGTCTCATAAGGTGTGTTTCGAATCGACTACTTCGCACATTGAAGTGTTGTTTTTCACCAACTTTAATGCAGAATAAGATCACCGTGAATGCAAATTTCCCTCTAATTTTTAACATCAGTGAAAACTAATAACTCAGACAATACTTACCGAGAAACATCACTTATATAACTTAATAAAAGAAAAGAGGTGAACTCTTAGAACTCCCCCAAAACACTCTATGGCATGAGGAAAAGTAAAGTTAACCACAACCTTAAAAAATTTATCATTTTAATGTGACGTTAACCAGTCTATTAATATGACTTGTTACATAACAATAAGCTTGCTTTTTAGAAACGAATGGATATCACATCTACCTTCTACTCGCAATCAAGAGTGGTTTTCCATCTGTCCACTCCAGTCAGCAGATTGGTTATAGAGGAGTGGCTCTTCCTGAAGGTGTGTAGTTCATGACATACCGATCTATTGTTTAGACTTACTTATGAGACTCCTATCGAGTTGTATATAAAACTACTGTCGATTTAAGTTGTACGATACGGTTGAAACGTTTGAATAAAGTGTTTTACCCGGGACTTTATGGTATCCTCATAGTCGTTGAGTCATTAGGATCTAAGAACAGGAAAACGTTGGCTTTGGCTTGTTAAAGTGAGCTTGTGAATAAAACAGATCATTTAGATCGGGGAAAAATCTAAAAATTAGCTTCATATGATACTGAAGCCTGTCTTTATGCAGTTGTGCGTAAATGACATGATCTGCTTATATGTAATGTCGCTACTCGTCCATTTTTGTTCTGACTAGCAGTACCTTGACGGTCTGAATATTCGAAGAGTGATAATCCTTGCAATTGTATATTTCTTGTAACTGGAGACAATTCATGAGAGAGATTGGTTTGTATCACTTAAGATCTTCTAACTAAGTGTCCGCGATCCCAACCCTCATTGTTATTGGGATTTTTCAGGTCAGTTTTGCCAGTGAAATTGAAATCTATAATGACGTGATAGTCTTTTACAGGGGAGACAAGACTGAGTTGTAAGTCAGGAATTCTTTATTTGTGTGGATGCAACCTAGATGTGACGGTATTTGACGTTTTATCAACCGAGTTGCTGACTTGACATTTTCGGATAATCCCAGTTCTTCAACGAGGTTGAAGAACAAAGCTACATGAGGTTTTGTCACCTCTATTGTTCGTGTTCAGCATAGTTGGAAGTAAGAAAAATGAAGTCTCCTAAAATTAGGATGTAAATGTATTCCAGACGACAAGAGAGGGAAAATCGCTTTAGCGTATGACTGTCGTACCTGATGTCAACTGTGCGCTTTCTCTAAATGACATATTGAGGTGTTAGATGATATCGCTGACAACGATACAGATTGATGGACTCTTGAATGTGCGCATGATGTACTATCAAGACGGATCGGCCCAGATCAGTTTTACATGTTTTTGAGTACGTTGAGGTTCGATTTCCTTATATTTGATAGTTTGATTGCAATTAGGATTATTTTGGCTTGTACTGACCGGTTGGATCATCTCATGAGTAGATTGTACGGTAGATGTATCAACTGGTCTTGTCACGACACCTAGGCTCTTGAACATTTTCGATGGTAACTTTTGATTCCTTTTAGCATGGTTGAAGGGATTCTATCTGCTCACAGCAGAAGTTTTGGAGACTACAGTTTCACTTGGAGAGGCTATGCTGAGGGACACAAAATTACTGAGAGAGTCTAGTGACATTGATGACATGGTAGAGCTGAATTCCAGCATAATATGTGTTTGTGTTTAATCCATCAATACTGATGCTACCGAAAACAATTTTCTTTACCTCGCTGAGTGGCTTCGTTTTTGGATTGCTTTTCTTGAGGGTTACTGACAATTCTTCCGAAAACCGAAGACCAGCAGTATTGCTCAAAATATTGTTGACTTTCATATTGCATGTGCCACATGCCCAGTCGCAAGAAAGACGATAATCTACGGGTGAGTTCATGTTTGTCAAGCATCTTATTGAAGCTATTCACTCAGAGAGCTGTGGTCATTCAGACTTAAAGAGAATTTTATACGGATACTACTCTTAATGAAAAAAAGTGGTAGCGCACATGGGTCTTACTCTTTGATAAGCAATTTTTCTGGGCTTTCCATGTGGACCACGAAGGCGATATTTCAGTCGGATGTTTGTGTTGGTTTTACTTAGTGTATTTATTGTAAGAAATTCATTTCTCGTCCCGAAAGGTTGGAGGCAACAATGTTGTGAATTTCAAGCGCGGTTGTGAATACGTTTTAAACGGCGTTGGGTCTGTTACCCCAGATAGTCTTCACATGAAGCGAAGAGTCCCATCTGCCTTGGCTGCGTCCTCAATTCAGTTTGAACTAGTGTTCAAGCTCTCTCTGGTTGCTAGCTCAAGATTTACCTCTGGAGATTTAATCAAAGTTGAACTTCAAGAAGTACTTACTTACGCTGCTACTCGCAATAGCGAATAGGCCTCCAACCAGCACTCTCCAAGAAGTACGTAGATTTTTCGTGCCACATGGGGGAGAATGTTAATGGCACTTCAAAAGGTCAAGTTTATACCGATCGTCTGCTGTCCATTCCCCCTTTTTTAAATGTCCTTCTGAAGCCAAAGTGAGTCATCTCCGCTTTTTATGAACCTCCAGACTTTGCGTTGTCTCCGAAGACTAGTGCTGCCAAGCAAATTTTATCTAACAGGTCGTTAATAAAGATCGGTGCACCAAAGACTGATCCTTGTGAAACCACTAATGTTTGGGCCTCCCAACTCGCGTGCACTTTATTTACCTTGGTATGAAACAAGTTTTCCTCATGGTGGATTTGAAGGAAGAATAGGACTAGGCCATTAGGACCCATCTTTGCAACTTTCGCTATGAATGGTATGCCTGGTAATATTTCGAACGCATT